TCCAACCATCCACCCATCCATCTGCCACCCTCATCCATGCTTTTCCCCTGCATGTGTGCCTCCCAACCAAGGCTGCCCATCTGGGTGCTCCATTGTTATCTGCCTGCCAGCTGGATGACTTGCTAGGTGGCCAGATGGCCTTTTTCTCTTTTGTTTGCTTGCAGACTATTGTTCTCCCTTTGCCACTTGCTAATTCTAATTGCCTTTTTGTTGGCAAGGTTTGCCAATATTAATCATTTGTTCTTCTTCACTCATTAATATTGTTGCTTGATCCACCACTCCTTCCGGGCTGGTCTTATTTAGTTATCTGTCCTTATAACTCATGTAGGTTACACCAGATGTACCTCAGTTCATATATTGACTAGGATTTACCCCCCTCATCCCTCCTCTCTGTCATAAGGCTCTTGTCTGAAATTGGGACACCAACGTAAGAACAAAGCACAGTGCTCCACCCAAGTCACTGAAGTCCTGCCCCTCCAACCTTATGAGCCCAGGTGACTTTGCACACCCTTGCAGACCTTCCAGATACACATTCCTGACACATGCTCTGGATTGATGTGGTAGTTGGTCATGTGAGTACAGTATGTGCCCTGTCTCCCTTTGTAGGGGATTAACCTTACTGTCAGGGACTCATCTGGGGTCGAGGAGGCCCACATGTAGCATTCAGCGCTGAGAGCCTGGCAGGGTGCGGATCGGGTGTGTGTACTGACAGGCCCAATGCAGGACAACAGTCCCTGGCCACTTAGACTGAAGTGGAAAGATGTTATTATTATTACAGTGAAAAACAAATATCATAGAAAGCACAACAAGCAAAAACCCTGATTTGCTCAAATTGGAAGGTTGTTCCTGACTCATGTGCCACTTGTCGCATTGGGCTGATAGAATTCATTTGTTCATTGAGTTAAATATTGATAGAATAATTGTTTTCAGCAGATTGCAAGTTGGGTGTTGTGGCCCACATGCTATGTATGCCCTATTCAGCTGTCTATGGCCAAGGTGGCTCCTCAGCTCAATTCACTGTTGCTTCTTTTTTTGTTGCCTTTTTCTTCATGTTCAAAGTCAATGGTTACATAGGCTTTTTTTTTTACAGTCCACTCTATACTTATAAAAAAACTCCCAGAAGCATTTTGTAGTATTGGTTGGTGAATACTTCATCGCCATTTTCGATGCAGAAAAAAAGAAGAGAAAAAAACTACTTTCCACAACACCAAATCAAACCAACACCACTTGAAATGACCCCCAAGCTAGATGGAGAACATAGCCACTAGTTCACCATAGCACCATTGCTGCAGCCCAACTCTGATCAGTTATAGAGATCTAACACGGAAAGTGCATACAGCCAATCCACTTCCACACACTCCTCAGCTGCACCCCTGCATGTACCTAGCCCCTCTTACATCCCCTCTGTGGGGCTTTGTGAGCCCAAACTTTGATATCATCCCATTTCAACATGATCAAGCAACAGCAGCACATGAATCAGGGTAACTTCCAATTTGAGCAAATCAGGGTTTTCGCTTGTTGCACTTTTCTACAATATTTCGTTTTTCACTGTAAAAGGGAGATGCTATGCTACTTACCTGAAGTGGAAAGATGAGAAGAAGGCTACTTCTTCAGTTCCCACTCCAGGTACATTTATATACATGCAGCTTGGGTCACATGACAGGTGCCACGTCACCCTCGCACACAGCTGTGACCACCTGGGTATCTCCACAGGAGATCCCAAGGGCATCCAGTGCAAGCACACATGCTGGGCACAGTGGGGAGTCACCCAAGATGTCCAGGCCAGGTGTGTCATATGCATGCTGTGGGTGGGTCAATGGTACATTGATACGAAGGAAAGTCGTCCATGTAAAATAAAGAGAAAATAAAAAGGAAATAGAATAGGGGGAAGTGAGGAAGTGGAAGAGAAGAGAGGGAAGGGGAAAGAAGAAGGAAGGAAAGAGGGGGAGAGTGGGTACCAGGGTACCAGGTGAGGTGGGGCTGGGCCAGGTCAGGCAGGTGTGCCCTGACACTTACTTCACTATACTGTACCCACACAACCAATTACTGGCTGAGGTTCCAAGTGTGACACAAAATAGTCAACCAGCTACTCCTTGTGACATGTGACAAGCAACCAGAAGAGGTGGCAAGGTTTGTGTGACACCAGCCACAGTGGTGCTGGAAATGTCCAACTAGCAAATTTTCTTGTTGATACATTTTACACCAAAAAACTACTTCCTTGCAGATGGCTTTTGTTTTCATTGAATCTAATTTGATTTCACACAGCCACTTAGGCACCAAAAAAAAATGGTGTGACAAGGATCATTCAACTGGAACATTAGTGTGATGCATGACCGGTAATTGGTCATGTGGGTACAGTAATTCCAATTACAGTGATACATATTTATATTCATCTGTCTATGTCACATTGCTATGATCCTGTCAGGGGACATAACACAAGTGGTCTCTTGTTACTCTAGCAATATTGCATAAGACTATGTAACTGCATATAGCTGCATTGGCCCTATAATATCATATCTCCCATCTTATCCCTGCTCCGACTCTGCCCCATGATCTGAGTATTTCCTTCTGACCTTCCTCTCTCATGTATATAGCCCTATGTTCTGCTGAGGCTTGGAACTTCAGCATTATCTACAACTAGGTTTTTGGGCAATACTTGACTCAGACTGATGAGCAATCCCTGACAAATTACCTTGCTTCCAAGGTCACTTGCATGGTCACAATTCGTGGGAATTCTGACACTGATTCTGTGGGAATTCTGCCATATAGTTACATAACCCCATTTGGTCCACTCCCTCCAGTCGATCTGGAGCCTTATCGACAACATGAACAACCCCTACTGAACTAGATATTGAGGGGAACGCACGTGGAATTGGGGGTTCTCAGGGGAAGCTCCACCCTGGATCAACTCAGAAGAATGTTTACTCAGACGCCTTCTGCTCTGTGTGTTGAAGTTGTACCGGATATCCCTGCTGGCAACTTCCATTATTGCAACATTTGTGATCCTCGAGAATTTGTCTGACTTGATGCCCAACATTTGGGCTGTCACAAGAACGGAGAGTTGCCAAATCTTGGAGTGCAGAAGATGCTGATATTCTGGCGTGGAAAGATGCAAGTAAATTGGGTTTTGCTTTCTGGGTTCACACACTGCGTGTGGCTTTCGTTAGTGATTTGGTGCTTGGAAATTATAGAGAGCTTAGATTCGACAGGGGCAGGGAGGTAGAAGAGTCAACCAGATGCGTTTTTACACCCTAGGTACCTTTCCCACATGCAACCCACATGCATGCAGCTCTCAAAATGCGCACCTATGTTGATTAGGCCATACTCATGTGGAATTCATGCATGCACATTCCTAGAAACACGCCCTAGTCCCTCCCCACATGTCATTCACATACTGAGGCATTCTAGATGTATACTGGTGCCCTTTTTTCCCTCATGCACTGCTTCCCAGATCGCTGGTACTTAGTCAACACTTACAACATAAGCCCCTCTTGTTAGCAGCTTGTAGGGAATGGATGTGTGGTGATGCGTGCTGTGCACGCTTTCTTTATTCATTGTTTATTACTCTTTATTTCTCGATGTAAACAATGTATATAAATTGCGGGGAAGGGTGAAACAGGTTTTCACTCTTCTCCTCCCCTGTCGAAATTACAGCTCTATACTGCCTAATTCCTGACAGCTTGAGGATAGCAGGAGTCAACACCAAGGTCGGAACCTCAACCGACCTTACACAGCTGCACAGACGGTTGCTCACCATTGAAGTGCCTATTCTCCAGTTCATCTTTGTCACCTCTGAAGCGCCAAAAGTAAGGTGGGAATATATGATCCAATACATAACTTTCACCACTCTTTCAACTCATATTGGCCATATAATTTTGCACAAGCAAGGTCACGGTTGCGAAGCAACCTTTCTAGTCCCCATTATAGGGATGCTGTTGTTTCTTTATTTGTTCATGCCAAGATATGTACAGTAATTACATATATATACCTTGGAGTAGTTGTAAAGGCCTGGTAGCCTTTTACCTCTACCCATTGAACATACAGCCCATCAAAGCATATCATTTAAACAGACATCTGAGGCACAGGCAAACAGGGGAATGGAATGTTACCATCCCCAAATAGTAAGCACTACACCCACACAGCAGGGTACTGGGCTACTCCAGTGTCAGGGACGCGTCCGGGGTGGAGGGGGCCCGGCTGTAGCGCCCGGCAGAGGGACCCTCTCGGGGGACGAAGCGGGCGCGCGTACTGACGGGCCCGATCTGGGACTATAGTCCCTGGCCACTTGGACTGAAGTGGAAAACGTGAATTGTTATTAAAAGGAAGAACTACACTACTTACCTGAAGTGGAAAACGTGAGAAGAAGGTTACTTCTTCAGTTCCCACTTCAGGTACATTTATGTACATGCGGCTTGGGTCACGTGACAGGTGCCACGTCATCTGCGGAGAGGGCCGCAGCCATCCGGGTATCCCTGCGGGGGATCCCGAGGGCGTCCGCGTGTGCTGGGCGTAGCGGGAGGTCGCCCGGGGTGTCCGAGCCGGACGGGTCAGCAGTACAATGATACAAGGGAAGGTGGTCCGTGTAAATAGAAAGAATAAACAGAAAGGGAGAGTGAAATAAAGGAGGAAGAGAAAAGAGGGAAGAGGGAGGAAAGGGGAAGAGGGAGGAAGGATGGGTAGCGGGGAGCGGGTGAGCGGGTGAGCGGGTGAGGTGGGCCCAGGTGGGCCCGGGTGGAACCGGGTCAGGCAGGTGTGCCCTGACATCCAGTAACCAACCTAATCAATACAGCAAGCTGCTCTGACACTTATGTACTACTAATGTCATAGCTAACACACAGCATAAGTACTTAGAATACATTCTAGAGCTCTGATACAAGTCTGAGCTAACACATGATATAGCCTTATATTTTAAAACTTTCAGTATCATTTGGTTGTGTCATACCAGGAAGAGAAACAGGGGCACGAAAAAGCATCCTTTGGATCTTTCCGATCAAGCCATATCAGATAACATCAATCAAAGTCAGAGACAGCAATTTCCACATACCCGTGCTGGTATCTGGGTGAGGTGAATTGAAATTGCTTGACCCTGAGCTTGCTCCATTTTTCTCCGCAGGTGAGTCCGTGACAGGAGACTAGAGTGAGGGTCAGGTCAATATTGAGGCCATTATTGGAGATGGAAAAGACGAACTTCATGAGGAGTGAAATAGAATACAGGCCGGGAGCCGGCTGAAGAAGGGATGAGTGATGAAAATGAAAAGTCGCTATCAAGCAAGAGGCCATACTTACCAGACAGGAACCATAGTAAGCCCACCGAAGCCTGGAAATGGAGAACTGGCGTGATAGTGAGTGTCATATCACCACAAGAATGAAAGAAATCCACCAGGGAAAGCGATGTCAATGCAACGAGCCTGTGCGAATCAATCTCTCTATAAAAAGGAATAGACGGCGGATCGAACAGTACCCACGATGTTAGAATACCTGTGTTTATAGCATATAGCATAAGTGTTTTCACAATCGCATCCGTACTGTAGAGATTATGAGACAGTGTCGACTTCATGAACGAACGGGGAAACCAACTGTTGAACGCCTGTCTGACGTTTCCTAAGTTCTGCACACATCAAAGCAGCGATGACAACATCAAGTAATGCCTAAGCAAGATGGGAAAGATATTGATTCAGGAGGAAGCGTCAAAACCGTATAAAAGACTCACTTCGGACCCTAACCAGGTGGTGGTCAAAGGTTCGATACCAGTTATAAGCGCTTCCATATCGTGAGTATGCATCGTCATCCTACAACAAATGTCAACACCAACGCCACACTTGTCTAATGCATCAATTGACGAAGAACATACGAGATTACATTGACCGCTTTACGACCATTTATCAGAACAACTGAACTGAGCGTGAGGAAACAAGCTCACCAATGCCAGAGCCTATAAAAGCGTTAAATTTTCATTGGCATAAATGGTTACAAGGTCGGAGGAAAAATAAATCTTTGGGAGAATCAGCAAGGTGGAGCACATACCTAACTGACACATCAAGACCGCAATCTGTAATCGCAAGTCAAGACTACTTCGCTAGCACAGGGTTGCACAGGGAAAGTGCGCACCAATGTAACGGTCAAGAAGATACTTCCATACACTTCGCATGAACACACGTAAGCTTCATTGCAACAGACTTGCCATGATGAGAACGTACACCTGTGAAGCAGGCCCAAAAAATAGAGCTGAACAATCGCTGCGGTTATAACCTAAGTCCGATATTGGTCCTGATAACACGGCAGTAGTGCGACGCAATAAACTGACAGCGCTTAATTGAAATATCGCCTCCTGGCTAGAGGGATGACTATTCAGCTTGCTCACTGTGTAACTAAAGATGCTAAACTTACGATGAATTAGTGGTTATGGTCGAGGCACCATCGAACCGGCCAATGAGCTCGCCGTATGCACGAGAGGCAAAACATAACCTAAGGAACCACTGAGGGACGATTCAGAGTGACACGAACTGGCGCATCCATACATCTGAGAAAACTGTAGCAAGCTGGAACAGCAGAAGCTCGTCAGGAGTGACGTCAAGCGAAGGGACACACGAAGTTACCATACAACGACAACCTGATAACACCAATCAACTAATATCCTGCAAAATAACGCACAAAGGAAATGAACTCACTGTGACCCGAGTCCCCAGAGGATCACCCCGAAAGGCAGAGAAGTAGTGAAAGGTTTGAACCGTCAAAATACCCAGTAAGCTGAGTAGCGGACAGTAGAGTCGAAATGAGAACAAGAACAAGTCAGCTTTGGCGACCTTACGAAAGCGTTAAACCAACATACACGGCAGAGCACACTCCTCCAATCAAGTAACTCCCCCATAGCTGCTCATAGGGCGTCATGGTGTTTGTCATGTTTGGCAATGATGCCAAGCGGGTAGCTGGCAGAGGACGATCTGCCAACAGTGAGAGAGCGTTTAAATAATCCAAGGATCTGAGGAAATAGCACCGAGGCAATTGCAGATAAGGAGCTATTAGTAGCATTATATATTGCTCCTTGCCGTGGATGAATGAATGTGTGAGAAATTCACCTTCACAACGGATTGCCACGCGCAGAAGGATTCCGGAGGAAGGACGGCCCGCGAAATATCATTCCAACGCGCAAGGTCAATCTGCTTCGCTTTGCCCAGAGTGCGAACACCGTGAGTGCAAGATGGTGGCTGCCCCAACCCCACTACAAGACACGTTCTGCGGTGCTTCTAACTATGATGTTAAGAACTTTTGATCTCCCCAGGAACGGTATAAAGGAATTTCCCATGGGGATTGTCTGAGTCGTCTCCACAACAATATTAATACTGCCGGAGGTCTCATGTGTGAAACCGGACATAGCCGGGAGAATTGAATGGCTGCCGCGGCCTGAGGTTCATCATCTGGTTCTCATTTCTTTCATGATGGGGTTCGTCAGCCTGTTTGAACTTTCAGTGCGTCCTTGGTGTGCGAGTGCCTCTCTGTTTGCTATTTGGTTTTTGGGTTTGATCTTATCGGTCAACGTGTACTTAGCTGCTTAGTCACAACCTGATGTGTCCGAATATTGTCATATTGCACTGATACCACATGAGGGATTATCACAACAGGGGGTCTGCGATCAATCCTCGGGTCACAGACCCAATTATGACTGCAGTTTGAGATGCTAAATTCCGTCACCCACTTTTGCTTCCGAGAAACTTTGCTCACAAATCACCACTGTTTGACTCCCTAACTGACAGAAAGGATGTTGGAGTTCAACGGGTATACAGTATAGAAAACCATAGGGATGAGGCCGCAATGGGGCCGGGGTCGGACCAGATGAGAGTAGACCACTGAATAGAATTGTCGGCACAAATATATGTAAATACATGTTTTGAGGTTGATCTCCAACATACAGTAGGAGCTTAGGCCCTACAGCTATCATGGGTTTAAGGTGGCGTAATTGAAAACTTCCATTTCTTTATTCTTCTTCGTTGAGACAGAGCGCTTTGATATTTCGCTTTGACTCGGCCCCGATGACTCTTTGGCCTGGCGTACTACGCGCTGGGGCCTCAACATTTATCTATAAAAAATTCGCCTTCTCGCTTTCTCGTCTCCCTCAGTTCACTTTACAGCCGTTTGCAGAAAAATCTGCCGTTTTGAATTTATCGGGTATGTGATCCTGGTCATTCACCTTCCTAAAAAAGTTGGAAGGATCAGGTTCAACGAAATAGAATTTCCTTATTTGAGGGAAACCCCAATGATACCCCCTAAATGTATATAGAATTAGAAGCGCCTGAGCGCGTTCACAACAATTGTCCATCCAGTCATTATGGGGAAACACCTTGAGCCTGGTGCAAAGGATATTATCGTCTTTATGTCCTCAAAAATGAATTCAAGCAAGATTGCTTACTTCTCAGGAGTGTCTGAACGTACTGTTCGGCAGATACTTGCCACTCCACACCAGCACCACCAACACCGAGAAGAAACCCGAGGGCGGCATCGGATGCTCAGTGTCCACGCGGTAAATGTACATAATCTGAAGGCCGGCACTGTGCGGGATATTTTAACTCATAGTTCCGAAGTTTCTAGACAGCCTTGTTGAGCAGAAGCCCGACTTATACTTGGATGAACTACAAGCTGCACTCAAAAATGAACTTGAGATTGAAACAAGTATCCATACAATTCGTAGAGAGCTATGCAGGCGCGGTCTCACTAGGAAGAAGGTTGGGCTTCCCCGCTATCTTTTGCAGTCATGGCGCTGACTTGTTCACCAGCTTCAGAAACCAGCAGCTGAGCGCAACGAACAACTGCGAGCTGATTTCAGGAGACATATGGAGACAACTTACCATGCAAACCAACTGATCTTTGTGGATGAGACAGGGGTTAACCGCAAAACATCCTCGCGTGCATATGGCTGGGCACCATCTGGAGAGAGGGCTCGGCGACGCGACTTCTTTGTCCATGGCACCAAGTTTGTACCAGAATCTATTCGGCAACTTTGGTACTAAACTTCTATTCCTTAGATATTCTGTTCTTCCTGCGATGTCAATGGATGGAATTGTTCACGTTGATATTCAGAAAGATGCATATACCGCAGAATCATTCAATAACTTCATTGCCTCAGTCCTCATTCACATGAACCCATACCCCCAGCCCTTATCTGTTCTTGTCATGGACAATGCCTCCATTCATAAATCCGAAGTCCTAGCGGAAATGTGCCATGAGCGGTGTGTCCAAATTTCAGTCCGGATAGGTTTGATACTAATGGTATTGCAGAGGCGTTAGACTCGAGTTTCTCCCCCCATACTCCCCTGACTTCAACCCAATAGAATTAGGATTTTCGTCCATTAAGCAATGGCTCCGGAGGAATCGAGAATATGTTGATAATGAATTTTCTTCCGGTGAACATTACCGAGCAACAGACCTGCTCTTGAGAGCAGTGTTCTCTGTAACAAGTCACCAAGCACGCGGATGGTTCAGGCATGCTGGCTACCTCTAGTGTTGGGGCAACCTTGTTTTGTTTTCTGTATATACAGCACTATAGTCTGAGTAGAAACTTGTATGGTACGGAGTGATTGGGTTCAAAAAAAAAAAGAGACTGCTGTTTCAAACTTCACTCTTCACTATGTACGTCATCAAATCCCAATCTAGATTCAGAATCAACCTGTACATCCGAAGAGCCAGAATCTGAGGATATTTCGATGACTGAAATAGAGGTCGGCAAGTTTATACAGGTGGCAAGTCGCCACTTTTGGATCCGCAAGTTTTTTGGTGTTTGAGGAATGCTTCTAAACTGCGAGGTCAAGGCAGCCAAGGTTGAAGCATGCTTGATTGGAGTCAGAGAACGGTCCAAAAATGAAGGTTGTATCTTCTCCGGAGTGCGCGGGACAAGAACTACAGGTACTTTTGAGGTTGAGACTTGCTTGACAGGAGTCGGAGAAAGGTCCAAAATAAATGGTTGTGTCTTCTCCGGAGTGCATGGGACAAGAGGCTTCCAGCGCTTAGCTGGGATTGGGGACAGAGGGGGAGTGTTGGCTGAGCGCGAGCGCTTCCGGGTGTGATGGTCATTTTTTTGGCGTTTGAGAAGCAAGGCACTAAACAAATGACTATTGGGTGGTTGGGTGAATGAGACTCCCTTGACACCATCAGTCTATGACACCATTCAGGCTGAGTGAGAGGAAGCGTGAGTGAAGAACTAAACAAGCATACCATCGCCTTTGCCCAGACAGCAATTGCCTCCTTGTCCAAATGCAAATGACGGAATTCCACATCAGGGTGGCGATAGCAATGTTTAAAGCATCCATTGCACCAGAGCTTCTTGCAAAGTTCCTCATATATTACATGACGCGCAGAAGCAGTTGTGGTGGCTGTGGCTGTGCTCCGTTTTTTGATCGCAACGACTCGAACTTCCTTCCTGACTGCATCCTGGATTCACAAAGTTGTTGTTATTGTTATCATAGTGCAATGAAACACAAACCTTATTGATAATGCGTAATTTTTTGGTCTTGTATGCTCGGGACTGAATTTCGCGTTGAGCCTCAATCGCACGGGTAAAATCCTCTATATTGTTAATACGTGTCCAGATCGATTCCTTTTCATCAGAGAGACGATAACCAATGCGATGGGCAGCAAGGTCCACCTCCATCCTACTTAAAATCTCGTGAAGAACTTCTTCGGGTGGTCGAGATTTTGAATCAACAAAGAATACAGTCTCATCCTCCTTCTTGGGATCCATTGTGTTCAGAGTGAACTGGTACTCAAAATCTATGCAGTATAAAGTTGCCCAAAGTAAGATTAAGAAAGACGTAGTAAGACGCTGAAACATACCTTTTGTTCCCTTCTCATTTGGCTTTTCCTTCTCCTTCCCGTTTAGCTTGCTATGCTCGGTGGCAACTCGTGGCACCTGGGATGACACTGCCAGGGGGGCTGACACGGGGATATGGATCCTATATGGTGGCACAGGGTTGAACACCGCGATAGGGCCCAATTGACCAGGATAGACGGGAAGATCACTTTGGGTCGACAGCATTTGCACAGGCAGAGGCAGAGGCAACGGGTTCAGAGTGGGTTGGGGTTGAGAGGAATAGGGAGGTTGCCCATCACGCTTATCATCATTGTTGACATATAAATTCTCACCGGGGTTGAACGACATATTAAGCCGGAGAGTTTGAGTAAAGCGCGCAACGTTTCAGTCCTTCCCCCTGTTCCAGGTGTCCTATATATGGCGCTAGGTGCCCAATATAAAGAATGACCAATCAACAGGCAACCCCTGCTGCTGTCATCGCTGTACCACGCGGCCAAATCACAGGCGCTCATTTGGTATGCCAACAAACAAACAATGAGCACTTGACCCAACAAGAATGCCGGCCCTGAAGTTGGCGTACCTTGCCCATGACCTGTCAGATGGCTTGTTGAGTCACGATTTGGTTGATGTGATAGACAGTTGGGTCGGAATTGCGTCAGCAGCATGTTCCGTGCATCCGGTGAGTGGGTACAATAGATCCGCAGACTTTGACTATGCTATGCCGGCAGGTGTATGTTCCAAGGATAGGCCGTGAGCAGTGGAGGAGCAATAGTGCCACTCAGCAGAGTATGGAGTACATTGGTTTTGACAGCAAGCCTCACTTCGCAAGTCATTGCGTGATGGCCACGTGATTTTGTATATATTGTGGTGCCCAAACTGAGGTTGGACCCCGGCGCTAAGCCGACTATCCGCATAAGGAAATCCTATTTCGTTGAACCTGATCCTTCCAACTCTTTTAGGAAGGTGAATGACCAGGATCACATACCCGATAAATTCAAAACGGCAGATTTTTCTGCAAACGGCTGTAACGTGAAGCTGAGGTGAGAGCATACTCCAACAGATTATTGTGAGTCTTACTAATGATAGTTCTATTGCGACTAGCATACATTATCACAAAGGAGGGAAAAGTACATCTTTGTCAGTTGAAAAATATATTGATCAAAGTGTTAATACATGTTCCCACAGCATGGTCATTTCCAACAAACCAACTGCCGCGGCCCGAAAACGACGGATGCATTCAAGGACCAATGCCAAAATATAACCATGCTACCCAAACTTGGGGAATGTCAGATTATCCACCCAAGGTCCTAAGATCATGGAACTTTCTGAGCGCACCCCGACTCAGCATTATATATGATCGAGCAGAGTTGAGCCAGTAGGAATGCTGCTTGGCAATGGGGTGTTTCTCCCGTGTTTTAAGCAGGTCAGTACGTGCTCATCGAGCATTCAGCAAGTGCCTGAGGCCGTGTACCCAGATATCCACCACCGCAGAGCTAGCGCGTCCCGAAACACTGACACTATTCCACTGTTCCTCTTGGGCCGTGCTCTTGGCCGGGGCCCTTAACCTCCAGCATATTATTACAGATCAAGGGCATTACTGTGATAGGCGTGCTTTAATACTATGGGGGAGAAGTGTATCTTCCCGGAACTCCCCAAGACGAGTCCTGGGATAGGATACAAAGCAAAATATGAACACGTCGGTACGATGTCGGACGAGTCCTCAGCGACAACCGCAGTGTTCCCAGGCAAGCAGTTGGCGCCGAGGGGGTCCAAAGGTAGTTTTAACACTACACTGGTTTGGGATGCGGTGCTGAGTGTTCTGCCCAGTATCATCGCTTTGGGCGATACCCACATTCACATGCTGGACCTGAAAGGACGAAGGAGGCTTTCCCTTCAACGTACACCATCCAGTTGAGCATTCAGAAGGGCTCTCACATTATTTCCCGCCTCTGGCACCACACATTCCACTAGAGGCTAACATTCCACGCGCTTTTACAATAAAGAACTTCGAGAAGTCGAAGCAGGATACCATGGGCCCAGACTAGCAGAAGCATCCAATCATCGATACAATAATCCACCCAGGGAATCTCGAAGCGACCACGCGGCTAATGGAAGTCGAAGAGGGCTAAGATAGTGATACCGAAGCAGAAGAACCGAGGCTTCCCCTACAACGCTAAACGGTGTACACTGGCGTGCCAACCATTTATGGTTCGAATTAATGGACAAAGATGACAACTAAGGTCCAAATCGATGGTAAACCAGCAGGGAGATAGATGGACCTGGAATCTCAGGGTCGCAAGACTAGCGCACGCTAATGGTCCGAAATTAATTTGCACTTCCCACGAAAAGAAATTCTGCTCGTAATATTACGCCTCGCAAGCTCGGCCAACAAACTACTCGGGAAAGTTTGGTAATCCTATATCCCATACAAATAATAAAAGCTGTAGAATCAGCTAGACTTGCAGCTATCTGCATCGGCTAGAATAGCTCGATGTCATTGAACTTTCAACATGTGGGCTTAGAACTTCAACCCGGGGGGCATCTCGCTACAATATTCCAGCACAGCAGCGTCATTGGGGAGTTATACGGGATCAAAGGTGATCTGACTAGACTCAAGTGAACGAACTCCGTGGATTCGATTGTTATATTGTTATATTGTTAGTGAGGAAGGCCTGGTAACCTCACTTGGACCTAGAATCTGCTTGAGTAAATGATTATCGCCCCCTACACTACCACCTTACGTGTTTAGGCAAACGGGAGAGATGTATACTCTCAGCCCGTTGGGTATGTTGTTTAATATGCGTTCGTGATTGGAGACTACGACGGTAGGTCAGAGAAACGTTGACAGAACAAAGCAAAAAATGGGAACTGACTTCACAAGGAGTGACACCGAGTATATTCCTGAAGTTGGCTATGATGTCAAAGGAATTGAGGTGATGCAGATGACTGCCTAGGCAAGAGGGACGATACCAGACAGAAACCATGGAGGGTCCAATGGAGGCCATTGATCGTAAACTGAAAAAATAAGACTGAGCCTACACGCTCTCTGATGATGAAAACTTGATTTACAACTAGCAGAATCACTATTGCGACAACCCTATCCAATATTCAGCCCAAAGTTGTGGATTTGTAGAGTAGTGAATTGGCGGAGGCTTACGATGTAAAGACACCTGTACCAATGGCGTAAAAGGTTAAGGAATTGATGATGGCATTGGTTCTGGAGTAAACATATCATCATATTATATCAGATCCGCCCACGCTCAAGAGAACTCACTGCCGAAAACCTGTTTGATACCTTCTGAGTGATAAGGACATCATCGCCGCAATGATGGTATCGAGCAAGATCTTATGTTGACGTAGTAATGATAAGTTTCGATGACACAACAGGCGCTTTCGAGGCCGTTTCCTCACTTCTATGCCAAGCCACGAAAGGTAAAGGGACCTCAAAGTCGTTTCTTGCATCGCCATGTCACCGACGGTGCGCAATTGAATACTGTGAAGTAGGGTAATTGTGAATTTAATGCATCAATTGCGTGAAGAATGAAACGCTTACGAGAACACATTCACCGCTTTATCGCGATCGGATCTATAATTTACTACTTGATATGACAATGACGCGACTAACTCACCAGCCCCTGCCCCTGCAAAATCCAGAAAGTTAAACAACAACAACTAATCAGCGTCTGTCACAAAAATATCCCAGAGAAGAATCCCCCTTGGAGGGAAGTGTCCAAGGATGAATCGATGCTCAGAAGGACAAAGATTACCGAATTGACTTAATGCAAGCACGATCTATACAAAATCAGGTTCATTCTCATTCGTACTGCGGCTCGACAGTGCTGACCAAAGCGAGCGTCAGAAGCGCGGATTTATTCGCTACAGCCAGCAACGGTAAGGGCCAGAATCACTGCCAGCACTGAATGAACACACTTCTTTGAAGCCTATAGATAAAGAAGAGCTGAACAGTGGCTGTGGACGCTAACTGAAAGGCAGCAGGGACTTTCAGACTATGGTACATTCATGCTATATAAATACTCACGGAACTAAAATGGAGCATCGGCCGACTTCAGAAACAGATCATAGTTAGGCGGACCAGTGACGAAGCGTGTTAACTATGACTTACAGCAGGGTGGTGGTTAGTGACACCCCTAAGTTTTCGATTATCTCAGTGAAAATGTAGTACGGATGACATGTTCTTGTATACAAGAAACATGGTTAGTGCTTTTGGAATTAATGGCGAAATTGTGCCATACATGTGAATCAACTGGAGCAGGCTTGATAGGAGATCTTCATTAGACCAGCTATATCCGGCTCGAAGGTGCGCAACATACCACACAAGCGCAACCTGAATTCCAAATCAGCGAACAGGAATGCCGCCAAAACACCCCAGATTCAGGACTCACTGTCATCCGGGTCCCTACCGGGTCACTGTGAAAGGTCGAGAAGTACCGATCACATTGAACGGTTAATATACCGCCTAGTCTGAAGAAGAAAAAGAGGCAAGTGAAATGTGTGCATAATCCGTTAGCCTTTTGAAGCAATCGGGGATTTGACGCACATTGTGGATATTACACCTCCAACGAGGCAACCACCCCACAGATGCTCATATGTTGTTATACCCATGATGTAGCGGTGAGCGGGTATGGAGACAATGCCTGGCGGTCTCAGCTTAAGAAATTGAAGGGATAAGGGAAATCGGGATGGGGGACCTGCGGCCCTTATATTAATCACCCATACTGGCAGAGACCCGCAACCGCACGATTGAACCCTGCATTAATTCAGTGATACTTCGCATATGTTTCCCGGAAACCGGAGGTGCCCAGATTGCTTGATGACAAATTTGCACTCAGTTCAGTTTGGGTATGCCTGTCCATTGGGAACAGACATATACAGGCATGCCCATACTACAGAAAAATGCTCAAGGGCTCCGATAGGCCATACCTCCCATTGCTTGCACGCATTCCTGCACCAGAACGGCTCCGAATGGGTCCACTCCGCACATTCGTCATCAATACTGGTGCGATGCTTCATGTACAGCGTTATTTTTAATGATGCCCAATGAGTGATAATTATATTTGGAGAAGAATTATCCGCCCGTTACCAGCCAATGTTAGGCGAGTGGCTCGCCCAGTGGGTGAATTCTGATTGCACTGAGGTGATTGTGACTATTGCCCCGGACAGTGCCGCATGCCAGTGAACACGGAACATCATCGTTGATTCCACCAGTCGACATGATGAACGTCAGCTATATGACCGAAGGAGAGCCACCTGGGTATGTGTTTGGGGAAGACACAAAGTAGAAAGAAAGACAGTCCCGGTCCCAGGCGCGCTACGACTTGGAGAGCTCTGGAGAAGGGGGGAACGGGGAAAACAAATGAGCGAAATGATCCAACGATTATATTGACAGAGGACATGTTTCCCAACATAGGCATATGGGCTCGCATTTCCCAAGATGGCAATTGCCAGCTCCAATCGCCAACTCGCGCAAAGATTCCGCTAAGGCTGTAGGTGTTGTATCCATTCATCGAGTCCCAAAGAAATCGCATAGTCCAGCTTGTTTCAGGCTCGTGGTGAAATCAGTTGAAGGGTATCGACAACTGTTTGGGTTTTTTTGTAGGTAACCACCAACAAATGCAATCAAGGAAGAAGCAGCAACCAAACTGGGTGGAAGTCACCAGCTTGATGGTGTTTGATCACCGAATTGCGAAGAACAGTTCTGATCATGCTGCCCTGGAAGATCTTTCACGAAGTTGCAATATCGTGTGGGCCACCACGACGGCTAGGTCACCCTGGACGGTGCATACCAGTAGGTGCCGCACCTCCGAGTTAGTTAGGTGCATGGCTTAGCAGTTGCCAGCATTTTGGCGACAACGGCGCCTCCGTGGAACCCGCACCGCAAGGTGCCCGTGGACGCAGTCAAACGGTCATGCGGGTGCTTTCCCACGCACGGCCCGGTCGAGCTCGTTATTTTCCGTTACAATGTCTTTCGGGATCCCTCAGGAGCTTTCGGCCTCCCTACATTCCTTTTGGTATCATTATCTGTTGCTCAAGCTTTGAGTACAACTGCCCTCGGACGCTGGTAGTTGTCCGTTGCGGTTTCCATGTTGATTCCATTCGTAAGGGATACACTTTCCTCAACGAGTCGACATTTAAGGGATTACAGTAGCACAATCTGGGATAGGCACAAGCACCGCTCTTCGAAGTCAAGGGTCATATATGGGTTCCCTGCTTGCCTTCAGAGAGTCGCGGCTCAGGAGGACAAATCAGACAGCGAAGATCTTTCGAGGAACCGGCGATGGGGCTCCCGGTCGGTTGTCTAATGAGTTTAATGAAGCTCGAGACTACCTTTCGAATGAAAGGACAGTCTTGGCCTATCTGTCGCATTTGCTGAGCCTGCGGGGTCTCTCCAAGACTAGATCTTCTCACTACCCTTTGGGTATTTGATGATGCAGGGCTTTCAATGCCGCACCGCCATTCACTGAATTCGCAAAATCAATAGGAGCGATTACGATCCTGTTCGGTTTGGCTGTACTTGTCATGGGTAAGCGGACCAGACATCCTGATGATGCTGTGTTAATCAGGTCCGAGGCGATACTTTCAGGTACAAAGCAGGCTTAAGCGTATTCAGCCCTGGCTTCATTTCGATAGCCCTCGGAGTTCTTGTCCTCAGGTTTAGCGTCGTACTCGCAGCGGTTCCAAGGTAACTAATCAGCGGATGGCCCTTGGGCCAAAATGCAACCATCGTCTGCACCGATTGTTTCCACATCCCATTCGTTCTTCTCCCACAAACCGGTGCCCTCATAGATCTGGTGGCACTGCTCCAAGACCTCGCCAAGTCTTCGAGTCGGCCCACACCGTTGAACATGTCCACCAAGTTGGCAGTACGTCGTTGGAGGCCCCCAGCGCAACCATAGAGGTATTTGAGCACTGTAGGGATTTTCGAGCGTGCCACGTCATGACAGAATCGTTACATTAGTGGTTGTCCATATCGTTGCCTGTAGGAAATGACTGGGAGTAAATTTGCCCCTGTGCGCATTTCGTTTTGAATATGAGAAACCTCCACCAGGAGGCCGGAATAAAAACGGCGTTAAGTGCTTATCTCCTTTAGGAGTAATTCGCACTGCCAAAGGTCAAACACTGCCCATTAGTTGCTTTCATTCGCGCACTCAAAAGCCAACCAATCCTTCTTCGACCCCTCCAACCGTATTTTCGGCTCACTCCATGTCTGAGATTCGTCGCAAGCTTGTCATCGTTGGCGATGGTGCATGTGGAAAGACTTGCTTATTGATCGTCTTTTCTAAAGGCACCTTCCCTGAGGTAAGTGTCTTGTTCTTGGCGCTAATTCCCGCTATGGGGGAAGCGAAATCAGGGGTCTATCAAAGGCGTTTTGTCCGGTGCGAGGGAGGTCTCTGCACTTGGGGGACATTGAACTCCACTATCTCGCATTTCCCGTTCTCGGTTGTTCCTTGTTAAGGGCGCTGACTGAACCATCTCATCTTTGGCTCCCTCACATCCCCCTCCATGATTCTTTTAGGTTTATGTGCCTACAGTGTTTGAGAATTACGTCGCCGATGTTGAAGTTGATGGCAAACATGTTGAATTGGCTCTCTGGGATACCGCCGGTCAAGAGGACTACGATCGCCTCCGGCCTCTTAGCTATCCAGATTCGCATGTCATTTTGATTTGTTTTGCAATCGACAGTCCCGATTCGCTGGACAACGTTCAGGAGAAGGTCGGTTAGCAATCACTGCTCTTTGATTCATCTCCAACAAGATGTTGAACACCCCTCATAAATTTTAGTGGATATCCGAGGTCATGCATTTCTGTGCCGGACTGCCTATCATCCTGGTTGGGTGTAAGAAGGATCTCAGACGTGATCCAAAGACTATTGATGAGTTGCGGAAGACCTCTCAGCGCCCGGTCACACCCGAGGAGGTGAGCGTTTCAGCTTACATATTTGGGAATAACCTGATCCTAGAGATTACTTTTAATAGGGAATGGCTGTGATGCAGAAAATTGGTGCCCGTCACTACCTGGAGTGCAGCGCTAAGACTGGTGACGGTGTTCGTGAAGTTTTCCAATATGCGACTCGTGCTGCCCTTCTTTCGAAAAGGCCTAAACCAAAGTCAAAGTGCATCATTGTTTAAACATTATCCACCCCATACGCACATCAATCACTCCCTAGAGATGGTTTGGTTTAGGTGGTGGATATTGAAGTGTTTGCGTTTTTCAAATATGCAGTTCGCTGGGGCACTGAAAGAGCCTTTCTGTTTCTTTCTTACCGCCCACTCATCTCGTAGGCAGACTCTTGGTAGCGTATTATCATTCCCTACGTATCATATTTCTTTTGGTACTCTGTAATCCAGTAAATATTGCAAACACAAGAACTGAGTTCTGTTCCATGGTCACGTGCCATACAGATTCAAGTTTAGCGTTGGTGGTCCTCGCACTCTCGCCATCACAGTTGTCAATGTATATCATTTGATGTTCTGCAAGTTGACCGACCTGACCCCGGACCCTGTGAGCCCATATATCTGCTACTGCGAGATTCAGCGACTTTCCAGGGTCTGATCTTCACATATGGATCAGATCCTGATACCATAATTAGTGACGTCCGTTAGAGCGCGATACTTATTCCTTCAAGTTCCCCCATTCGCTTCTCTTCTGGTCACAAGCCGAAAATGAAGATTTCGGCCTAGTTGTTCTCAGGGGTGAGTATTAACCCCGTCATAGCCGGACGGGGTGAAACAGAGTTGTACGGATGGCAGATGCCCGAAGCCAACGGCATTGCAGCCTTGCTTTCTGCCATCCATCAACTCAATCGCTGACGTTATACTCACCACTCAGGGCATGGTGATGGGGGAAAACCTCAGTGCTACAATTACGTACTTCTTGTCTGCCCTTCTAAATGACCCATGAGGCTCCCCGCTGGCGCACGTTGTTATCAGGATATTTGTCGTCTGCGGGCGGTCTCGAACAGTTGACGTGCTGAGCACATCACGCTCGTGACAATTTCTTCCTGTTCGTATTACTGTCAGGCGCGTGTTACCTTTCATATCATGGGATGGGTATTCTCGCTGGCTATGTGTTTTTTTTTCGTCCGTAGAACGCCTCGTGGTTAGGCTGTTGTGGAAACTGCTGGAGGCCGTTTCGCCAATTGCCTTGCGGCTTCGTGGTTATTATAAGGTGGCTCCGTTCGCCTGTGTGCAGCACCCCTAGGCTGGCCACATTAGCTAAACGCCCGTCCGAGTGAAACGTTTTCTCCCTAGAACATTCGTTTGTTGCAGGCCCCTCCTGGAAAAGTTGCACCTGTCGCTGCTGTCCGGACAGTTAGCCACAATGTTAAACCAAGGCCCTGCTATCCATTTTGACCCTGAGAGTCGCAAGCGCTGGGCCGCTCGTCTCGAGACGGGTCGTCGAATGAAAGGTCATGAACTCCAGATGGCGTATGAACGCGCCGGACCATATATCGCGCAGCGCGTGAGAGAACTCATCAAATTGCACGGCTGGACATTACAATCACGCAGTCAGTGGGTAGGTTCCATTTCACGCTTCCACCCGGAGCCTTTTTTATTCTTAGTGCCTAATTCCGTGCTCTTTATTGCTTTCCCCAGTACCTATTCGAATTGATACATGAATCCGATGCGAATAGATCCTCCTCGTCCTCTATCTCTTTTCAATCTTCCATCCGTTCCCACAAACGAAACACCCCCCACTTCCGTCTCCCGCTCCTTGTGGCCGATTTTCTCCGACCCAGCCGCTTCGAGTCGTGGGAGGGTATCCTTGCTGACAAGCGTCTTGTCAAATGTAAACGACCCAATGCCTGGAGTCATGACCTCTACATCAATTCCCCCGAGCCTCTCGTGGACATATTCTATCTCCTCCAAGTCCTTATTCCAGGAATGATACAGATCAAGCGGATCGATTGGATTGAGGGTGTAGGCGACCAACATATCACGAGAGTTCTCCCAAGGGAGTCATGGATCCAGAAGAATGCTGAGGATCTAGAACATATTCTCGGGGACTCCGCGCGAGTACGCAATATCATGGAGTGTGCAAGCGAGACGACTTCTGTAGAGATAACTTGGGATAGGTCAGAGTACCGAGACTGTTACAAACTGTAATAGCGACCAGTCGCAGGCTTGTTCGTCCAACCACCATCGGCTGGGCCTATGTATTAAGGCACACTTATTCCCCACCTGCGAAACGAGATGATCATTTCCGAATTGGAGGAATGCGCAGAGCTGAAGCAAATCAACAACTTCTCAGGCGATTTCCTGTCGCTGGCGAGGTTACTCCTGTGTCTCAACAGCTCAACATCGACTGGCTCTTGTTGGTAAAGACCCAAAAGCAGCAGCTAATGAATGTCGGGCCTCTTAATTTGTTCACGAATCTTAGACCTCTGAGGTGAAAACACATTCCACATTCATGACATGAACCTGTCATTCGATTTTGTAGCTGCAGTTGATGAAAGTGACTCGAGTGACAAAGAATGAATCTCGAGGTCGACTGAGATGCCGGTTAATCACGAAAGGACTAGAGTTCAAACCCAAATTGATAATGGATCCAATCGAACTACATCAAGGTGTCAAACAACCGAACCATAAAAAGTTTTCCCCTGATACAGTCAACGCAGGCTTCTGACCGAGAGCACAATGTGACATTTACACCCACGAGCGGTCAAAACCGCTCCCAAGGATATACGAACGATTCAGCTCAGCTGCGATGCTCCGGAGCACTACCAAATAATTCCAAACCCAAACCCCCACCACAGGGGCTGCACTGAGACCCCGAAGGATGAGGGCAGAACCACACGAATGCAGGTTCCCAAGGCTCAAACCGCTCTCACGTCGGTCTAGGGGATCGGGCAGAGCGTAGCGTGACCGGCTACGCTAGTAAAAGGAACCCCGCCATCGACTCCCTGTGCTTGTACCACTAGAAAAACTAGACAGGACAAGGGTTGGGAGCAGTGCCCGTAACTCACCGATGTTTCATTGACTCAACAGGGTCATCGAAGGCTTTCTTATTATAGCCCATTGAAATGCCTGGGCCATCGTAGGATCTGATGGAGGCCCCCATCTTTGGGATGCTCAGATTTTATAAAAACATCCGGAGAGGCGCGGGGAGAGCAGATCTCGAAGAGTGAGAGTATCCCACTCATCGTCGAACCTATTAGAATTCTTGGTGTCATAGCGTAACGCTGAGGCCAACTCATGTTTGTTGATGTTGAGTCTTGCGGCGATCATGATCTACTCTTGTTTCTTTTCTTGGAATACTCGCTGCTAAAGTCCATAGCGCCTGACTATAATACACCAATTTTTGGTTCACTCGACTTCTCCTCAGTTCACGCATAGCGGGCTGAAGTGAGTCTGAGTTTTTTCCCCTCCTTTCATTGTGTTCGTTACCAGCGAGAACATCGTTAGGCCAATTCACACATAGCGGACTGAGCGAGAACATCGCTAGTCTACGACTCTAATAGAGCCGTCCTGTATTCTCACAGAAGGCATGGAGTCGGGGTTTTCATGACCCGTCCAACATAGGCTATGTGCCCATCATATGTAGTGTTCGGTGGATAAGTAAATTGAAATGGCCATTCTGGTGGGGAGTAGAAGCAAGCACCTCACCTGCACTTGTGCCCATAAAATCCCTAGTGATAACGGATTGAAGTGTTGGGAATTGGGTTAGCTCCATGCGAGGCAGAACCGAGTTCTAACCTTAGGTGTTCGAGGTTGTCTGCTCTAATCGGCGGTAACCGCACGCAACGTAGACGCGGTAGATAATTTCATCATCAGTATGACTGCGGCTCATCGAAATAGCCAGATCCAAAGAGGTCAGTTTGGCAGCTATCCTCACGACATCTAAAATGGGCCCATGGGATAAGTCTGTCCGGAACCGCAAGTTGGTCACATCGGTGACAATCATCTGGGATAAAGAGATCTCTCTTGCAGAATAGCAGGTCAGACGACGTGTCCAACTGAAGAGTTATTCAAGGTGATCCCGAGCTTCTCCCTCGCCTCCGCGCCGAAACAGGGTAGATGGGACCATGCCGGGAAAGCACTGATTGAGCTGACAACCCGGAGCTTTGTGACGCGCCGGGCGTTTGAACCAGACCCCTCAAAATACCTATCATGTAGCCAGAGTATTTGGGATAGGGACGGCTTACGGATGTCTGAAATGGAAATGGACAAGCAAAGTTCTTGATCGGGAAAGCCACATTGCTAGTTTTCCGGGACAGTAACCTTTTCCATACTGAATGCACGACCACTAGCAGCTGTTCAGAGGCAGGCCAGCATGCGCGTATGCTTTCATGTAACACTCACGAGTGAGGGGGGTCCCCACTGCCACCTTTCTCGAGCGTGAACAGATCGAGGTGATTGTTTGTAAGTAACGACCAGCTGGCCAGAAAGAGAAAGTCGGGAGACCATCAGTACTAGTGAAGATAATGAACCAGACATCATTCGGAAGGCAGAGGGCGGGCCATGAAATGTTTTTGTGGCGCTTTCGAGGACTCCCAAGTCTTGAGATACAAGCTCTGGCAAACGGGCGAGAAGGCGGTATTCTTGTTGAAGATTGTACTCTTCATGGATGAGAGAAGAATGGGAAAGAGAATTGTGGAACCGATTTAAGTTGGACGAACTAAGTAAAGAATGAGCTCTGTAAACGAACAAGCGGGACAGGCTGGGGTCGCCAGTGTTAGCGAGGCGGGAGAGGCCAGTCCAAATGCCGCGACTGAGGTGACCTCTCGAAAGATGTCCTCGGAATAAACATTGCATGTTGAAAATAGTGAAGAATCAAGAAAAAAATAAAGCGATTGAGCATGCCCAAATCCTACTCCACTAGTGTCGAATGGAAGTCGCCACGCCCGTTATATTTAGCCTTTCAGGTTGATAGATGTGGCATTCACTCCAACCCAATCGCTTCCCGCCAGTAGGCACGGCTCAGGCTGCGAGTGGCGGATATGCATACTGTGTTCCACATGCACAAACCCTGGCGTCAGCACGGATGTATTCTTCCCTATATACTGCAAGCCGTGTTCCACTCTAATATTACGATGTCATAGAGGCTAGAGTCTTGCCTAGTGTCCCGCTAATTATTGGCTCTGGCCTCTTCAACTGGCTTAAATCTCTCGTTGTTGGTGCTGCGGCTCATGTCGCCGGCGAGGACTTATTCCGTCGACACTTCTACAGTCCTCCATACCTTCTCACTATTTCTGGGGGCGAGGGGGAACAGCTCGCCCAGCTTCGGCGAGACCATATGGCTGGGGCTACTGTAAAGAATATTTTCGTTCATACTTCACTAACTCCACGAACATTGCTAATGATGGTTGGAGTTACTGTTGGCCCAAGGGCGTCATCGTTCAAAAGTGCTGAGAGCTTGCACGGGGGCGTATTCATTGTTAGTAAAGCAACCGAACCCACTGATATCGCGGGTTTGCGTACATACCCTTTGGTCACCAGCTAACGTAGTAAGGCTGCTTGAAGTTGCAATGCATAGGTAGGGGTCGGGGGACGCTCGTTAAGACTTTGCCTGTCAATTTCGTCAATAATGCTTACAGCAAAGTTCTGTCCAGAGGATCTTGTGCTTCAAATTTGCATTCTAAACAGGGTTTCTTGCACGGCGAAGTTCATTTGCCAGGGAGTAGTGGACGTGTGTCTCATTGTTTTTGGGTACAACAGGGGGTTCTTAATCAGAGTACAATACGCAAAAGTTCGGGTCGCGAGAGGAAATCAAGCCGTTTCATTCACCTTCGCAGACATCTTCGCTTGTTTGGCGAGGGCTCGAGGGGCGTCTCCCTAGAACAATAAAAGTGAGATGTAAGGACAGGGGAAGCGCAAGGGGAAAAAAATACCCTCGGCATGACGAGCTGAACGCGATGGTCAGTGAGAAAGGTATCCGCAACGCAATGGGATGATCATACCTCAACAAGCTGAATGTAAGGAGCCGAAGCAAAGCCTTCGTCCGTCAGTAGCTTCTCGAGCGATTTTCTGTTGCTGACACGATAACTCCTGTGTGTCCTCAACCGCTCAACCTCGACAGGGAGCGCATTGGACGGATAGTTGTTGGCATCCTCAGGTGGAGAGAGACTTGAGAGCAACAACTGATGATTCCAACGAGATATGTTGTTATAGAGTCGCTCCGGTCCGTGTATCTTAGACCGCTGATGTGAGACAAGCTGTATCACGCTTGGAACGGCACGTACTTGTCGTTCGATTTCATAGCCATCGCTAATGGGAACAAGTGGATGAGCATGAAGAACGATATCTCGAGGCCGGCGAACGTACTTGTTAATCACGAAAAGAATAGGGTTCAAACCCAAACGAATCATAGTTCCAATCTGACCAGCACTGAGGCGTTCAACATACATTCCAAAACTCAACGAACACAAAATGCTTGCCTCTTGCACAGTCAGCTGCAGACTTCCCTCCCCAACGAAAAGTATGGTACGGCGCTTCTGCTCACGAGCAGCCAGAGCCGCTCCCAAACATGCGCCAACACTCCAGCCAATGGAGCCCCAGAGAACTAGCAACGATGTCAACCGCGATGATATCAATATCACAATAGGAGGGACTGCATACCCTGAGAAATGAGAGTAGCACCCTTAGGAAGCCTGGAATCCAGGATACCAAAGCTGGCGGCGTGTGATTAAAGGAGCATCAAACCGAATGTACCACAAGGTCTTACCTGCTTGTCCCTGTTTCCGCGACGATGACATCCCCTTCCTTGAAAAACTTACTAACCCTCTTCCAAAGATATTCATGTGTAATCTCGTCAGCCGATTGTTCCGCAACTAGAGAAGGTTCTTCCGTTCGGCCCCCGGAACTCCTTATCTCCTGAGATATTGCCTTAGGGTTCTTAGAGAAGTGGTCACTGAACGCAGTGATGAGTTGCGGGAGAAGCGAACGTAGGCCGGCGTTTGGGAACTCTGTGCAACCGATAAGCAATTATGCGCTAGCGTGTGGACATGTATGAAGAACATACCAGCGTAACCGACAACTGTGCGGTCGATTCGGATTTCGACCGTGTTTTCGCACTTGATTCCATACGAGAAGCTACCGGTATTGAAATCACTCTGGGAAATTGGTCAACGTAGTGTCTGAGGAACTTTCCAATGCTGAACGGACCTTCAATGGGCCAACGTCAAAGACAAGGTCAGCCGCTTCAACTTGCGCCGCAACTGAGGGAACAGTCACGCTTCCCGCATAAATCTATTTCCGAGTTCAAAAAAGTTGAGCTGAACATCACAATCACAAAAACTCACGCCACTGAACAACGGATGGCTCTCCCAAACCGTACTCTTACCCATCGGACTGACAAACACCTTCATTCCCGTCTTCTCCGCCAGCTCCACTACGAGTTCCTCGGCACCCAACCTTTCTGCGAGGGCATCCAATAGAATAATGGGGTTCTTTGCCTGAGCGAATAGGGATGTGATAGCGCGCACAGCAGCATATTGCGCATGCGCCACTTCCTCTTCTTTCGCGGAGAATTTCTTCACGGGTTGAAGGTCAGTGGGAAGGTCAGAAGAGGGAACCAGAAGTGGATGGGGCGAAGAAACAGATGGCGGAAGAGGGACCTTAAGGCGTTCGGCAGGAATTTCTACTAGAACAAGATTTGTTGGAACTATGATAAAGCGGCGTCAGGAAAGGAATGTACGATCAAGATAAATAACTCACGCATGAGATAAACGGGGCGACACTAAACAAATATGTTTTCATCAATAAGGCATTCCGGTGACTCAGCGGTGAGCAGACCTCGGTGAGCATAGCAGTTAGGACCTCATCAATGCGCTCCGCAGCGTTATCTTTGCTGTCCAATGACGCAGCCATACAGGTGATATGCGAAGACATTTCCTTAAAAACCCTAAAGTCTATGCAGGAGAATGAGACATTGCACCATTAAGTGCCACAAAACACTGTGACTTGCCTCCGTCGCCAAGGGTGTGGCTAAATCAAACGACTGAGTTCATAGTTTTTCGATTAGAGTTAGTATGAGCTACATACTGGAGCATGGCACGATCTTTCTGGAGTGAGAGACCGGGCACTCCAACAAGATGCAGAATAGGAATCCGCTCAGAATAACACCCAGCTGAAAAAGGATTTAGTAATGCGGTCAGTCATCCTCAAGGAGTGCCTCTTCACTGACCAACACCATTCAAAGCACTGAGCTCTCCAACTCCAAATGTTGTACAAACCGCCGACACAGCACGCTTCACTCGCGCATTCCCGTCAGCCGCGTACGCCTTGGAGAATTGTTCGTAGAAAGTGTGAGGTGAAGATGACGATATCAGTGTTATGACGTACGGCATTCAACTCATTCGCATTGCCGACCCACTGGATTCCAGGATTATCTTCAACAAGGTCTAGAAACGCCTGCAAAGGGTCAAATTACATCCTCGAAAGTCCGTGTACCCTCTCCTTGATATCACCTACGAGATTGAAGTCACCGGGCAATCCAAAAAGCGCCGTGACTTGCAACTGCGTGAGTCTCTCAAGGATATAACCGCCAATGGAGATCTTTTCCGGGAGGATCTTTGTTGGCTCGCCCATGTCGAGGGATAAGTTGCAATCGTTCCTAGAGACTTCAAGTTGTACAAGCCTTCAGGCAACCCAGCTGGTCGTTAAATAGAAGTAGAGGATACGGTCCCACACTCAAGCATGTGCTACTGCTTCCTTCGGCACTGATCGGAAAGACCAAGTACTCGACCTCGTCGACAACAACCAATTTCATTTTTACAGCATGGACCCCCGCCAGCGTTCAGGAGCTCTTCTACTTTTCCTGATTTCGACCCGCCTAACTGCCACTGTCTCCAGATGACCATTGCTAAATATAGTCGACCCGCCACTAGTTCCATTTAATTTACGAATCGCATGGCAAGATGTACACCGGGGGAAGAAACCGGATATGGGGGAAAGTTGTGTCATTTCTATTACACCCGTGCCAGTCCGAACCCATCGGCCAGATCAGCGTGTGTTCCCTCGTATCATCCTTGAAGTCAGGTACAGTGATTGTCCAGAACTCGCTTCTTCCTATTCGATACTTGATTCGACACGATGATGCACCAGTAAGCCACAGGGCTGGGCACCACAAGATCAAGCTAGGAACGTCGGGCTATTGGAACTACAACTTGTTTTACATCGATTAGTCGTAGTTATGGGACGCGTGTCCACGGGCAACGTTGTTACTGCACAGCAGGTCATTCCTGTCTCATAATTACATTTTTTCTGACGATACACCATCGATAGAACGCATATTAAAGGAATGAAATCAAGGGATCGTAACACGGAGCATATCGGAAGCGTTAGCTTGGCAGGGGTGCATTACATAAACACCACCTGACTGGATTTGGGAGCCACGTGACTGATGAGGACAGGAGCATGTGATTGGGGTATTTGCAAAACAGCATAATTCCCACGGCCATGGCCTGGAAGTGACGAGGTAAACGACACGTTTTTATTAAAATAAAATATAGTGCAGGTGGGCCAGTTTTGCTCATTTTGGGGGGCATCTGTACCCCATATTTGAATGGTTACGGGGATCAAACAAGTCAATATTTGGTGCCTAAAAAAACGACCTCAATCTTCGTTTCTCAAGCGTGTTTTGACGAATAATAACAATGCTACAAATATGGGCCATACAGAACACGCCCCAACCATCAAATTGGGGAAAATCACTAGGAATATGGGCAGTGTCGGAAGATTGAAGGACCATTAAAGCTTTGGCACAGGAAGAATAACATGCATCCCTACGCACTTCTCGACACTCAATCGCGATGGTCAGCCGCGGCCACTTGTGGCCTTGTGTCTGCCGCGTTGGGAACGTTCAACATTACATATTGTGCGGATATTGGCAATATTTAGCGGGCAGGATCGTTCAATATGACCGAAAAAAGGACACTAGACATGACAACGGATTAGGGGATACTTAAACATCTTGAGCTCAGGCAAATGTTTGGCGAGACATGCACGGAGCCCTACCTCCGCACCGGTATGATGACTGATCACGGGCTGTTGGAGCGCGGAAGCCCAAGGCTAGCAGCTTACTTAGGCCTCCATCACAGAATTGCAGTAATTACATAATCAAGTTACCAATTGCCATTTACTCTGACGCGTCGTCGCTTCCTGTCAATCAGACATTCGAGTATATTCCCTTTTTCCAGTCATTCCAATCTAACAAGTAGATATCCCAACCATCACTATGTAGACTTGCTCTGAGAAATCGCTCGGGTCATTGCTATCCACGTTGTCATATTTCCGGGTTTTGATGATTTTTTGATGCATGAAGTGGCCCGATCAACAATTACTGCGCATGGGTTATGATCACACATAAACCTGATTGTACCGGGGAGAGGAGCGCAGCACTTGGGCGTGTACATGAGCAAGGACTGTTGTCGTTTTTCAGGGAAAATTATTTACATTTGTCGAATATTGATTGGATACCGAAGTCCTATATAACCTTCCCCTTCCTCTTCTCCCTAGTCCTCCAAGCATCTACGCCAAAGACTAAGGTCAGTACTTTTTGATTCGCATTATACGCAGAGCTGCTCATGCGATCTACTCGTAGCGATTCTCCAAAAGTCAAAATGCGATTCTGGGGTGCCTTCGTCTCGGTCGCCCTACTAGACAAAATAATGGGTATATACGATGTCTTGAATTGATATCGTGTTTGAGAAATATCGGTGACGCGCATGAGGTAGATGAAAATGAGCGGAAGAGCAGACGTCGCAAATGAACAAGGGAGACTGGACTCGACGGGCTGAGTTCTCCATGCAGAAGCGATTCCCTACTCTCGACATAAGATCTAGCTCGATATCTTGCATAGAGGGCACGGGACTACATTAATCATATTGACTTTAAATTTCGAATTTTGCGCGTGGCTCGAGTTCAATACAGCGATTGGAGGGGACAGGAAGGGTACTACAGGCCGAGGATTTATACATACGCGACAAACATTTACATCTCCAAATCCGACAGTCCCAAAAAAATCCGGCAAAAACAACCAAAGAAATTGACAAATGTGATTACAACATCATCGTTATTGCCCAATAGAGGTTAAGTAAGTGTTGGTGGCCATGGCGGAGGCTGTGGTTCAGCTCCCAAATGAGAGCACAGGAAGGAATCGGACGGCCATACACCGGTTATTCAGCGTTCCAAAGCACTTCTCACTCAGGAGGTTCGTCGGTAAAATGCTTAGGAAAAAAAGAATAAGAATTTGGAAATATGGGCGCATGGATCTCGGAACGCGAAAGTGGCCAAGCGGTTGAAGAAGCAAATCCGAAAATGGAAGCACCCAGGATTGCAACTGCATGGGCCGATCTCCGATCACTTAAGCCTCGAAAGGAAGTCGAGGAGGGGTCTTCCGCCTCGGCGTGAAATGGAGGCGTCAAGTATTAAACGTGTTCTCCTCTCGGATGAGACTTTTGAGCCATTTCGGCCGAATTAGGAGGGTATCATTGTCAGTGGCAAGGACGAAAAGGGGTGTATAGGGGTGGAAGCTCCTTAACCTTCGAGATATTCGTGTTCGCGCTCGACTGAAGAAAATAATTCGTACTAGGCCACTTATCCTTGGGATTCATGTGGAGGAATACGCGAATTCCTCCTTGATATGATTGGCGTCCTCGTACAAGGCAGAGGTGTCGAAGCGCCGCAGATAGTTTCATGTCCCATCTGCGCGAAGGGTTCTGCAAGGATATGGCAATCGTGCGAAGCTGCGGACATATGGGTGGAGGCTCTATTCTTGAGTCCGAGTTCAAACCATGGCACAAGGAATAGATCCAATCCAGCTTCGGCACCTCCCCGCGCACCAGTAAATGGATGATCTCTAACAACGGAAGCGAGTTAAAGGCTGCGGGTAGATAATCGAGGATCGATAGTTCAGCAATAATGATGCGAAGGTTTGGGAATCGACATGGGGAGAGGTAGGGAGGTATTTCAGAGGCATCTCGAAGATCGAGATACTCCAAGCTCTCAGCCATTACACGAGGGAAAAACGTCCGTTCGATCCCTGGGAGAAGGCACCCTAACCGCAAGCAGCGCAGCTGGGGCAGCGAAATAGAGTACGCGCCAAGAAAGTCCCCAAATGCTCCTACAACGTCGAACTCTAGCTCTTCCAAATTGAGTGCATTCCGCAGAAGCTCTACGAAGGATTCATCCACTGCTTCCCACACATAACTGAGGCGTGTGAGCCTCTTCAGATTTAAACCGGAGAAAGAGTATGTACGAGTGCATCGCCAGAGTCGCAGGGAATGGGGCTGGGCGCAGCGGAAAAGGGAGTCAAGAAACTCTTGAACTTTGCGAGCATCTTGCTCTACTTCGTTGGGGTTGACTGACAGTGTGAGTGCCTCGAGAGATGGCAAAGAACTGAACGATGTCCCAACGGACCACGCCCCGTCTAGCCGCAAACACCTGATGCGTGTGGAATGCAAATCGGAATCCTCAAAAAGTATTTTGTGGTAGGGAGGGGGAGCGCCAAAATCAGGGTTGTAGATGGATAAGGTGAGAGGGGCCTGCACTGATCTCTCAAGGAATGTGTACAACGCATCCAGTGGATATCGAGCATTAGTCCAATCACACGCAATATGACTCCACTTGGAGATTCGCATCAGCCCACATCTCTCAATGCTCTCGGTACTTCGTGCTCACCAATCCCGGCGTATGTATTGATGCACTTCTCCATCTTGAGCAGGTTGATGAGATCGATTTTAAATACTTCCCCACCAGAACGCGGTGGTCAGGAATAAACCCAAGAAGGAAAATCTCTGACAGGATCTCATCTGGAATGCGACAAGCAGGCTTCTGTGCATTCTCCTGACGTCTTCGGTATATCGCGAAAGGTGAGACAGGATATTGACCAGTGACAGGAGTCGTGGCACGGGGCGATATTTCCGGCTCCAACGGGGAAAAGTAGACGTCACCATGGTCTGAGCCTGAGGAGAACAAAGGCAAACCATCACTGCTGAAATTGATCATCAAAAATGGAAACTCCGTGACAGTTTTGCTCACGGAGTTTGTGTCCCGTTGCTGAGATCTAGGCGACTGCGTAGAGCGTCAATGAAGGCGGCGCATCGTTTGGACAATCTTGGCATCATCAACTCTTCATTGACGTTTGCAACATTCTTCCGCTTGTTTTGTCTTGTTTGGCGCAGACCCCATCAATTTATCTAAGTATTTTTTTCTGAGCGATGTAAAAGTTTTGGATCTTTGCTCGAGTTGGGTGGGCTCGCTCGCGTTAATTTTGGGTTATTCCTTCGCTCCAATGAAGGCTGAGGGACAAAGATGAGCAGTGCTGGACGGACAGGCCACGGCCTTCATGGCGCTTTTGTGCCACGTCATGATCAGATATTGATCAATTATTTATTACCACCCACTCATTACTGCCCCCCTCTCCTTCGACTGCACAGACGGTCGGGAATAATAACAATAGTTACCCTGTTCGATGGTCACCGCCGAGACCAAGCAGGATCGATTAGGCAGGGCTCCCACCTCTATGACGTTCGCGATTCGTGGACCGTGTCCGCGCTCTTTATATATAGTAGACAGTACGGATCGATGATCGATGTATGATGTCAAAGCAACGAAAGCCCAAAGTACACGTCATCACAATGCGCCAGAATCTGTTGAACGCAGGAGAAACAGGTCATCGCAGGTCATTATATAGGGTCGTCCGTCAAGGTACATAGGCTAGATGTACAAGTCACAAGAAGGGGGTCATTGGGTTGAATGAAGGTTGGGGCGTGCGGTAGCGGTAAAACCGCAAATCGAAAGAATATTACACACAGCTACAGATACAATGCCAAAAAAAGAAAAAGAAGTAATACAAGCCGCGAATCCATTCAGGAATCCCATATGGGACCATGGCAAGGGATGTTTCTCTCTGCGCACCCGCGAATGATATCTGCCGTACCCTTGGGATTGCTAGTGACGAACACAACCTCGCAATTTTTCGCACGCACTGTCGTTTCTATAAGTTCTAACATGTCTGGTCGTCCCCGCTTTCGAGTGTCCCAGAGAGTGACCGAGTTCTCGAAAGTGCAGCCATCATCGTCACCATTTTCGTAAGCTTGGCATAAATCCGGCAAGACTGTACTGCCGTAAGTCTTCATAATATTACTGAGTTAACAAGAGTGAGGCGTGAGTACAGGCTACCGAGAACGGACAACCTACACATACCTAGCAATCCAGAGAAGATGCCACCGACTCTTGGGGTCGCGTTGCATGAAAATAGACAAAGCAACCCCAATAGCAGACCCCGTTACAACGTATAAGCCAGATCGATAAAAAGAAGTCATGATTGGCAGACCCGTGAATTTCATCGTTCGCGTCCACAAGTAGGAAGGTGGATTTGCTATCAGCCCCTGCGTAAAGTCTCCTTGCCCGACCACGCACATGTAGTGCTCCCCACCTGGCGGTTGGTAGGCACGAGCCTTGCTTGTGATACCGAACGCGTGATTCTCCGAGAATGGGTTTCGAGACACACGACCAAACAAGCCGCGCTTAATATATCCCTCGAACCTCAACAGGACGACAGAGTTCGATAGCACCTCAGACTTGACTGGCACTTTACGTATTGTGGTCCAAGGTAAGAAGATGATCACTGTGAGAGCTATCCCAATGTAAATGTCGGGCTTGGTCTTTATCCTGCTCGCACGAAAATCATGATGTACGGGGCTCCATGCGTCCGCAACACCAATGAATATCCAGAGCAGTCCTAGGGCGGTCCACCCGGCGAAGCGATGCACTCGCTCAAAGAAATTATGATGCCGTTCGCGAATGAAGGGATGAGCTGTGACGCATACCGCCACCACGATACAAGATACGCCTGTGGCGAGTACGCAAAGCCACGGGGCGGCGTTTGATCGAGGAAGGGTCCACATCGCGTTTCGGAAGAGTTCAATCGTGGCCGTGACAAGCCACATCGTCCCCGATATGGCAAATCCAGAATGCAGTCCCCCAATATTGAGCAAGAACGTGGAGATAGCATTCCGAAACACAAACGGCGTCCACCGCTTGAAGAAAAATAGGAGAACCGAGTACAGGCAACGGAGAGTGAGTTCATTCCGAACGAGGATAGCGGCGGTGATGTAACACAGGGTGATGGTTGCACCATTATCTTGAGCGAATTTCCATCTGTGCGCTAATGTGACACACGTCCCGGCCAGGTTAGCGCACAGGAGCGTAATAAACATGATGCGATATAAAGAGAGCCACTCCCGAAATCGTCGTCCAAGGGTAGCGGCGGCATCAGCCTTCTTTTCGTAGAATGATTTGGCACGTTCCTCTTGGGGCGGAGAACATGGACCACATTCTTGCTCAAGTGCCTTGATAGCTTTCTCTATATCGACCTTCGATGCATCCTTTTTATCGGATTCAAGAAGTGTGTTCCTTCGAGAGTCAGCCTCGCTGCCCACGAGGGTTATAACAGTGTCGACAGAAGAGACACGGGAATGTGATGGGGAGGATGCAGCGGACGGGGCCACAGTGGTTGGCGGTGCCGGGCCTTCCGAATTCGAAAGGAGCTTCTTGAGTTCACGGGACAGTATCTTCCCAGAAGGGAGTTTCGGGATAGCATCAATGAAATGAACTTCTGCTAACCACTTGTACTGCGACTTTAGGGGGAAAAGGAGCCATTAGATATCACATCATATAAACAATCTTGTCACACACCAATTTCCCCCGTATGTAGGCCATAATAGTCTCTTTCACATCTATCCCCTGACGCGTTTGAGCCACACCCTCATTAGAGAGTACAACAAATCCGACAGGAACTTCGCCACAACGTGGGTCGGGCTTGCCAATTACCGCCGCGTCCCGAACGCATGGGTGGCCCCGCATATGGCCTTCAAGTTCAGACGGACTGACTTGGAACCCCTATCGGAGACCATTTGAGGGTGTAATTCCGTAAACAAAAGCCGAAAGGAGTTACCTTGCATTTAATAATTGATTTGAGACGGTCCACAATATAAATGATTCCATTTTCATCAATTTCCACCTCGTCACCAGTCCTGCGATAACCGAATGGGTCTCGACCGTAGGATATGGAGCCTTTTAGAACCTTACCTAACGTATCCATCACTGTCGAACGTTTCACGCGTGGCCTTCTCGTTGTTTAAGTACCCAAGACAGATTTGGGGTCCTCGGACCAGAAGTTCGCCTCGCACGCGGCCTGACCCTTGAAGAACAGGTACGCCGGAAGAACTGTTAAGGAGCTTAGCTTCCGTCATTGGCATTAACTGTCCAACGGAGCCATGGCATGGTAGAGCCCCTAAATGTGGACCCGAGATAAGGCCGGCTGAACAAGTTCGGGTCGTGAACCGATTTGCTATAACGAGATGAAAGGCAGGAACGCACCTGTTTCGGTCATACCAAATGCCTGCGAAATTAAAAAATGGGGTGAGTTCACAAGGTTTCGAAATTCCACTTCGCTTTGACCATCCAGGGGTGCGGCCGCAACGAGGCACGTTTTGAAAAAGGAAAAATCGCGTCCTTTGGAGGAAGGATGCTTATTGAATGCGTGCACCAATGGCGGTGCTAAAAAGAGATGATTGATTCGCAGACGCTCTAATGAATCAAGGAAATTTTCAAATCTCGGCATTGAAGCGTATAAAGTTGACGTGATGCCCAAATAAGGACATAGATGCAAAAGTGTGAGGAGCCCGTACATGTGCGACATTGGAATAACACCTAACGCCCTGTCTTGCACCATAGGATCAAGGGAACGGGGTAGGAGACAGCCTGAGTGAGCAACCTGGATGATGTTCGCAATGACCGATTTGTGAGGGATCATGACAGCTTTGGGCAACCCAGCTAGGTGTGTCCTCAGCTAACTGCTTGGCGCGTAATTTAGGCCACTTACTAGTACCACTGCTAAAGCAGAGGAAGGCAACCCTGGGCACCCCAGGTGGTAGGGTGGAAACGGAGCGAAAACGTTCGCCACGCTCAAGAGCCAAGAGTCCAGAGTCAAGCACACCTTTCAAGGTCAATAATGGTGTCTGAACGTCATCAGACCTGGACAAAAGAAGGGGATATTGTTCCAGAAATTTTTCTCAAGGGGAAATTACACACCTTGAGAACGCAATGATATTATCCGTTGGTATCCCAACTCTGGAGGCAGCGGCCAGTGCACGTTCTATTGCAGAGGGATGTACGACGATGAAACTCGCTTGAGTCAAACGCAACTGATGGATGAGCTCATCAACGGTTACGGTAGCATTGCTGGGCGCAACAGTGTAGCCAAGTCTGTGGCAAGCCCAGATGACCGTTCCAAAATCAATATCATTGGGCACAACCACGCTCACAACCGGACCTATCCCAAGGTTGGTAGTAAAGGTTCGATGGGAAATTTTCGAACGGAAGTGAAGCTGGAAGCCAATGGCCAGTGCGTCTGTGCGAGCGCGGATCTGTCGGCGAGTAAAGTGTTCGTTAGTGCTTGCGTCGAGGAACCAGACTTGGTCTTCTCGAATGTCGTTGCGATCATCCGGGTCATGGCAGGTGTCGAACATAAAGTCATATAGAGTAATGTCCTCCATGGGGAGTTCGATGGAGGAAGACATGGCGGGAATGAAAAGGGAGGGGGCTGGAAAACTTCATTCCAAGAGTAGGTGTTATATATCTTAATCTGGCCCCCTGGTACGCACGCATGACCTCAATCGGTTGAAGAGTTGAAAGAAGAGTCCTTTGATTTTTTTTTCAGATTATCCGACTGAATCTGGCATTATTTCAAAAAATAAAAGGATTGTGAATCAATATAACCAAGCTCGGGAGTTCATTAAGGGCGATTAATCAGGAATGATTTCATTGATGGAATACACTAAAAAGTTGGTAGACTCACGACTGAATCTTGCGGCGCAATGTGCCGCGCTCGGCGCTGGAGAAAGTGCAAACATCCCAGCCGCGGACCTACATCCCTTTCGAACAGGCGATGGGTGCTTGGTGCCCCGCATACATTAGAAGCAAAGATCTATAATCTTGGACGAAGGCTTAGAGATCAAAATGCCGAGCAGCCGCGATGAGCACGCTGTCATACTGCGCATGTGCTCATCATTTCAGATCTGCTTCTCGGCCTCGGTCTGCGGATGATCATGGGCCCCAACCTTCCCAGAGCGACCCGTGTACAGCATTAATGAGCATGTAGGTCCCGCACTTTGTTCCGCTACCTCACGTGTCGTGAGGAGCACCAGCCGGGAAAACCGGGAGAACATCGACGAAGGTTGGAGCGCACCAGTACTGATCTTCCTTTCCTTCTTCAGAGTGATACCATCTTGGGGTGATATAGGCGGCAAGAGCCGGCGCTAACCACAGCCAACACTCGAAGGACAGAAGAGGAACGACCCCAAGGCGTCAGAAGAAAGACAAAATAGCCGAGGCTTGCATAGCCCAAAGTGTCCGGAGCATCAGAGCCTAGCGAAGGACATCGCGTGGGAGGGCTGCACATCAATACAACACGTTCTCTTTTCGGAAGACGGCGACCAATTGGACAAGGTCCCGGGAGTCGAAGTTCATCGCCACGGTTGGGAAGATAAGGAGGAAGCAGACATTCTCGAGTGGATGATGCTGCCTGTGCGTGTGATCCCGCCTGCAATGTTAGCTCTAGCCTCTAGTTCTTTACGTGGGAACATCCCCGACGTAAACAATCAACAGCAACCTGCAATTTGTTATGCACAAATTCAGTTATCATACGATGTTTATGGAGCGAATGTCTAAAGAAGCAGTGTAAACAGCGATATATTATCGCATGGCCACGCAGCGCTGGGCGCTGTCATGACTTATTTGTCCATCTGTATGCAAGCATCCATCAGAACTGCACACTATTTGCGAATCTGGAAGCAACTCAGAAGTTATCGGATCAGAATTGCGAAAAATCATTTGAATTGCAAGAATGATCGCCTTATGTATGTAACCCCATAGAGGCAGAATGTCACCGCGATAATATTGACAGTTTTCATGGTCTCTGACGATATCGAATAACGGAGATTTCCTGGGTAGAAAACATGTTGTGGAAAACAGGTCGAGCCAGGGGCACACGCTTCCAGAAGTCTGAACTTAACTAGCCATCCATAGCTACCCAGTTGTTTCTCACCACAACGAAGAAGTCTTCCGAGGCGATCAAGAGGACACCCGAAGGAATCCGGAGTTCGGCAGAATCGATATTGTGTCATCCTTTGGTTTGTAGGGCACTCGAGCGCAAATTCCCATAAAAGACAGTCTCGAAATTGATCTTCCAGAGTCAATAATGAACGCACAGTCGATGTTGCTATTCCTGTGAGGTCAATCCATCTGTCACAGGCGCGATGTAGTTGAACGGCCATTATGTAAGACCGAACGTGCACCGTAATCTGGGTGCGCTGACGAAAAGGAGAGCGCAGAAATGTGAAAATGAACGGAAGCATCGGGCAATCCTGTAGGGAAATGTGCGTGCGCAAGAAATATGATCCGCAGGACTCAAACGAGCAGTCCGCCGCGTACACGAAATTTCAACAGTTGTACTATACGGCCGTGGACCCGAACAGATTCCGAGCAGCTAGATCTGAACCGCGTGCGTGTCCCAAAATCTGATCGAAGATCGAAGACAGTCAATGTTCAATTACCTAAGTCATGCAAATTGGATAGCAGCAGCGCTGCTCCCTCTGACAGCTGCAAAGAACCCGACGTCCCAGCATTCTGGGGTTCGACTTAGAAAGGCCATGATGATCATGATATATCCGGCAGTGCGGAGATTGATCCTATAACTCCTACAGGAAAACTGTGCTCATCGGCCGGAAGGCCGAAATGAAGCAAAAAGATGTGAAGCACCGAAGACCAAGTACATGCATGCAAACGATGAGGGATTCGGAAACGAAAGTGCAAGGAATCCTGTCCACCCGTCCCCATCGCATTGCGCGCAGATCGAGGCTGGAGGTTTGGACAAGTTAAGACAACCCTAAATCCCACGGTACAATATTGGCGTTCCGTTGTTAGTCCTTTTGTTTGTTAGCCTTTGACATTGATCTATGCTTCAGCGTTAGTCATGACTAACAAACTGATTCTACTAGATACTCAAGCATCGTTATTGTGAACCATCGTCAGGACCGACGACTCATTGCAACGTGGTCAGTGAGAAAATTAACTTGAGTTGCCAGATGAAAGATACTGCGAGAGGAATTTCCAGGAGATGGGTGTACACGCAAATCATGATGCAGGGTTGAGTCGTACGGAGTTGGAAGCGACCATCGTCTGTGAACGACACTCAGGTTTGACGATAACGCCTCCCCAAAAGACGGAGGATGGTCCGCCAAGTGAATATTTCTTCCAGGATGGGCTCCGCTATATATTGTGGAAGCTTCAGTGTTGCCAGAATAATTCACAGTGGGAATTGGAGTTGCGTAAAAAACCATTTAAAAGATGGTAAAATACTATCATTTTTACTACGATTTGAATAATATTTTACCATCAAATCCATGGTCCTTTACCAGGATTCCATTACCACGCTTTTGAGGGTAAATGACCTATATTTTCTTCGTTTTTGACCACGATAATGATGGTAAACGGTCAATTTACCATGGTGCAGTTGGTAATTTACCTGCTCCGACTTGGTCATTTACGACATTTTTGATTGGTAAAAAACACAGCTATTTGTGGTCATTTCCGACCATTTTCGTGGTAATATACAGTGAAATCGAGACTACTTCTATCAGGTCGAATTACGAGAGACATGAATGAGAAAAAGAACCGATGGGGATTGATTTGAACAGCGAGCTAGAAATAAAGTACGACCCGAGCTTTGACTCGATCAAGCATGGTCCACGTAACCTAATGAAAATGCAAGAAGTCATGAGTCTGAGAGTAAGATGACAGAGGAACAAGCTTATGAGTAGCAGATGCAAAGCTCAACTCTTGCATGCAACACCGTGACGTACCGTACAGGGCCTTGGCCTGAGATGGGCCAGGTTCATTGATTCGGGCTTTCTTCTGTCGTGGGGCTGTCATAATGGTGACCACGTTCCACCACAAGTGTGGCCTTTGGGCAATGCCATAATGGAGGCTGGGAAACTCTTGTTTGCCGTTGGATAATGAATTTCTAGGAAAAGCTATTATATCTCATTCATCAATGAGTTAGAGACACATAAAATTGCGAAAATTCATGTGAAAATGCGCAAAGATGCGTAAAGACGCGTTGAAACACGCCCAGGTAGGAGGCCTTCATAGGATCGCTGTTGGTGGAGCAGTACACTGAGTGTCCATGACCTTGCAGATTTATGAGTACTTGCCTCGGAAGGATGTTTGGGGGGAGGTTGGCTAGTTGCGGAGGGAAGAGAAGGTTGAATTGGGAGAAAATGAGCAGATCTAGGCGACGCGCGGGTAGAGTGAACGATGTGTGAAGTAGTACGGAAATTGCCGAGAACAACATCGCCCGATCTCAGTCTAAGCACCACGCAGGACTCCAGCCTCTATGACTTCGTAACAATAACAGTATCTGCCCATTGCCCCTACCATGGAGGACATGTCTGGGAGGGGTTCTTGCTGTGGCCTCCCAGACTGCATCATCAGGCGCCATCTTCAGCTTGCTGACCTCAGTGCGATCGATGCACTTAGAGTTTTCCAGAGAGGGAGACAACTGGATCTGATGCCCATGAAAGCCCAGAGAACGGTTCACTCGGTTTTTCCTATGATTTACAACACCCCTTGCACACGATGAGACAGCCAGCGGCCCCGACCCAGTTGACTCGCTTAGAAGCACATCGAAATTTTACTACATCTTTATGTGCCGGCTTCCATACTCGGGGCTCCTCACAACAAGAAACATATTCCCAACGATTTTATTGTCATAAGATTGCGATCTATTGTACAACAAGCCCCATCAACATATCATCAAGCCTTTTCCCGAAATTATGCCTCGCTGGGGAAAGTCATGGACTGTTGGGGGAGGCGACAAGTTCTCCACCCTGTGGGCCCAAGAACGGGGAACCAAGTACAGGGGCTCATCCTTTGTCCGGGTAGGAGCGCCTAAAATTTTGTAACTTCCACTATTGAGCTGACCTTCACTGCTGGTACGAAGTCGCGGTGGACTCAAATCCCCAAGTACGTCGCGAAATCCCGCTTGTGAGAAGGGTTTGTTACAGCGAGCTTCATGAAATACTCAAATGTGTCGTTCCCAGGACTCTTTGGAACATGCATGCCCATGCGGCATCTTCTTGCCCTTGTTTCGGACAGCAGCGCTTATATGGACGCAACCTCTTTCACCAAGCTCTCCGACACCACTCAAATTATCGCACTCACATCGGTCTCATCAGTCAGCTGTGGCCACTTTCTTTGTGGCACGAATTCTCGTCGTTGGGCCATCATTGATCACAGTTGCGAACTCGTGAGGCCAATTTTTAGCGTTGACAATGATGACTACTCGAACATTGCCACTTCCCATTATCCGCACACCTGAACTCTGTATAATATGTCGCGGCTCGAATACCATGAATTGAGTGGTAATTTACGAATTGAGGAGTCTGGTATTTAACTTCGCGAACGTATATTGTAATTTACCATGATAAAAATACCACGAAAACTGTGGTAAATGGTGAAAAACCAGACAAAAAGTTGTTTTTTACGGGGCTTTACTTCCCACAGTGAATTGGTGACATGCACGGAAATTGGAAACACAGAATCACGCACAAGAAAAACCCCGCGCGATACGGGAGCCAGCATGCAGTCCCATTGGCTGCATTATTTTTAGGTGGAGAATGTGGAGTTTGGGATGTACCGCAACACAATAGGCTCCGATCTGTTTTGGGTGGCAGATCCACCCTTAATTCCTCGAGCAATGGGCACGTTGCGGCCAGCCATCGCAAATCAACCGACGCGTCGCTCGCTCCGGGAAATCGACCAATGCTCATATCTACGGGGGGTGGAGTCACAGTGGAGTCAACCATCCCTCGTTCCTTTCATCATTAGTTTTTCCAACTGCCTGTCCTCTCCCTCCAACACTTTACATGGTGTTCTCATAAATAATGCATCCTTGAAATCCCATATTAACCATATGTTCGCTCTTACCTAAATACATAATTAGATCTTGAAATGTAATCCGTTCTTAAATCCGAAATGCAGTGCAGATGTTTGCGAAGTGGCCAGGCGGGCACTCTAGTGATATAGCGAAGTTGACTACCAAATCAATCAGCAATCAAGATGAATGAAGCTGACAGCAAACATAAATTTAGCAATAAATAGAACAGATGCATGACGAGTGTCTGTCACCGAGCAGACCCCTCATGAGAACACAGAGAACGAATCGCTCCAGAGAAGCAGATGAGACTTGCTAAGAGTCCCAGATAGGACCATGGCATGGAATCCCCTTGTCTGAACAACCGCGAATGATTTCCGCGGTACCTTTCGGATTGCTTGTCACAAACACAACCTCGAGGTTGTTTGGTCGAACTGTTGTCTCGATCAAGTTCAGTACGTCGGGACGACCTTGCTTTCGGGTATCCCAGATGGTTACGGAATTTCCAAAGGTACAGCCGTCATCGCCCTTCTCGAACGCCTGACGTAAGTCTGGTAGCACAGTTGTGCTGTACGTCCGCTCAATATTACTAATAGAGACCCAAATAATCAGTCGACGCCCAACGGGTAGGGTCTTCACACTGGCAACTCACCCTGCTATCCATAAAAGATGCCATCGACTCTTAGGATGACGCTGCATAAATACAGGCAGCGCGACACCGATTGCTGACCCTGTTACAACGTACAGTCCACTTCGATAAAACGACGTCATGATCGGGAGACCAGTGAACTTCATCGTGCGGGTCCACAGATGCGTGGGAGGATCAGCTATTAGTCCTCTAGTAAAGTCACCCTGCCCAACGACGCACATATAGTGCTCGCCCTTCTCTGGCTGGTACTCTGGTGCCTTGCTCGTAATGCCAAAGGCATGGTTCTCTGTGAAAGGGTTCCGCGAGATACGGCCAAACAACCCACGTCCAATATAACCTTGGAATCGCAGAAGAATGACAGACTTCGACAGGACTTCTGCTTGGACGGGCACCCTACGTAAGGTAGTCCAAGGAAGAAATATGATCATGGTGAGCACGATGACGATGTAGATGTCAGGCTTATTCTTCAGACGGCTAGCTTGGAAGTCGTGTAGCTCCCTATCCCAGGAGTCCGCAATCCCAATGAATACCCAGAGAAGCACCAGGGCAGACCATCCTGCGAAACGATGAACTCGCTCGAAGAAATTGTGGTGCCTCTCCCGTATGGCAGGGTGGGCAGCAATACAGACACTAAGGACAATCATACATACTACAACGCCCAGCACGCAGAGCCAAGGATCAGCATTCGCTCGCGGTAGAGTCCACATCACGCTTCTGAAAAGCTCGATAGTTGATGCGAAAAGCCACATCGTCCCCGAAACGGTAAGACCGGAATGGAGACCCCCGACGTGCAGCAGAAAGGTAGAGATGGCGTTCCGGAATGCAAGTGGCGTCCAACGCTGGAAGCAAAAGAGAAAGGCCATATACAGGCACCGAATTGTAAGCTCATTACGTACGAGAATTGCGGCGGTAATGAAGCATAAAGTGATGGTAGGGCTGTTGTTCCGTGCGAAATCCCACTTATGGGCCAATGTGAAGACGATCCCGACGGCATTGAGAGTGATGAGGGTGAAGAACATTATGCGGTATAAGGAGAGCCACTCGCGGGCCCGCTGACGTCGAGTAGTGGCGACGTCGGCTTTTTTCTCCCGGAACTGCTTCGCACCCTCATCCAAACCAAATTGCGGCACGGTCGTTCGAGGTTCGGGGAAAATAATTCCCTTCTCGAGATCAACTTGGGACACATCTCCAAATCGAGAATCAACAAGCGCAAATCTCAGGGAGCTATACGAACTTGTGGGGAGGGTGGTGGTTGTAGTATAGGTGGATGGTATAGGAGACGATGGCCGGGGGAGGGTCGATGTGCTGCTTGTGAAGGAAACCGTTGATTCTGCAGCGTCTTGTGCAGACTCAGAAACGAGCAGACGCTTGAGTTCCCGAGTGTCCACTTTACCAGAGGCGAGTTTGGGAATGCAATCGAGGAAACGGACGTCTGCAAGCCATTTGTGTTGCGACTGTGAAATGGGTGGACTCAGCAGATAGTCATTTTCCCGCCACAACGAGCCGGCGTACCTTATTGGCTTGCACATAGCGTATTATGGACTCCTGAATATCATCTCCATCTTGAAGCCTCTGGACACCAGAGTCAGACAACACCACAAAGGCGGCCGGGACTTCTCCACATCGGTCGTCTGGCCTACCAACAACTGCGACATCCTTAACGAACGAGTGCTCACGAATGTGGCCCTCAAGTTCCGACGGACTGACTTGAAAACCCTGTTACGACAGTTCAGAACCCCATGCTATCGAAGCAATCGGAACAAAGACTCACCTTGCATTTGATCATGGATTTGATGCGATCAACGATGTAGATCGTCCCGTTTTCATCCATCTCAACTTCATCGCCAGTCCTAGGAAATTCGACAAATCTGAATGGGGAGACTTCAAGGTTTATGGATAATCTCCACTCACCGAATGAAGCCCTCGCTGTCAAACGCGTCCTTAGTCGCAGCTTCATTATCCAAGTACCCAAGACAGAGCTGAGGCCCGCGTACAAACAGTTCTCCCCGTATTCTTCCAGAATTTCGGGGAGCAGAGACCTCAGAAACACTTAGCACTTTTGATTCAGTAAACGGCATCAGTCGTCCGACAGATCCGCGGTGGGGGGCAACACCCAGCGCCGGCCCAGTGATAAGACCAGCTATGAGGGGAAACGCGAGAGGTGATGCCCTTAAGTTAATGGGCGTGCAAACAAGTAACGGCGTCATACCTGTTTCTGTCATGCCAAAACCTTGGCTAATAACGAAATCCGTTGAATTCACAAGATCGTGGAAACTCTCCTCACTTTGACCGTCCAGAGGTGCGGCTGCTACCAAGCAGGTCTTAAAAAAGCCAAAGTCGCGTCCCTTTGCCGAAGGATGCTTGATGAAGGCATTGACGAGGGGGGGTGCTAGGAACAGATGGTTGATTTGCCATTTCTGCACAAGGTCAAGGAACCGATCGAAGGGTGGCATTGAAGGAAATATGGTTGACGTAATGCCCAAGTAGGGGCAGACATGTAGCAAGGTCAGAAGTCCAAACATGTGTGACATGGGGACGACGCCGAGGGCCTTATCTTGCTTAGAAGGGTTCGAAGACCGGGGGTGAAGGCATCCAGAATGAGTGACCTGGAGAATGTTGGCAATAACAGCCCTGTGGGGGATCACAACCGCTTTTGGCAATCCGGCTTAGATTGGAAATGTGTCAGGAGGGGGTTGCATACGAACGAACGACAAACTCACTAGTACCGCTGCTGAAGCACAGGAAGGCAACTCTGGGCTCTGAAAGCGAATTTAATTGGAGGGGCTCCAGGGACGCTCCCCGTACGAAGGGTTCGGCGCCGGCAACGATCAAAGCCTCCGTCGTAATCAAAGATGAGGCATGCTGGGCATCTCTGAGTGCAGAGAGATTATAATGAGAAGAATATAACTGATAAGGGGACCGGTTGATTTACCTGGACAAAACCAGAACATGCTCTGTTGGTATTCCCACTTCGGAAGCTGCAGCAAGAACCTGTGAGAGTGCGACAGGATGGGTGATGATAAAAGTCGCATTAGTGAGACGGAGTTGATGAATGAGCTCGTTTGTAGTAGTAAGTGCGCTGCTTGGCGCAACCGTAAAACCCAATTTGTGACATGCCCACACTACGGTACCAAAGTCGATGTCATTGGGCGAGACAATGCTTACAACGGGCGGGAAGCAGTGCGGTACCCTGTGCGTCTCAGGAGGCGCCTTGGAATCCACATAGCAGCCGAGACCACGAGCAAGTGCATCAGTGCGATCTTTGACCTGGTGGCGGGTGTAGTGTTCGCCTGTTATAGCATCCAGGAACCAAATCTGGTCCTCAAGTACATGAGTATCGGCGAAGATGAAGTCGTAGAGAGTCAGGTCTTGCTCTGGCAGTTCGAAGGGGGTGGCCATTGTGAAGTGACGAAGATATGACAACCTGCTTTGAGTGAGCAGCCAGGTGCCATTTATCGTCTACCGCATGGGCGAAGAAAGTAGTCACATTTTAAAATAAGCTGACAAGCACGCGGCACACCAGATGCAGGATGAATTAGACGCTGCGAACTGATTCAGACCACAACGTAGTGATGAATTGGTGAAACTGACACACTGACACAATACATTGATGAGGAAGGGGGAGAACATTCACGAGATAAACGAGATAACAAGAGTGGCAGCATCTCCGCAGACAAAGATTCCTTTTCCGATGACCTTGTTAAGCCCTATGATATTGAGCATGTTCCCTTGGCCAAACCGGTCGCACAGTGTAAACGGATGAGCATCTCTCTGGCTACAGACGTGACAGACCTCCGCTAGAACAGAACGGCCACAGGTCAATACCAACCCTAATGAATGGTGAAACGGCGACCATGACTGCAAGGATCTGGGTGGTTTGTCTGGACACTGAATATTGTTCGACCCCCATAGGCTGTGAGCGTAACTGAGTTTGAAGATTTATCGGCCGAATGAAAGAGTGCGTCTGTGCATTCGACCACTTCAGGCTTGGGACATTATATTGGTTGCCCGGTGTGAGTGGTGTTCACAGTTAGGGTGTTTCATTGTCAGGTATGGTACTTCATCAAGGTTGTGGAAAGCAGGCCAACTGTGTAACACCTCCCGGGCGTCATGACCGAACGCATTGCACAAGGCTCCAATTGACTAGTCAAACTGTCCCAGATATCGCCATGCGTGAACCAGAAAGTGCCAACCAGCTCATGCAGCCCCAAAGTCAATGATCACAATGTAGCTAGATCACTCAGCCCAGTTACGCCGTCAAGTAGCGACAAGCGTCTGGGAGGTAACGTCAAAACATGATTATCCCCTTGGAATACTACAGTGCTGGCGACAGGCTCCCAGGAGAAATAACCCCATGGCGTTTGGGGAAGCTATAGGAATGCATGGGTGCAGGTTAGGGTATCCCCAAGCAGCGTTTTGATTACCCGCGAAATCCGTGGAGCCGCTAAAACGGCAGAAACGGCAAAAGGGCTTTCTAAAATAGGGATGGTCTGGGGAGAAGGCAAGGTTGTCTAGATGGTAACTGATGAGGCCAATGGGACCCGGACGCGGGCAGTGGCGCCGCTCTTCAGAATATAAGGTGCCTTTGCATTAGGCGGCTTGGCCGCTGGGGCGACTGAGATAAGCCATCAGTTCGGGCACGCACTACATAACCATCCCGTAAGACGGACGGGTGCCCCCGAACAAATGCATCAGTAGCGCTCCACAATGTGCAAGTGTGCGCCTTTTATGCTGCGCTACTACTTTAGCTATGCAAACAAGATGCTAGCTTCAGATAAGTTTGCCCAAGGTGACAATCGAGTGGGGCCGAGTAGCGCTCCGAGAGAAAAGCATCAGCGCCGTTTGAAAATCCAAGAGATCTGCAGCAATACTTTCAGGTATTTAAACAAGTCACTAGTTCACAAGGCCACGTACTACTAGCAGTTGAAATTGGAGATAATAATTTCATTAGTCACTCAGCCGGGGCTGGGCTTCGGGTTCGGCTCGCGCGGTCGCACGGCAGCATTCTCGCTTCATCGGTCGGATCCTGAGTCGCTGAGGACAGTTTGGGGTGCCGCCGGAAAGGAGGTAGTCCTTAGCCCGCAGGTATCGGACACGTCAGACAACTACCAAATCTCCCGCGACGCAAACTAAAATATGTAGACCCGTCAGAGCGAGTGCCCCCGTTTCCCACAAGTCATTTAGCCGCAGTCCACGAATTCCCCATCACTGATCTTGGTTTGACGTTGACCGACCGGGCTGCCGCTCCCCCCCGGTTTAAGCGCGCACATCGGGCAATGATCCCCTACCTATCAGCAGTAGCCCTATACCTCCTGCCTCGGGAGTCCAAACCTAGGAGCCAATGTCCCCTGGCGTTCCACACCGTATCACAGAGCCTTGTAGCGAATCCTTTTTTCGCGGGAATGCTCCTCCGATGTAGAGGACGCTCGGTCAGGGCCAAGGACGCAGCGTGTAAACGTATTCACGGATCATAGAGGCTAGAAGATCGTATAGATCATATGGGATCTCTTGGTACTTCCACGTTAACTTTCCGACAATCAGTGGCAAATCCAGTGAAGCACCTCTTCACGTTAAATAAGACTGCTTACACGCAAAGATGCACTTCGAGAGGATCGGAGGATTGAATTATCTGGAAGCAACCCCAAAACTCTTGTTTGCGTCAATAATTTTATCCCAAGAATCCACTGCCAACCGAGCTTACGCTACTGGGCCGGTTTTCTAACAGTAGTTGTCATCGCAATCGTACAGCTTTTAACCAAAGGTTGGAATCGATACCAGAGGCCGGTCAACAAGCCCCGGGTGCTACTAAGAGCATCTTGATTTGTTCAAGCCACAGATATCAAAATTGAAATGAAAATGAGTCACGAGGGAAGGACGATTAAATGAGTTTTTTTCACAGTGTGAGTAAAAATTTCTATCTCCGGCTGGTGAGTAACTGTGCGGCATGTCATGATGGTTGGGCGCATCTCAAGGAAACAGCCTGATCGCGCAGGGGTTGAGTCCCCTGATCTGTACAGCATCCACCCACCCTGCCCAGAGGCGGCTGCGTAGATCTTCCAAATGATGTGCTATCGTTCTCATTTTCTTCGTGAAAGTCACTTATTTAACCGTGTCACTTTCATCCCACGACTCATCCAATTCTGGCATGCCTCATTGCTCGTAATGTTTCATTTACTCGGGACCAACTAACCACGGGCAACTTTATATGCGCAACAGGCCCCATTGCTCTGTAGAGAGAATACTTCGGTACCCACTTTGCCTCTCCGTCACCGATGACCGACAAGTATTGTATAGCAGCTTCCTTGATATTTCACTCTAGTGCTCGCGTAAATTACTCCGTGTGAATGATCTCTTCCGTTCAGACGCAGTGATTAATCTCCTATAGGACGGATCACAAGCGTACATTGACTATCACTCACACCATCTGATTGGCAACGACTTTATCCGTTCATATTGTGTTCCACCAGTCCCAGGTACCAGTCGAAATGCTCGTGTATTACCCTAATGCTGTTATCCGCATGCATGGATATCATCTCCAATCCACTCGGTCATGAAATCCAATCCCTTTCAGCCCTTCTCGCGGAACTCCTGCATATAAAACTCTTTAAGGACTTTTGGGAGTGCCCGGCTATTACTTACCCTCTCTCGAACTTCCCTTGTCACCCCTCGCTTCGTGGTCGCCATGAGTTCTCTAGTGAAGCTTGCTAGCTCATTCAGTGGCCCAGACCTTTTCGTCGCCGTCTCTTTTGTCGTATGCGTGGCTGCTAGCTACTATCTCTACTCCAACCAGAAGAGATCCAGTCTTCCTCTCCCTCCTGGGCCTCCAAAGACATTCTACTTTGGGAATGCGCACCAGATTCCTTCCAAGTTCAAGTACTTGAAGTTCATGGAGTGGTCAAAGCAGTATGGTAAGGAATTCGTCATGACATCCACCTATTCTTGTCGTTGAAGAGCGCTCCGAAAACGTTTAGGTGACGTTATGCACTTGACCGTGTTCGGTGCCCCGGTCATCGTCCTCAACAGCGTTGAAGCGGTCACCGATCTTTTGGAAAAGAAATCCGCCATCTACTCTTCTCGCCCTCGCTCACATATGGCAGACATCATGGGTTACTCCTCCTCCACACTACTTGCACCTTATGGAGAGCCTCTCCGCCGCTCTCGCAAGCTCATGTCTGCTGCCCTCAACTCTCGTGTCTCTAAAACTTACCACCCCATCCAAGAGCGTGTCGCTCAAGACTTCGCCTACTTGCTTCTTGAGAACCCCCAGCAGCTGAAAGACAACATCAAGCGGGCGACCGGGAGTGCAATCCTCGAAATCTCTTATGGCTACAAGCTGACTGGAAAGGACGATCCACATCTCCCGCTGGTAGAGCAGGCCACACACAATTTCGGTCTGGCCGTTTCCGGTGGCTTCTGGATTGATTATCTCCCATTCCGTACGTTTCCGAGATCTTGATGCTTAAAAGGGCATATTGATCTAACTTTCTTTTTACAACACGTAAAGTGCGTTTTGTTCCGTGAGTTGTACCAGGTGTTGCTTTGATCGCGATTCACTCAGCCCCAACCTACGATACTTTAGTCTTCCTCTGTGGTGGCCGTCCACAAGGAAGTACATCCAAGATGGTCGCTCTCTCTCCGTCAGAATCCGTGAAGAGCTCCATCAGTATGTCAAGCGTCAAATGGAAAGTAACGAGGCTCTCATCACGTATTGTTCTTATCTTAATACATCCCATTCATAGGCTGCGGGCACTGCATCGGCATCATTCACTTCCATGCTTCTCCAAGCCAAGGGAACTGTCACGGGAGAGGACGACGAAGAGGAAATGATCAAGCGTACTTCCTCCATCTTGTACGGAGGTCGGTGGTCGAATCGCTTTCTCTGATTTCCCTGTTGATTGGCTGAGTTTTTGTCGTTCAGCCGGAAGTGATTCATCTTGCGCCCTCCTTGAGGCTTTCTTCCTGGCAATGATCCTCCACCCTGAAGTCCAAAAGAAGGCTCAAGCAGAACTCGATGCTGTTATTGGCAATGAACGATTCCCCACCATGCAAGACAGAAGCCAGCTTCCGTACATGGACGCGATCATCAAGGAGACCATAAGATGGGCTGCTGTTGTTCCGCTTGCTGTCCCCCATGCGCTCATTGAAGAGGATGAATATCGCGGTATGCGCATCCCTAAGGGATCCACTGTGATTGGAAACGTTTGGTTCGTCTATATATACCTTTGCCGGCAGTACGACCTCCAAGGTTCTTAATGACAATTTAATCCATAGGTCCATCTTCCACAACCCCTCCGTATACGAGAAGCCATTCGAATACATTCCAGAGCGTTTCTTAGCCCCGAATCCTCCCCTCGATCCGTTCTCTCTAGCCTTCGGATTTGGTCGCAGGCAATGCCCCGGTATGGACGTCGCGTCCGCCACTGCATTCCTTTCCATGTCCACTACTCTCCACTCGTTTGATATCCTTTTCGCGAAGGACGCTAATGGGAACGATATCAAGCCTAAAGTTGAATGGTCTCACGGACTCATTGCGTAAGCCATTAACGACTGTCATCCTCCTATTCCCCTTGGGACTTAAATTTGATCTTCACTCATAGGCACGCCGCCGAGCATCCCGCAAACATCGTTCCTCGTAGTGCTAAGGCAGTCGAGCTGATCCGCACTACTCACTGGGGCGCTGATGAATAAGAAGACGCTCAGAGTTCTTGCTGGAACGGTGCCACCTGCATGTCCATAACTATTACTCAACATATCAAAACGCACCAAACCCTGTAAATGTATACGTGCTCGGTATTAATGTCATTTTGTAGCGAATACCAACATCTAGTTCTATTATTGGGTGTGCAGATGCGTTAGCTTCACTCACCGTCGGCATTGAGGGGTGGTAAGTGAATAGCATAACACCAACTAATTTAGTGAGAGATACCCCACTTTTAAGACCCAGCGCTGAAAAACAACCCTGACACGGCGACTCCTAATGCATGATGCCTGCATTCAAGTTGCCTTTAAATTTACCCGAGTGGGGCAGCCCGGCGTTCAGTGTATGCAGTTCCCGAACAAATGGTATGCCCGTAGACCGCCGGTTCGAACCTTTTTTTTTCCCACTGGCTGCAGGATCGACAAACGTAACAGACACCTGGTTACGTAGCCAGAATGCTGTCATCTGGGTTGGATACCCCTGTTGCGTAGTTTGGTGAGACGAATATTAGATCATTCCTGGTAAGATGGAAAGGGTCTCCCGTGTCCTCTCTACGCCATGGCAAACTGGAACGTACAAGGAGCTGTATCTTCCCTTACTCCCCAAAGCTCGATGCTGAGAGCCTGAAAGACTCCCATATGGTGCAAGTAGGAGAGGAAGCACGCAGATGTGCGATCCTACCCGTCGTCCACCTCTGAAAGCTGAGATCCAGCTGCAGTAAATGTAACGATGGGCGAAAAAAAAAGACTAAGTGGGCGAAGATATTGAACGACCCAGGGTTGGCGGCGTAGGGCATTCCAGCCAAATCGGGTCGTGGGTGACATTCAATCCTAAGCCAGTCGAGGCAGTGAAGATCGGGGGGGCGATGAAGAAAAGAAATATTTCAGATCGTCTTGAACATTGATGCTGACGGATCGCAGCAATACACAAGGAAAAAAATTGGGAGAGCGGAGCACTGGTGAAGCGCGTTTTAAGTATCCTGATCGTGTGCACACCAGTATGTCTGTGATTTGGGGGGAAAGAGTCCATGATGCTTGGAAATCTCTAGGAGGGTGTAGGCTACGTAGTTGCGTTGAGGGGCAGGGGGGTGACGAGATCAAGAACGTTGCAAGTTGTAAACGGCGGATCGGAGCATGAGGAAGAAGATGAAAGAGAGGATCTAGCAGGGTCAGCTTCAGCGCCCCAAGAACGGATGGTCAGCTCTTGTAGGGAGGTTAAGATGATGAAACTCGGGATCTCCATGTTCGTAAAGCTTAGGCGTGGAATCTGGTGGGTAGTGGTGCAGGTAGATCGAGTCGCGAACCAGGCAGCCAGACGGGTGTGGAATACGATACAAATCCTTAAACACCTGAGAAATTTGAAAGGGGTTGAATCTAGCTGTCATGCTTTGGCATGCTCAGCTAGCTTGGCATCTCCACGCACCCTGTCGCAGCAGTTCCTATGGGAATTCTCCAACTTGGGATATTCTGCTTCTTCGTGGGGCTGACCTGTCGTTCCTTCGTGGATTCTATTAAGCTCAGTCAGGTTAGAATGCGTATTTGAAATATCAGAGCATTTCTTTCTTGCCCGGTGAGAGAGAACGTGGCGGAGCTAGTACATACATAGCAAGAATTGACGAATCTGGACTCACAATATTCAAAGCGCCGAAGAGGTTTATTTATGTTGATGGGTCTCATCAATCCAGTTGACGATGGAGCTAGCTAGTACGGGAACACTCCTGCTAACAAAGACTCCAACCGCGTCGAGCCTAGACCGCAAACTGAAGGGGCTTGTGCAAAATACGTCGGTTTTCTAGAAGATTGATATTGCTACGATCGAGATAGGTGTTGAGATAAATATCAATCCGAGCATGCCAACTGCAGAGACTATGTAATGCAAGTAGGTTGAGTTGTCAAGGTACTTACTAGCTTCCCACGTTAATTAAGCAACACGATCGCTTGGTGTGAGTCACGTTCAGGAACCAGGAAATCTGGATAAGCACGGTCACTATTAATAGCTTTTGAGTTCAACTCCCCAATGCTTGAACCAAGGGGTAAAGTGAAAGGGACCATGAACACGTGCTGTGGGGAACGCGTCGTATAAGAGTGACATGGTGTGATCGATACAAGTACAGCGACTCAACTTGTGCAGCCGAGCCCGTTTTAACTTGACTTCGCAACACACACACACATCGTTAACATGAAGTTCTTCTTCCACAACAGCTTCCTCACCTCGCTCCTCTTCGGCCTCATAAGCATCAACTCGGCCCTTGCTATCATAACCAGCATCAAATTACCCCAGAACGTCCTACGCCCTGGCCACATATTCACTGTTACATTCTTTACCAATCACAGCATGATCCACAACACTCAGTACTACGTCCTATTCGGACTACAACCTGGAACGGCCCCGATCACGGGTGGAAATATTGGTCAATTCGTCTTGACCAGTCCTCAGAGCGATTTGGTTGAGGGTGGACACTCCGTCACGTCGGGGCATGGAAGTTTCAAGGTGGATGTTTTGTTACCAGCTAAATTCAAGACTACGACTGGAAAAAAGGAAAAGTTTGGGATGACGGTGGCTGTTTTCCAAACGGTGAGTTTGGTTTTGCGAATTGCAGTAAGGGATCGATCAAGCTGATTTTTTTTCTTTTGTTGCAAGACTGGGGCCGAGAATGAAGCAGGTGTAGAGAGCTTCCATGGAATTGTCACCATCGCTCCGCACTGAGTCAACCGAGGTTATCTCTGCTTGAATGCGTTGGCGCTCGGTGGGAGGGAACCTGGACTCACATTGGTCATTAAAGCACCGAGGAGTTTTTAATTTTTATATTGTTTGCTCTGCCTGATATTACTTTATTATTCCCCTTCTGTCTCATTGCGTTTGCCTTGAGCGAATTGGCGACGATATTTATGACTGTCGTTTGCGTGGGCGGCGCTTCAACGCATCGACCAGGACATGCAGCGTTTCTTTAGTCTGTATTTACACATGGGGGAAATACTTACATATATAGTTGATCATTGAAAATTAACCAACGCAGAGAATGTTGCGAATAATGATTGCAGAGACAGGTTGTCGGGGAATGTACATGCACATCATAATATTGCATTGGCCAGTGGAGTGAGAGAGGGTCGATCGGTCATAAGGTGCGGGGGGGTTCATAGTTTGTTCAATATTTGGACAGATGCTAGTAGTTGGGCCTGAAGATCACAAGCAGTAGATTACATAAGTAATACTGATACGTAACAGGGTCGAAAGATGACGGACTAAATAGGGATGGCGGTGGTGTTGCGCTGACTGAAGCAGCCTGAGGGTGTATCCAGTGCAAATGCATATTGGAACGAGCGAAGGGATGTTATATATGTAGACATACAAACAGGAGAGTGCTGCCCCTAGATTAGAAAATTTGCAATGCCTTGCCCACATGGTCTTGGTATGTGGACATATGAACCGCCAAATTTCAAAAGCACGCTCTCCTTTCAAATTGATTTGGGGATAGCCTTGTGACGTCACACACATTTGAGTTGGTCGCATTTGACACATTTGGTTTGACACGAGACCCGTGGGCTCGTTCGCGTTCGTTTCCGTTTCCATGCTTATGTTGTTCGTCTGGTTTTCTTACATAGGGCTCTGGTCTCGAACTACAAACATAAAATTGTCGTCATACACACCCGTAAATACATGTTTCGAGGTCGAGGCCGATTTCCGGCACTTTCAGTGTGTTGCTCTTCTCGATTGCTTTCCTCAGCAGGGCTACGGAGCAGCAAGAATTTACCCTAATCAAGGCTGGTATCCGGCTTCACCATCTTGAACTGCATAGTGCATGTCGGTCGTCTACAATTTCATTCGGAGCCCCTCTTATAACTTCGAGAGATTCGCTCTCTGTCATTGAGCAACGTTACAACTCACGTATAAGTACTCTATGATCTACCCCTGCCTGTTCGACTTACGGTTTCTTCTCCTGGATACCATGCCACTCCCCAGCTCTGGTAAAGGTTACAACAACAATATTGCAAGTCTCCATCCAGTGATTATGGAGATCGGTGGGTTGGTTCAGTGACCTTACGTCTTCCATGAACCCATACGCTTCAACTGCAGAGTTGCTCTGCATGTTCTACTTCCGGATGCTCCCATCACTCTCACAGTACCAGGAATCGCAAGCTGAACGGGCTATCTTCTTCCCAACCTTCGCCACATTAGCCTCATATAAATACGCTCAAACGTGTGTCAAGCAAAAACCATCAGTAAAAGTTATTAGCTTAGCTCTGGTCGAAACGCGAGTTGTATCCGCTGAGTAACAGATTGCCATATATATCTGGAATCCCTTCATGACAAGACCAACGGGAACACATACTTTAAAATAAACACAACAACGACATGTAACAAGACGAAGCGAGAGGATTGCACAAAAGAAACTGTGGGCATGTGGTTTCCCCGCTGTCGGATAACATGCACCCATATATATATATATATATATATATATATATATATTGCGGAAAGGGCTGTGGAAAATTTGGACCTAAACGCAGTGACTGTAATCCTAGGTGCTAGCTCCGCCAGATCCTAGCACTAGCATATATGGTCCGCCTGGCAGAAAGCCTGATCCTGCCATGTACACTTTTGGCCGTTGCTATTCGCACAGCTGGTGCTCTTTCCAACGGGGAAGCAGGGTCCCTGATGTCCGGTCTGGGTTTCAGTATAGGAGCTGAGATCAGGATTAATCGTAACCTGATGGTTACAAATCGTGACGGTCTCGAATGTACCAGGTTGGATCTCTTCGCCGACCCAGTTGTCCACGATATCTTCGCACTGATACTGATCAGTCCCGTCTGTTTGTGCAAATATTGGTTAAGCAAGGGGCTAAATTTCATTTAAGATTTCGGTTCACCTAGCCAAGAAGGGATGACAGCCCCAACTACGCTCTCTGTATTCTGAGTATTTGGTGCGATTACCTCGCAAGTGACTTTGCCAACGTGGAAATGCGCCGCAACAGTGCGAAGTAGGGCGACCGAGACGAAGGCACTCCAGAATCGCATCGTTGACTTTTTGGAGAACTGCTACTGGTAGATCGCATGAGTAGCTCTTACGTATAATGCGAATCAAAGAGTATCGACCTTAAGTCTTGGGGCGTAGATGCTTGGAGGACTGGGGGAGAAAGATCCACCCCTGGGAGGTTATATACGATAATCGGTATCCAATCAATATTTAACAAAGTGAAAATAATCTTCCCTGAAACAATCCTTGCTCGTGTACACGCCCAAGTGTTTTGTGCGTTCCTCTTCCCGGAGTTAGAGAATCAGGTCCATATCATCCAACGTGTGATCACGACAACCCGCTTGCGCAGTAATTGAGCTTGGTTCTGGGATAATTGTTGACACCGTTGCAAAGTCATAGAGGTTGGAGTCCTGCCTAACCTATCCTACTTGTTCTCGGAGGTGACCACCATCGAACAGGGTAACTATTGTTATTATTTCCGACCGTCTGTGCAGTCGAAGGAGAGAACAGCTAGTATTTACTGTCATATTAGTACTTGCACTCTCCGTTTTACTGGACTTACCTGTAATGACTATGTAAATTGGCGAGGGGGCAGCAATGAGTGGGTGGTAATAAATAATTGATCAATATCATGACCTGTCCACTAACCATGCATCAAAAAAACACCAAAACCCGGGAATATAGCAATAATCTGAGCAATTCTCAGAGTCATGTCTACATAGCGATGGTTGCATGCATGTTGCATAGTAGTTTTGGAATGGCTGGAAAAGGGAATGTCTGATTAACGATGTTCGCACATCAGAAGGGATGATTAAGTTGGCAACCTTGGTTGTGTTAGTTGTTACAGTAGTTCTGTTGGTGGAAACGCCTTGGCTCTCCAACACCTCGTGATCAGTCACATCATTAAGCTAAGGCAACATCAATAACTGGACTGGGAAACCGCTGGCAAGCTCGGCCATCTAGCTTGAGGGGAACCCTCATAACAAAAGCAGCTCTGGTACTAGTGTCAACCGTGCCTTAATGTTGGTCAATCTCCCGGCACTTCCCCTGCCCCTGATTTGATCGGCGTTCTAGGTTGAAATCGGTTTTTTGGGTTTCCTTTTTTTTTTCTCCCAGAGACCAGTTACATGAGTTCTCACACTCGGACTCGTCGTGTTAGCCAGAATTAATCTTGGGATATTGGTATGCATCCTTTCCACTCTCGTCAACTCGCTTTGAGTGCTCGTCGCTGACTTTGCTCGCTTCCGGCCAACGATCAGAAGATCACATCATAGGAGGAGGAATTAAGCCGCATGGGTGTTAAGAGGCTCGGTACTTCATAGGGGCTCGAACTTTCAAGTGTGTATGCAATTAACTCTCACTTCGGGAAGCAGCAAAATCTCTTTTGTGCTTTGCCCGCATTTGCCTGGCCCAAGCGCAAGTCTGATTCGTGGGCTTCAAGGCATGCGGTGACATCATTGGAATCCGATGCAGCTTCGTAGTCCCTTGTAGCCGATTTCCTGGCTCCAAGTCACTTGTATGGCGCCACCTAGAGACTCGGCAGCTGAGCGTGTCATCGTAGACCCAAGAACCCATATGCCACAAAGATCTCGATCATGGCCACCCATCGGTAAGACAACCGTACTGTCTTTTCACCTCGGCCCCATAGTAACCTTGATGCACCAAACCCATCTAACTTCTCATACCTTTTCCACATCCTCATTATTCCCAGTATGAGGACTGATCACGAGGTGTCGGAGCCCGAGCCAAGGCTTGTAATAATTCGATAATCAGGTTGCTTCTGCATGCCGTCGTCGCGTCTACGTCGCTTTTCCTGGACATCAATCGGACATTCGAGCATAATCCCTTTTTCAGCCATTAAACATGTAGAGACCCCAAGTAGACTTGCTCTGAAAAATCGCTCAGATTCAAGTTACTGCTATCCACGTTACCGGGTTTTGGTGATTTTTTTGGTGCATGGGAATGGTCAGATTAACAATTATCGCAGAAAACCATGCTCAATTACTGTACACGGGTTGTTATGAGCACACATTGGATAATATAAACCTAGTTGTCTACTCCGGGAAGAGTAGAGGAAAGGACATTCGCCTCACGCCCCGCTATATATGAAGTAATTACACGTGTTGTACATTGTTTATATCGAGGAAATAATAAGAATCTGAGATGCGTGCAATGCCAATTGCACGCATCTTTGGCCAGCCTCAAGGGCCATTCCTTAATCCTTAGTGCAAGCTTTTGGTATTTTTTCGATGTCTGAGAGGCACTGAGTCTTGACCTAGCATGTCATTTCCCATACATGCCACTCCCGTACCGCTAGCGCGCCCTCCTACATGGATAGCAACAGACATATGACTTTGCAGGACATCCTAGGACGTCTCAGGACGTTGTTGCATGTGTCCAGTCAAGCACTTGTAAGTTGAATTAAACTGAATTGTCAGGACGTTTCCGTATGAAAACCACATTGATCGACAAAGTGTTTAACGATCTCCTGCCGAAGGCCGTTCATCTGTGTAGTTATATAGCTTACACAAATACGTGTAATCGACGTGCGGACAAGTGGCACGCACTTGAGCTGGATGCAAATTTTGTGCTCGGCAACCGTATATACATATGGGCAAGCAAGGCGCAGTGACCCCTTCAGTACAGTATTCCCTAACTAAATCCAAATCGCTCTAAGGCTGTAGTTAATTGGCAATTTGGGTCTTCTACATCAGCGCTATTCTTTACTTTCCATGACGGGCCCTAGCCAAGCCCTTGCATGCTTCGACCAAGCAAATAATGGCACATTCACCTCCCCCATTCCGCTTGTCTCGCGTGTCCCTCCACCCGCCCCATGCCCAATTTTGACTTGTGACAACGATTTGCTCAACATTTTGTTAGTGCTATTGTTACGCACCTCATTAGCCACACTTTACCCATGCGTGGGTTCTGCGTGCCCCTAGCCAGCTGTCCGCCATAAGTTCGTCGTTTCCCACTGACTAATCAGTGGTTCACGATCAGACATTTTCCCTTTGAGCTGTGATAAACCAGAATACTGGATTTGGCCAACTCTCCACATGGACTTATTATACTGATTATACGCTGATCATGACAATGCCGCCATCAACCATTTTAGTATGTTCCGCTTTGTACGAGTGCGCAGCGCGTCTCCCACGGCACACAGCGGCAAGGCGTGAGAGTCCTTGGGGTCTGCCATCTCTAGTGATCCCAGTCATGAGCATACATATGTTCCCGGATATGACATTAGAGCGTGCGTAATTCGCGGACTGTGAGGAGCCGAGAAATAATGTGCACGAGCTTCCGGATCATTGCCAGGGTTGCGTGCATGAGACTGTACAGAGAAACTTGCAGTTCACACAAACCCCCATCAAGGACACGAGCTGATCTGACTGTTACATAATTGCAAGAGTGCAGGCTTTGGGACATCAGATGGGAAAAACCTAGCGTTGAGTCGGGGAATCAAACTCAAGAGATCCAAATAAATAGTAGGGTCCCGATTAGGAAGGTGCTTCCTTACACCTTGTGCTTCATTTCTCCGCACTCTCCCAAACGAAGACCCTGGCCTGTTCTGAGGTTGTATCTCTCTGTACGATCTCTTGACCATCAGGCTACTTGCCGAAGCTTGATTCTGCTTCATAAAACCCGTCTTTGTGTGTGAAAGCGAAACCCAGTTTGAGGTTGAAACGCCTCGTGTTGCTCACCGCTCTTTGACGTGGACCGTCGTCTGCGTTTTCCATCCAGCATCTCTTTGTTGCCCATCAGCTTCCCCTCGACCAGTCCATGTCGACGAGCTTCTCGGGAAGAGGTGCTGGGCGTGGTGCGCGTTATGGAAGTGCTGCCTATGGACCGCGACCTGCTTCACGGGCGCCTCATGCCAGCACTGCAAAAGTTGACTTGTCAGAACTGAGAAACCCAAGCGCAATATACTCTCAAGCGCAAATACTGGCCACTCAGTCAGTCCCGTCACCTGCGGCCCAGTTTAACTCCCACAGCTCTCGGCGATTTGGATCGTCCACTCTGTATGCCAACTCCCCGAGCTCAAATGCTGGGTTGGCCTCAAATCCCGCTGCCCAAGCCCTCTCTCGTGTGTCCGATCTTGCTCCTCATGCGAGCGGTTCCTCCTCCACACTTTATCGAACCATTCTAAAAACCCCCACGCTGACGCAAATGTACATGCATGGTCAATTTTCTTCGAATGCCCCCGATGTTCTCCGGCAGTTCACGGCTGAGTTAAGGTTCTTCCAGACGGTTCAGCGACATAGGAATATCGTAGCTTTTGTTGGAAGTCTCGAAGGTGTTGGAATGCTCCTGGAATACGTCGAGGGCGAGACATTGTTTAAGTACCTTGGCCTAGGGATGTCCATGAGCACTCGTGCCGATTGGTTCAATCAGATACTCAATGGTCTGTGCCATGTTCATTCGTTTGGTGCGTCAGTTTTCTCCTAGCCCGAAACACGTTCATCCACCTTCTATACCTCGTTCTGCAGGCTTAGCACATAACGATCTGTGTTCCCTCAATGTAATAATCACCACTCCGAACTCCCCGATATCTTCCTCCAAAATTGCATCCAATACAAAAAATACTCGATACGTCGTCAAGTTGATTGATTTTGGTCGATCCACTGTAGAACCTCGGCCTCCTCCCATACCATCCGCGTTAGCTGCGCTCCGTTCGCGACCCACGACATCAGTTCCCGCATCTGAGGACCAGCAGCGGCAGAAGGCAGAACGGGAGCGAGATTTGATTTATCCTGGAACTAGACCGTTCGCTTCACCAGAAATTATGCGTGCATGGAAGATGAGCGAAGCTGGATCAATTCAGATCTTGCACGATGATGAATCAAACGCCGAAGACAATGGATCGGAAAGTGAAGGCGAAGTGTCCGATGTCGTCGATGATATGGAGATGGACAGGCCGTCTCATGGTGGGGCAACCCCGTACGGCCCTCTCACTCTCCCTCTTCCTCTTTCCACATCTGCCTATATGGGCGACTCTGATGATCTAAATCCAGTGTCTCCACCTTTTGCGCCAACAGTTGCAGGCTCTCGAATGCGCGCGAAGTTACCAATCCTCTATCTCACTGAGAACAGTACCACTGTCGGTTCATCCACTAGTACAATTCTTCCTACTCCCACAACGTCTTCGCCTCGTCCAGGCGCTTCTCGCATCGCACCTCAACGCAATCACTCGCACCTCTCCCGTTCTCGCTCACCATACCGCTCACAAGGGCATACCGACCCGTACCCCTCGCCCACTTCCTCACCTTCAGGCTCTCAGCCCTCCTCCCCCTCTAACCACCCGAAATGTCCTGACATTTCCGTTTTCCCCCATGACCCAGGTTTTGACGTCGACGAAACCTCCGGTGATGCCAAACGAAGAGGCCGTAGTCGGGTGCTTCATTCACCTTCTGCTCGCCATTTCGCTTCATCGTCGGTCGTTACTCCTTCTCATCGCTACCACCAATCTCAATCTCGCACCCGCACTGGTATCGGTGTTGGCCAGGGGCAGAAGACGCTCTCTAGACGAGCCCAGAAGGCGGCTCAGATGGCCAAGATAACGACGCTTTATTCAGTCGATCCATACCCTCTTAGTCCGATCCTTGGAGATACGTATTCCCTTGGCGTCATTGCACTTTGTTTAGAAGTCGATGATCTTGTGGATGTCCAACCCGGTGTACAGATGTGCGAGGAGTGGGATTGGCCAAGAGAGCTTGCTGAGAAAAGGTCGGGGTTGTTCGAAAGAAAAGGCGGTGTTGGAGGTACAGTGGAGGAGTGGGGTTCTATTGAGAGGTATATGAGGATGGTGAGGGAGAGAGAGCGGTGCCGAGCAAGTGATGCGTTGGATGTGGATGCGATAAAGGAGATTGAAAGGGAGGAGGAAATCATGGCGCGGTCAAGAGCGACATTACTAAATCCTTCGGACCAATGATAACAGGGTACCGGCAGGGGCTATTGTGATGCCACGCAAATAACGCACTGGGTGCGCGCTTCTCGCTCTGGTGGCGGTTGGGGAATTAACGTTGACTGGGACTATGTATTCCTGATGGTCGCATTAAATGATTATCTTGCTGTGTTTAGATGCACTATGTACTGCGCCCTTCTTTTTTGTATATCTCCCCGCTCATCATGTTCTCAAATGTATCTTGTTCCTTTGGTCCTCTTCATTGTACTAGCATTTGGCAGGATCCTTTAAGGACCTCCAGAGACTTCGGGAAGCAAGCTCACAATCTATTGCCATTAGTATTGGTCGGGTACGTAAGAACGAGAACAACACGCCTGAATTGCCACGTCGAACAACGATTCTCGCAGTGAAAGATGAACACGTCATTTACGAGTGCGCTGCTAGGACGTGCCCCGTCGGACAATCCACGTAGAGAGTCTCACTTCAGACGCCGATCTCAGAGTATGGAAAACAGCGCCTGTTTCCCTTCAGTGTATTCGCCTACAACTCTAGCTCGGCCTCCTGACCCTTCCACCTTGATGATCGAGGGAGATCATGCCCCTGTCCTTGTGAATATACCTCAAACTATGCCTCCAGGAATCGCTTCTTCCTGTGGCATCAGTCAATTCGACGCTACCTTGCACTCTTCAATTGGGTTATCTGGGTCGTCGTTCTATCCACCAGAGAAGGGAGAACCCCTTTCTACTGCTCCTTGGGAACCCTCCAAACCGACTGTTTCCAGTGGATGGGGCTCGTTGCGCGCTAGGGCTCAGCGAAGAAAGTCCTCTATAGTTGCCAGCAATTCTAATCCCTACGATATTCAGGGCTCAGTCTTCAGGTTCGGTCTCAGTTCCTATGCCCCGGAAAGGCTGTCATCCCACCCTCATTTGATCGCTCTCGCGCCTGATTCCCAAGAGTCGTCTCCCGGTCTAGCTTTGCCTTTTCCAGTAGATCCTCCCTTGATTACGCCCGCGTCCATACGTCGGGTCGACCCTTTGATTGCAGCCACGAGTTCAACGAATCCTTATGTCTCCTCACAAACTGTGTCATTCCCTGACTATTCCCAGCAGCAGCTTACTTCTCCCAGGCCACCAGCATTATTCACGCTTCCTCATCGTCGTCATAACGTGGCTTTTGCTGACCAGCGTAGTAGACTTTCTGCTACATCCCCTCGGTTATTCTCATCTATAGCACATCACACTTCAAATTTCACTCGAAAGTTCCCTCTGCCATGGAAATCTGTTGATAAATTCAACGCTCATGAATACGATCCTCTCCTTGAACCGGACTGGGGTGATAGAAGGAATAGCGGCCTAAAGGTTTTGGACCAGCAAGACGGTTACGGGCTCGATGGCGACAGCATTCGTATCGGAAAGTGGACGCCTTATAAGTGGGCTTTGGTTGTATCCATATCCGTGGTCAGTTTGAAAGCAGCATATTGGCGGGACATCGGATTCATGAAATGCTAGATGTTCGTCATTAGTATGGGAGGCATTCTCGCTAGTCTTGCTATATGGCTTCGGAGTAAGGCAACGGCCTGTTTCTTCATTCGGATTGTGCATGACATTGCTATCCCAGCTTTTCTCCTCGCAGATGTCATTCTCGTAATCAACTGGGACCTCGTTCTTTGTAAGATGGGTTCCCTCATGTGTACTTTCGACCCTCTTCTATTTCGCTTCAGACAGCACCGTCGCTTCGGGTTGTATCCTTATCACGTCCTTGGTTGGCATCACTGGAGCGATCTTGAATTCGCGACCCTTTTTGACTTTCTACAACATTCTGCTTTGGCCATGCCTTATCAGTTTGACAACTGTCGGATACACCTCTTACAAACGTCGTGCCTTTAATCTCCTGGGGAAGATTAACCAGGGATGGAGCAGACAGTGGGGAGATTATGGGAGACTTGTCATTCAAAACTCTGTGAGGAATCGTTACTACCCCGGGAGCGCCAATTGAACAACTCGTGCTCTAGCTGCATTGCTGTGGGCTTTATAACCCCCTACACCTGGCGATCTTTTCGAAGACTTGCTACCCTCGTTCGACGCTACCAGCCTGTAGACCGAAGCTCAGCCGGTTTCAGATCTCAGTCTTGAATATGTTCACTCGCGCAGCCTTCTCGGTCACAGGGATCATACTTCTTAGCATAGTGGTTGCGGTTATTTGTTCAAATCATGTGAATCGGTATGCTTCATGTGCTTCTGAAGGAATCGTCGTTTGCAGCTACTCGCCCCTATTCACAGCTTGTTTGGGAAGGGATTAATGCCTTTTCAGTATCGACTGAGGTGATATTCCTTGACGCTCATCACGAGGCCTCCCGTGCTGATTTGCGCGTTTAGAATGGGTGATGTGCGTGCTAATGCACGGGCTGTGTCTCTCAAATCGCTCGGCCGCGCGGTGCAGCCTAAAACTGTCCTACGACCCGGTTCTATTGAGCCAGTGTGAAAGCGGAGTTTGTGTCTCGATCAAATCGTGCGCTGCGCACAGTCTGAAGTTTGAACGCTATTTCTATTTTTGATGCCAAAGGCCATAGTATGGGCTAGCTGTCACGGTAGCAGATATTCATTGATGATAGTTACAGCCCAAATGACAGAACTCGTCGCACTTTCCGCGGAATATTAATTGTCAGGTTTTACTGGACAAGTCGGAATTGGCAATGGCGTAGTTGGAGGCAAGGCCGAAACGCTTCCGACGCGAGTTACCCTTTTGTTTCTTATTCTTCAAGGACTGCTCTTCATCTCCCTCGTCTTTAGGAGGCGGCATTTCCAGCTTTTCAGTAGACGACACCCTTGCATCTGTGTCGTGCTTGATCATCAGTTCAATAGCATCGTAAAGAATCTTCTTGTGCGCAGCGTCCGGCGCCTTCAACTGATTGAATAGTTGTAGCATGTTTTTGGAATTCGTCCGAATTAAAAGTCGTCTGAACGGTTTGCTTTGTTGTGTAGCCCATTTCAGGGCAAGAAGGACGCTGCGTGCTTCTGGGCAGTCGACGGTACCTTCTCCACTGTCGGAATCCAATGGAGCCACGAACGACACATCCTCTGAAGTGCAACTTATATGCACATTTGCACCACCGTCCAGGGCCTTGCAACACACTTCTAAATCTGCTTCTTTGTTTTCCCAAAAGCCGCCGTCCACGATCCGAATAGGTTTGGCTTCCCGGAGTTGTCGCGCGAACCATTTTAGATCCTCTGTGACTTCGGGCGAAAGTTGGACTTTTTCGCTTGCTGAAGTCTTGCGAGCGATCGCGCTGAATGATGAGTTGAGTGCGGGCCTTAACTTGGGTGCAGCTTGAAGTGCCCAGTTTGCCACGCCAAGTAGTTCCCACCATTCCGCGACTGTATGCCGGCCGACACGAACAAAGCTATCCATCATTTTAAGGATATTTTCCAGCTTTCCGGCCGGGAGACTAATCGTAAGATGGTCGAGGGATATCGAAAATCCGATTATTTCGAGTTTTGTGCCGAATTTTTGTTTTTTGTCTTCGTGGGGTATCCCAAGACGGTCGAATAGGTGGAGGAGCTCCACTTGTTTCTTGGGCATCTCACGTTTGTATGGAGGATACAAAACGAGCTTTTCAACGAAGTCGTAGGAGAAGCTATCGTCCACGTAATGGAAAATATCTTTGAGTCCGTCCTTTTCCGCACACCATAGGACTGCTGCCAAGAACTGGCAGAAGATCTTCATGGAGCCACGATTTCCAAACACAGCGTTACGATCAACGTATAGGTACCCATCTATCCTGTTCACCTGCCGCACCTGCCAGCGGGGATGAATGGGTATGATGCGGAATGCCTCAGCAACGTCGGATGTGAAGAGCCATCTCGGCGGTTGCCCATGTTCCTTGATAGCAAGCCTAAGGCGAGACGCCAAGTGGGTAAGCGTGTCGACCTGGACATACGCTGCTTCGTTGGGAATCATGGAGTTGAGGGAGTGATCTCCGGCACTGTGGTTGTTGATGATTCGGAACTTTTTCGGCCCCGGCTTACGTTTTGTAAAGACCGGAGTACAGACCATGCCAGGCAACAGCTCGTCACCAAAGGCACGCGAATATCGACCCTTGGAAACTTCGTGCTCGCATTGCGTACGGAGGAACTTGATTTGTTCGGCCTGCCTAGGGCGTTGATTTGCAGGGTCCAAGTCAATGGGTGAGGATGTGTTCATCTGAGCAGTGTTTGCACCAGGCCAAAAGCCCTTTTCGAAACCATCAACAAGGGATTTGACGAAACGAGGATTCGGATGTAGCCTCAACAGAGTTTGTAGCTCCTTATGACGGATGGGCGTTTGAACGCAAAAGAGATCTGGACGATTTTGCAATGTCTGCGTTACAGTGGCGTGCCCTAAATCATGATTGGGAACACCCGGTATAGCTGGAATTCTCTCTGTGCGTTTAGCTGATGATTCGAGGAGGTCGAGAGCCGACTTGGCTCCATCCCAGCCCACACCAAAGAACGAGGGGCGCAACCGTTCTACTGCGCTGTGTCTCGACCTTTTTCGGGTTCTCGGTTCGGCATCAGGCACATCATCAGAGTCATCCCGGGTCGACCGTGTATCGACAATAGCAGATAACACCTCGATGTTCTCCCCATCCCAATCCTGATGGGCGGAAATTTCTGCTTCGAGAGGATCCTCTCCGCTATCCCCTTGTCCTGCCTTACTAGATGAACCCCACGAGAAACCAAACATCTTTAGCTCGAGCGAGGAAAGGGGCAGGGCGGTAGAAAGAATGGATCCAAGTAGGTTTATATATCTGACTTGCAGCCAGCGGCTCGCACCCTGTATCAAAATTTCCCATGGAATTGGTAGGATGGAGAGAATCGCCAACTGCAACTAAATTAAAGGGTCCAGCGATGTTTTTACGTGCTTCTCTTTGAGCATGCCGGCTGACCTGCGGCTTAAGATATCTGATTGGCGCCCATCTGGCGCTATATACTCGCCAAGGAAAGGATAACGGGTTGTAACGGGACACTGAGCATTTGTTCTGTGATTCATTTCCATTGTTGCAGATGGTCTGCCGTTATCATGAGGTTTTAATGCCCACGAGTTGAAAAGAAATCCCTTATATGCCTGGGAAAGGACCGAGGCAGATCAAATACCAAGTGAAGTACGTCTGGACCAAGTATGTAGCAAGTATTGTCAAACTTTTGCAAATGATGATACAACAGGGCATCAGAGAATAGGCAGGAAGGACATCAAGACGATAGTAATGAATACACTAGCGCGAAAAGCTTACCCCTATAATGCTTCTCCTTACGTGCTAGTTTTTTGGTGAATGGTGCCCACGCAGCCAATACGGTTTCATGCAGTTCTGTCCTTCTCCAAGCGAATCTTGTGTCGAATATCCACCTCGGCATTCTCCGGGTCAGAAGGCGGTACTGTTGGTGGTGGCCCACTACAGTGAAACGCCACGCATAGTGTTGCATTGTGATCGACATCACCGGTATCATGTTTTGGCTGCTTGATGTGAATCAAACTGCCGGAAGGATATTCGGATGCTTCGCGGCATTCTGCTCCCTCGTGGTTCCACATCGGGCGTCAGATGTGACCAGCCTATATTTTCGAAACTGGAGAGCAGCCCTACTTGAGTGAGTGAGGCTCCGATTGAACAAGATGAGAATCCTTTGGCATTGGTTAACAAATCTTACAGTCCCTCGCTCGATGTGGGTGAAAGATCCCAAAGCTTCGATCAACCAGGACTCCCGTACTAAGAGTTTGCAGCGAAATGTCGAATCTAATGATCGTCTGATTTTTCTCCTCGTAAAGATGGAGGAGACCGGCCGGCTTTTTCTTTTTAGGTTATTCGGAGCATGTAAACAGTGCTCCCTATCATGATCGTACAAGAAACAGCCGTCCACATAGTGAAAGACACCCCAAATCGTGTACATGGGTCGCGCCCGGATAACGGCAGCGAAGAAATAAGCGAAGAATAGCCTTTCAGCATTTGCAGCAGATGGAGAATCGATGTGTTCTAGGTGCACGCAACACCTGCAGGGAAGAGGGAATTGAGTGAAGGGCTCTGCGCTGTGATTATTGATGGAACGAGATTTCTTCGAGCTTTGTAAAAATACTATGCTGGAGAAGTTGGGTACCAAGTGATAACGATCCTTGGACATCTCTTGATCACATGGATTATGAAGTGGTTCAATTTCTTTGCGATCCCTGGAAATGGATACATTCGTTTGGGAGGTGTCGGCTGCCAAAACCCAATGCTAAAGAATGTTTGATTGTGGGTCCGAGGCAACCTCGAAAATATTGATATGAGCCGGGTCGCAGACCCGCGCCTGAAGACCTCTCCAGGCATCCCGGTGAAGCTGACCTGTGCAATCGCGGCCCCACTTAGTTTTGTGGGGTTAACATCGGGTCTTGACCAAAGACTGTATGTTATCGGACGGTTACACTCCCTTTCTCTCTACTGGTAGCCCGTCATATTTGCTCCGCTGAGCATTTTTCCGGTTGTCGCGACATGGGATGGTCGTATCAGCCCTTACCGTGGTGTTCATGCCGCGTGCAGAGATGACTTGTGGGTCATAGAGATATTTTCAAGGCGTGGAACAGTAGGATAAGTTTTCTTGAGATGACGCTGCTCACTATCACGTAGGCCCGGAGGTGACTGGGATTTGTGAAAACTCGAGATGGACGGCCACTCATAGTGGTCGGGAAAGAGACCCTTTAGCATCGGGCACGATGTAATAATGGATCGGATGGTCATGCCCAAGGGGTGTACTGCTAGATGCATGCCGCTCACCAACCCAGAAGTAACTGGTAGAGGAAAGAGTATGCAAGTGACCAGCAGTGGTATTCAAGAGTGCAGAAAGCAAGACAGGTGGTTATTGTGGAAATAATGACAATGGTGCAAGAGCGCCGACGGCCGGTGCATCGGAGCTTCCCCGTGGGAGCAATCCAAACGAGCCTCAATTATTTGTAATTGGTCCTGACCTTTTGCAACCAGATGGCGTATCACCACTCAGCCTTGCAGGGTGGAGAGACAGAAGATTGGCGTCAAAGCCATTCAAACCTCTTGCAAATGTCCTCCTATAGTGACGGTGTGTTTGGATTGGTTACACTGAGTCTCATTCTGTTCCTACGCGTGCGGCGTCATCTTAGGGACCGAACCTCCCTATTCGCCAACACCTTCGGGGCCATTCATGCCACTTCGCCCCCCTCGCCATTTTCAACAATCCTATCCGTCTTCTGTTCGCTTTCCTAGGGCATCTGTGACTCCGGAATCTATGAGTGTTGCCGTTCGCGATTACACGCGTCATACTTCTGGATCACCCGTCTTGTTGGGGGCACACCATGCCAGCGCATCCATCTCAGTGCAGGATACATGTTCTGACGCGCGATTTAGCACGCATTCTTCAAACCCCGAACTGAATGTATGGTTTGACGAAATAGAACCCAGAGAGAACTATTAATAGGGTCTGCAGACGGATAGATTTAGGGAATCGTCACCTCTTACTTCAAAAGGAACGCGGCTTCGGTCGGTGCGTGAGCTTCGTGAGTAACAGAATTTGGTGGGAATGGATGGGATTGATAATATGATCGTAGCGAATGTTTACCAAGGTCTGTCGTCTTGACGTCGCAAGCAAGGACGATGCTGAACGTTGAAACAAAGGGATCTTTGGCTTCCCTCTTTTCAACGCTATTCAGTCTACCTGCTTTGATATGGTGAGACCATTCACGCTCCGTTTCTGTCGCCGCAAGCTCAGCCCGTTCGAAGATCATGAAATCTGGCGAGAATTTGGTGCGTATCTCAAGTTTATCTCGCATGGCAGACGCCGATTCCCTTCCTCAGGTTCTCAGCGGTCCGTCGCCTCTTTTTGTTTCATTTGTGCTGATGTGACTGAATATCGGCCCAGCACCTACTGGAAGCGGTAAGACGGTGGTCTTCGAGCTCGCTATTATCAAACTCTTTATGGATAATTCCCCGAGTTGTCCGCACGGTCCACAATGCGTCTATATTGCCCCTATGAAAGTATGTTTTCGTTTGTGTCTCATGTTTTTAGCCTTTCTGAACCATTTCTCTGAGGCTTTATGTACCGAACGCTTCAATGACTGGACAAAGAAATTTTCTCCTCTCGGCATCGATTGTGAGCGATACGACGACATTCGAGTTATTATTTGATGCAGTGCATCGTCGCAGGTTGCGAAATGACTGGTGATACAGCTGTCGAGGGGAGGGATGCTTGGAGAGGGGCTAAGAAGTGCTCTATCATGTATGTACCGCTCGCGTCCACTTTCTATGTTATTGATTTAGTTGTTCCCCTTCAAGCATCACTACGGTGGGATGAATATCTAACCGAATTGTCACGACCCTGACTTATCTCGTGCCCGCTGCAACAGCCTGAGAAGTGGGATGCTTTGACAAGAAATTGGTAAGTTTTCGCGTTCTCCTCCACGGGCTTCTAGTTGACGGACCATTGGTATCAGGCACGACACTGCCGTTTACACGAACCAGATCTCCCTTTTTCTGGTTGATGAGGCAAGTATCCAATAATTCCTCGGCACAACCTCTCAACTTGATCTGAATGTCAGGTGCACATTTTGAGCGACCCTCGAGGGGCTACGCTCGAAGTCTGCATATCACGTATGAAAACACGGATGACGAATCCACGCTTTGTTCTCGTGTCAGCCACGGTGCCTAACATAGAAGATATTGCTGAATGGATTCGATACGGAAGTCCACCTCATGCAACCTCTGTGTTTAGGGCAGGTTCTACAAATTTCCCTTGGACGCGGTATTTCTTAAGTGAACTTGATCGTAGTTTGACGAGTCTTATCGCCCATGTAAAATCACGAAGCACGTTTATGGCTTCCCGCGCAAACGAGGGCAGAACGAGTTCCAGTTCCTCTCCACGGTCCTGGATCCGCAGCTGTTTCCTCTGCTTCAGCGTCATGCGAATAACAAGCCCGTCCTTGTATTTTGTCCTACCCGAAAGAGTTAGGCCCATTTTCGAACTTAGCGGCTGCTGTCTTTATTATGCTGTTTCAGGCGTCGTGACATGTGCAGACAAGATTGCTGCGGCGTATTTAAAGCTTACTGAACGGGGGGGGAAGTTACCATGGAACACTACGAGGGAGTGGGTTTGTTCGTTCCCCGAGTTGATGCACTGCTAAACCCTGGGATAACAGGACTAACGCATCCTTCGAAGAACCTAAATTGAGCGGTTAGTGGCGGTTTTCCTCGTAGTATGGGCTTCTTGATTCACCTTTTCTCCAGAGCTCGTGAGTCATGGAATTGCAGTTCATCATGCTGGTCTTTCGCTAGGCGATAGAAAGCAGTAGAGTATTTGTTCAGCCAGAAGATCATCTCAGTGGTTGTAGCTACTTCGGTAAGTCTCCGATAGCTGGGAACGGCCGAAAGTCAGCACATGCATTTCTTAGACGCTTGCCGTTGGGGTTAACATGCGTGGGTACATGGTTTAAGTCGTCGACACGGTCTCATCGGGGATATCAGCTGCACACACCGTTGTGATCCATGGAACAGTTCATTGGGCAGATACTCAATGGGAGGAGTACAGTAGCCTTGAAGTCATGCAGATGATTGGCCGCGCAGTCGGTGTTTTCACTTTGGGGTTCGACGTGTGCTCAATGACCATCCCTTACAGGGCCGCCCTCAGTTTGGTGCGACCGCTGTTTCGTTGTCTCATTGGAGTTGTCTACGATGTCTCTAATTGCGATCGCTTGCAGATAAAGAAGGGGTCGCCATCATCCTTTGTGATGCAGTGGCCAGGCCAAAGTACGAGGCTTTAGAGTCGGGCAACTCGGTATTTGAGAGTCACCTGCACCGCAATCTCATCGAGCACGTTGCCTCTGAGGTCGCTCTCGGGACCATCGTGGATGAGGAAACTGCTAAGAAATGGCTGTTGAACTCCTTCCTTTTCCAGAGGATACAACGGAATCCGGCACATTATTCTGGACTTAATGATGATTCTGTCCAAGGATCTTGGCGGGATCGCTTGAATGATATTGTTGAACAAACCTTGGCGACGCTCGAAGAAGCATCTTTAATCTCGAGGGATAGTGCGAGGGCAAACGATAAGATTAGGATCACTGAAGCTGGGGAAATCATGACTAAGGTGGGTGGGAGCTTTTGTGCCATTTTCGTCTTTTCAACATTGAGGAACTTGCTCTAGTACTATATTCGTTTCTCGACGGTCCGTGATGTTATAGGACATTGAGCCGTTCGTATGCTGAGCCTTAGCCCAGATGTGTGCTATCCAAACGCTACCCGAAGAGGTGAATCTCAGGCAGCTGGTCAGTATTCATCCCATTCCAGCTGGCTTCAACTGAATGACATCCAAAGTTCGAGATGCTGTCGCAGGCAGATGAGTGAGCTCAAGGAGTGTTATGAATCCCTGACTCGCTAATCATCTTGTGACCTCCTGACTAGGCTCACTGAGTTAGCTCGACTGAGAGTGGAGGAAAAGCGCGTAAGTGGGCTGCTTTGGGTTTCGTCCATGAGCTTGCCCGCCATGCGGGGGTGACATTAGGTTTTCAACGAGATTCGCGAACACAATGACATCCGCTTCCCGGTGAAGAAGGTAGAGAAGACTCCCGAGAAAGTCCTCCTTCTATTGCAGGTCAGTGTAGGCGCGTCAATGTCTTCTTTCTTTTAAATAAATCCTTCACAGGCTGCATTAGGAGGGATACCATTGACCAGTAAGGACTGGAAGGGTCTCGGACACCATGCTACCCTTGATGCAGCAAATCTGCTTCGCCAATCCATTCGGGTTGCCAAAGGCAAGTTCAGCGAGGTACCAATGAAATCGCAATTACTTTAACTCATTAATCCTCCGTTCAGCGATAGTCGACGTTGGCATCGCTAGGAAACTCGGATCGCATATCAAATATGGGATGGAATTGTTCGTCTTTAGCGGTTATCCTCTGAAATCTTTGCGTCTAACTACATTATAATTCCCAGAGTGAGGGTCCTGAGTGCGAAAGCATGGGAGGATCGACCCGTAGTTCTCCGTCAATTGAACGGTATTGGTGATAAATCGTGCGCACCTTCTGCCCTTTGTTTTTATACTATACATTGAAGTGCCGTGTCATAGAGTCAAGGCACGTCCCTCGTCACACTGTTCAGATCGTCTTCTTGATTCCAGGTAGGTGCTGGCCCAGCACGGGATCACTACCATTGGCGCTTTGCGTGGGGAAAAAGCCCATAGAGTTGAGCTGGTGCGTCGTTCAGAAATTGTTCAGTTTAACACCCTGACGTTGAGGGTGTAGCTCCTCAATAAAAAGCACCCATTTGGGAGGGAACTTATTCAGCAAGCTGCTAGTCTTCCAGACTATATTGTCGGGATATCTGAGGACAATGTCGTCGCGGAGGGTGGTGCAAAACCCGTTCTTGTTACACTTTCTGTTTCAATCTCCTTACATCACGCTATGATTCTGGATAAGGTCAAGGCGTTGGGCTACACTTCAGTGCTAACGACAACATCCGACTGCCGGTTAATTGATTTCCGTCGCATCCCGTGCGTCATGCTGTTGCCAAGTACTCGTTGCATCTGACTATTGTTCTCAGCACCAAGGGTTTGGTCTCAGTTAGGTCGTTCGTTGTAACCGCTTCTTTGGAGAAGCCAAGTCAGAGTGTTATTGTCCAGGCTGATGCGGTGAGTGATCTATTGATCCCTTTGTCTGATGATCTGTGTGATCCATTCATTGACAGGAGAAATATGCTGGGTTGTCTGTATTCCGTACTTACAAGCCGACGGTGTCACCGGGCAGCTACCCCATACTTATGACTAAACCCCCAAAGGACGATGTAAGTACACAGGTGCTTAACGTTACGAATCGAGGCATCATGAAGTTAGATCGAGGTACCATCTGATTTTTGGGATATTTCGTCATCCGAGATAGATGCCATGCTGAACGGGGACGGTTGGTGTACCAAAATTTTCCCCATTTTTAAATTCGACCTCCATCGTACTAGCGACGAATCCAAACCCAGAGGTGGATCCAGTCGCTTTACATACGGAGACTCCAGAGTTACGGAAGAAGTCAGCCAAGGCGGTCGAACTTCCACATGGAAACTTTCCGTGGTAGTTCCCTGCTCATACGTCGAGGGTGATGACCACTGACTCACCCTTTTAGTTGTGATCATAATTGCAAGGATAAATCCTCTTGTCGTCACCATTGGTGAGCTCCACGCTCGCGTTATATTAGCGCCATGACCCAAGTGATCCTTCAGCCGTCGGGAGGGTTCGTCCAAAGCGCCGAACCGAAATGCGGCTAACACCGTGCGCAACCGGAACCCAAGTACATCGACGAATAAAGGAACACCAAAACCGACCGATTTGCGACAGAAACCTAAACTGGATCAACCTCGTATCGACCTTGAGGAGCTTCACAGGAACGCGTTATCTGAACCTGCGAAATCCTCCCTGGCTAAGAGAACTAAAGTTCCGCTTTCCGGGCAGCCGTTAACCGCGAAGCACCCTAGTATTCTTCTGGAGACGGATGGCATGAGCGACGATCTTAATGACATGTCTCATTCACAGGGCGTCCTTACCATAGACCGACTGCCCCGTAATCCGGGTTCGCATGAAAATACGAGGTCAAACATGGTCCTGTTTGACGACGGGATTGATTTTCCCCCGCCATCGGATATCTCTTCTACTTCCCCAGCTATGAAAAGGCAGATGTCCTCGGATCTCTCAATGAAAATATCGAAACGTTCAAAACTTGATCCATTCGCAGCTACAAGCAAAATCTGCATCGATTTATCGCCTTCGCCAACACAAGCTTCAGAGGTACAAGATCTGAAAACATCCAGTGATTCTCGCACGATGAAGCACCAGCTTTTTATGCCTGATTCTTCCTTGACGCCTTCGTTTGACAGAATCAGGCGGAATCCCACAGTCAAACGTTCGCCTCCAAGCTTTCACAAAATTTCTCAAGTGCTTTCTTCAGACTGCAGTTCTCCAGCAGCTCCAATTGCAAAACCGCACGCGGATCTGGTTGGCAGTGCATCCTTAGATACCATTGCAAATGGCACATTGGGGGCTCCTTGCAAGGAACCTGAGTGGGACGAAATGGAAGAGTGGATGGCCAACATGGTTGATATTGTGGATTCGACGAACTGATTAGAATCCAAAAGCTACTGTATGCATGCCGCAACATTGCCCACCTTGGCAATAAAATAAGGTTTATTTACGAAAATGACACCGACACGTTGCCAGCTTTCATTGTTGGCTTTCGACCCAGCCGCCCTAAGAGGTTTCATATCCAATGCCTGAGTGAAAGGGGGCAGAGAGCCGGGGTTTCATTACGTACCTTTCTTGGGTTTTGTGTCCTTGCTACCCTTCGACTTTTGTTTCCTGAAATATGAAGGCTGTGGCCCATCATCACCTGCGTCCAGAATGTTCGGAGCGGATGCATAATCAAATGGCACGATGGTGGCTTGTTGGTCGGCAGGTTGTGTGACTCTTTCAGTATTGACAATCATCTCTGGAGCGCCTTCTGTATCAGGTGCTGCAGGGTTTGGTTCGCTTTCGATTCCTGTGTCAGCAAGCTTGCGTTTCTTCTTTTTCTTCCACTTTGGGCGACCAGGAATGACGATTTTTTCGCCAGCATTTGGATTCCGGGCGGCTGCTTTCGATCCCTCGTTGATTGTTGTTCGCTGTGCGGCCGGTACGAAGGGAATTTCCGCGGGCATGACGAGACTGTTGGGATCCGGGAGCTCGCCAAGTGGAGGGGCATCTTCCGCTCGAGCCGTGACAGGGCTGACGGTGGGAACAACAAGACTGCTATGGATCTTTTGTTGGATCGACACAAAATTTGCACGATTGTCAACATGGAAGGGAGATCGAGCGGTTGCGACTCCAAACAAGGAGCTGGAGAATGTTGTGATCGACGGTTGGGTGTCACCCGTTGACTGAAGACTGGACGGGGCGGTTCCAAACATGGACGACGACACGGCGACAGGCAGGTCGTCTAGCGTTATGTAAGTCTGTATTCCCGAAAAAACCAAGACACGTACCTTTCCTACCTTCCGCGGCTGAAAGTGCAGACCATAAGTCGGGAATTGTGAAACTGGTTGTATGTTGGGTCATATTCGGAGGAACAGAAGAACTAATTTCCGAAATACCACCCATCATGGAGTGAGACTTGTTGGGTGCGGCACCTGGAGCACTAGTCGACTGTTGTTCTTCCGTGCCCTCCTCGGACTCTTGAGAAACAGCGTTCTGAACAATCTCCCATAGCTCCGAGACTCGATCACGAACAATTGGAGAAGGCCGAGGAGGAGCGAGGGCCAAAAGTAAAGACGCTTCATCGTGAGGCCGCTGAGAACTTTGAGCACGGAACATTGAGGCGACTTTCAGAAGTTGGCGGTTCTCTGCGATAAATCTGAGCATATATCAGCATTTCATCGGTAACATCACTCTCAATCGACTTACTCAGTCCCTTCGTCAAGCTCTCTTGCAACTTTGTCTCTCCATGCATGCAATGCAATGAAAACGTTCTTTGCAATCCTTCCCAAGTATGTGGACGATTTCCTTAGCAATGTGGCCCATCCCACCTCACCCATGCCTGTCTCAAGATCATAAGACTCACGCAGGTAGAGCCGGAGCGATGTCTGCGAAGACTCAAGCAGCACTTGGGCAAGGGCTTCATTGGGATCTGAAGACTTCTGTTGCCGAGACTCACGGAGGAGTAAGTTACGGAGCGAATCATAAATATACAATAGGAAATGGGTATCCGAGCGGGCATAGAATAGCATCTCGCTTGGGAGTGGTCTTGAACGGTACCACAGTTTGCATCAGCCCATCAATGCGTAACATGAATGCCATAGGATTTCAGCGTACCTTATACGCCAATCAGCAAGCTGATACCTCTTGTCAGCGTCGAATTCGCAAAAATGTCGCAGCAAGGATCCGAGATCGTTTCTAGGGAATCCTGTAGATTCGTACCAAAAAGCGTGAGTCTAGAGAGCCAATACACCATGTGGTAGCCCACCTCCTAACCGGACTGAGGCATGGTAGGTGTCAAACATATTCACGATGTAAAGCCCCAAGTCCCGTTGTAGCCAGAGGATGTCGTTGTAGGCGCCATGAAGTACCTGATGGTATTTCAAAGCATTATTATTGGCACCTCTACACGAATTCTTCTGAGAAATTACCTTAGTGATCTTGGGGTCCGCAAATACTTCTCCCAGCACAGACAACTCCACTCTCAAGGCCAGTGTATCGATAACCCAATCTTGCTCCCTGGTACTGATTTGCATTAGACATACGAGTCCATAGTAACTCCTGAGGTCATTGTGTTCCAAATCGATGGCAATCTCTTGGACTGTTTTTAAAGCAGCGAGGATATCATCCAACTCCGCGACAGTGGATACGAATTTGAACGGGGTGTTTTCAAAGGGAGATTGTGTAGGTTTCACGGGAGATTCAGGGGGGTTGTAAATGTGATCCGGATATTGCAGATGGGTTATTTCGTAATGATAAGGATGGAGAGCTGCGCTATAAAGTCACAGTGAGATGAAATCGCATATGTAAAACTGGAGCTATGTGAGTCGTACATGCGCAAATCCTCTTGAGTATCCAAGGATTCAGAATTTGGTTCGGGAATGTAGTCGAGTGGAACAGAGGCGTGATATTTTATCTCAATTTTGGGCTTCCAAGGGCCATAATCATTGGCAGTATTGACAGGTGTATTGAAGTGAAGCTGAGGCTTTGGTATATCTGCGGCGTGAATAAGCGAATGGTGTAATGGCCCCTTATCCAGATATGCTTTTGGTTTTGGAACTCTTCCCCGTGTTTGCTCCTGCATGAAGTATACCTGCGACTTAACGTGTAACAAAATCGGAATAACAATTACTTACATTGGATTTTCGTGTAGGAGCATTTATGGGAATAGCGGCGGGTTTGTTGCTCCCTGTGAAGTCGTCGATATTGCTGTCCTGTGTGGATGGGGTGAAAACGGCGAAGGAGCCATTGAACGAGAAAGGGATTCACAGCAATTTCATACAGATGATCTACAACGTCGAGAACACTTGTGTCATATCTTTGCGTCAAATCCTCTTCCTCCTTTATCCGAGCTCTGCCTTTTCCTCTAATGTGGGTGTCAGAGGAAAATCTCAAGAGCTTGTCCGTCAGAGACATGATGCGGGCAGAGACAATGTCTAAATCCGAGGAGAATTGCTTATTTGCTGCACGCTGATAACCTATGTCGAACGGGAGTATAAACGCTTGCTTAGTTGCCTTCAACGCGACCTGCTGTACACGCGTCTGGTATTCGTCGAAAGTAGACTGATTTGATGGATGTGGGGCTGACGACTCCCCGCCATCATCACTACTGCCAGAACGTGAACTCATCGGCGAATCGAGAAAGGGCCACGGTTTTGTCGACGGCGCCAGGTTTCGAGTAAGTCCCGTGGCCCGGAGAATTCCGCGCATGCCACTGAAACGTAAAGGCCAAATTCTGGGTACAAAGCACATCCCTCATCGGCCTCGGTCTTGTTGTGGTGTCCTACCTAACTGTAACGCCAAGGAGGGAAGTCTCTCCAGCGCTTTTGATCGCTATGGATCCTGCGAAGCGTCGTTCGCGTACGGTGGAAACGCGGAGCCAAACAGATTCTGTTTATGCACCGACACGGGCACACTCAACGTATGAACCATTAAGCCCGGAAGACGATCCATTCTCGCCACCCATTTACTCTCCAGGCGATGCTCCCTCCCGCACCCCAGGCCAATCCTCTGGTGGCAAACAAGACACATATCCGCCCTCGATGGCTAGGATCTCATCTTATGACCCGCCCCCTGGAAACCCCCGCACAGAGCCCGTGAAAATGGGTGATGAGGAAACTGGTGCAGGTACTGGATGGGATGTGTATGCTGACTTCAATAATAGCGGCCCAAGGTACTTGGGTGCTGGGAATCTCAGTACCGCGATCATGGCTTCCACGCGTGAAGGGTGGGCTCTCTCCTAGTGTACTGCCGTGACATCTATCTCCCTTCTAACTCACTTATATGCTCCTAGGTACCGAGCCCTCACGCCAGATAGTACAAAACGTCGTTATGATGAAATGGCCTCGACGACGTCTGATGGACCTGTTGAAATGGTCACGGTCCCAGCCTTCGGCCCTGAATGGAGAAAAGATGAGCTTTGGGCGATGAGCACACGGGGGCGAGCGGAGGAGCGGTCATACCGACGGGGATTGGCGTGGAAAGAATGGACGAGTGATCGCAGGGGACTCTTCGGGAAGAAATGGCTGACGAGGAAAGTGATTGTGTGGTTCACTTTCGGTTTGGTCATACTGTAAGTGCACGTTCTCGTTTCATTATAATACGACACCTGAGCGGGATATCTTTTAGGATTGCTGTATCACTGGCGCTCTTCCTCCCACGAGTGCCCTCCTTCGGCTCAAATCCCAATTCGCCCTTGACTACGCAACAAGGCTCCAATGTCCCCGTCCCCAGTTTCACCAATGGGCCAGTAGCTAATTTCACGTTCCCGGCTGCTCTCGACCTTGAGATGGACACCGGTGGAAATATCATTCCTATCCACATCAACAATATTCACGCTGAGATTTATCTGATTGACACAAACAAGCTAATTGCTACCGGAGACACGGGTGGATTCACGCGATCTCCTGGGAAAACTAAGCAGTTAAACATCGATGTTAGGTTCAATTACGCTGCGGACAATACTTCTGATCAGACATGTAAGAGTCATCCTACCGCTTCGATGCGTTATGTGATGAATGCCGTACTTATGCATTATACAATGACGCAGGGGCCTTGGTTCATAACGCCTGCAAGAGCTCAACATTCTACCCTTCAGGGAACAGACCAGGGCTTAACCTCTTCATCCTCCTGACATTGCACATCCGAGGATTGATCAACCCCCCGCGAACTTCCACCTCTATCTCAAATGTTAACTGCCCAATAGAACTTCCCACCTCGAGTGCGTAGTTGCCGCATGCAGGTCCTATTGCGTCCGCTCTGCCTTGTTTATGCACTGTCATCACCCTTTGGGCACATTTCATCCCTTCTATTTTCCTTGACTCAAACATGGACTCTTCCTGCATTCCCATCTTGGTGGACACAGAACCCCCACTGTACGATCAGATTATTCATACATATAATCTATAAACATAAGCACGGAACTGGTTGTATTTGTGTTCGCAAACGGTGGTACTGGAAATGGCTGCTGCGCCGCCCTGACCTTGCTTGCGGCCAGGTTTTGTATCTGCATGTTGAAGAATATAGCCAGATACAGCATATGCGTATTTTTGACGGACCGGGAGTGCATGAGGCATTTGTAGCACTTCCACAACCTTTACACCAACAGTTTTTGTGATCCCATTTTGACCGAGCTGAGATATTAAAACTCAACGGCCTAGAAGGCCTTCTTTAGGATGTAATTTACATAACTTAGGGCCTAGAAATGGTCAAACGGTGCTGTGTCGCGGGAGGGAGGATATTTTGTATCCGGAGAGTAATTATTTGTGCACGTTGCCTATCTCAGACACACAGGTGATCCAACGTCCTTACCCATTATTTCTTCAAGCCTTTCATATCTCAAGTGACCTCCAAGGGTTTCCTCCTGTGATCCTGGGGCACTGTCTGTTGCACTCCCTTCCGACTTATTAGGATGCAACCAACCCCAACCCGCACTGAGACGCCTCACCCTATCCATCTTGCCCATCATGAGGGCTTGGCACATTTGAGTAGTCCAATGACGGAATTCTTGGAAGTCCGGTGAAGGGTCTGGGACTGGATATGTCCAAATAAGGCCTGCCTTGATATCCTTCAACCTCTCAGAATCCGAGTCAAACCACTTCTGAAGTGGAGGATTCGACATCAGTTTCCCTCCTTGGTAGCGTGCAGTATGGGCGATGATGACATAGATGAGGGATTCAAAGTCATGATACGGATGTGGAGGGAAAGGCGTAGATTCGAGGAAGTCCGTTGCCATGTATGGCTTCGTCCCTGTACGATGTCGGGACGAAGGGGCTCTCGAGTCACTGTCATTCTCAATGGAAAGGTCATAGCCATTCAAGACACCACAGACCTTCCCATCTGTTTCTCGATACATAATGTTATCGAGACTTATGTTACGATGGAGAACCCTTGGAATGTTGCACACCCAATGATGACCTGAGAGAAGAGATGGTTTAGTTTGATGAGAAAGAACGAGCCCATGACGGCTTACATTCCAGGATATTCCGGTATACGCTTGCCACCACAGATGACATCGTGAATTGGTGGATGGGGTGGAGCCCTTCTTGCACGAGCACTCTCAGGACACGCCTTTCATAGTCCTGTCCGAGAACAGATGAGAGGGTCTCTTGGACAGGTCCTCGAATATCCTGCGCATGCAAGATCCGTGGCAGGTGGTTCCAAACCCACGTATCATCCTTCTCCAGTAGAGTCGACAATGAGCTTCTCGGATGCTGCCGATGCAAGAGGGTAGCTGAATTTGACGACGAGGCGGGACCTGGAAGCGAATACGGGAGGTCGCAAGAGACTTGGATGAGGGGTTGAAACGTGGGACTGTTGTGAGCTAGATGATGGTGCCAGCATCCTCAGGTAGGGCGTTGTTGGCACCAGTCATTGGCACCAGAGAAATTAAGACGACTTTCAGACTCGACTCGGCACTTACCGGCCTTCTTCGACACTCTCGGAACGAGGGACACCTCGGCTTCGATTCGCAAAAAAAAACGTTCTGCCCAATGAACCCTTACGCGACATATTGTCTACACTGACCCCCCTCCCCCCCTAAGAGCACCTGAGTGAACGCGGACAGGATCGTTTCAGCAAAAGCAAACATCGCATTGTCTTTTTCGATGAAGAAGTTCACCAGGTGGTGAATGGAGGATAACGACCCCATTCACGCATCGAACTTGTACTTGCCCAGAAGGGCGAGGGATTTTAATTTTTTGGATTACTCTACTTTCAGACACCTCGCCTTCCCTTCCCTTCCTCCAAGGACTCCCATAAACTGATTGACAGACAACTTTTTCTGATATTCCAGGTCCTTCTTCCGAAACAGCTGATACTTCATGATACAGGCCCAGTCAAAAGAAGTGTTGTTCGAGGTCCCTTGCCTGCAATCTAAAGCCCATCGTCATATGCAAACAATTCTTCGGTAGCACATACCAAGGGAGAGCATTGCTGTATAAATTCATCTCCCGGCCGGAAACTCGAGGGCCACGATGACGAGATACCGCCCTCTGCACTATATATCCAACCTCCGTTTTCATTCACCTTTTCTGTTTGGCTCTACCAAGATGGAGTTGCTGCATGGTTGGATAAAAATTGTCCATAATAGCAATGGCTGCGTGTGGCAGTCTAATATAGTGATCTTGATATAGATGAAGTTTATTACACTTTTGCCCCATCCTGTCTATTGGGTGTGGCGTCGTCCAAATAGAGACCCATATTATCGGGTATAGCTAATCTCTTGTCCACATCAGACACCATGCGACCACCAAAGAGAACAGGCCCTGTCTCTCTTCTGAAGTTCGCGATGCGAGCTTCCACTTCTGGTCCTATAAAAAAGGAAGAATCGGCCAGTTGGTACAACACCAGAAGGAAAAAAAAGAAACGCGACGTACGGAAGTTCTTCATCAAACCTTGAATAGGCCATGCGGCAGCATCACCCAAAGCGCAAATTGTTCTCCCTTCGATTTGTTTGCTAATGACACACCATGCTATGAGTGATTCTGCACCTCCCCATCAAGGGGGAAACTCACGTCAGTTCCAAAAGCATATCAATCTCGCGCTGGTGACCCCTTCCTTCAACAAAGCGGCGCATCATGTTCATCATCCACGTTGTGCCTTCTCGGCAGGGTGTGCATTGGCCACACGATTCGTGCTTGTAAAACTGAAAAGAGAGAGAGATGAGGATAAGTATATGAGAGAAGGGACATTTTGGAAGGTGCTTACGTCAGAAAAGCGAGCAATGGCGGCAACCACGTCCGTTGACTTGTCCATAACAATGACGGCACCTGTGCCAAGACCCGAGCCGGCATCCTTCAACGAGTCAAAGTCCATTCTAGCGTATTTTTCTGAACAAAACGATGGATTCCGAAGATGGAAATGAACTTACAAAACCTCGCCCGATTGCTTTTGGTTCAGGATCGGAACGGAGCTGCCACCGGGCACTATTCCTAACAAGTTATCCCAACCACCGCGAACGCCACCGCAATGCTTCTCCAGAAGCTCCTTTAGCGGGATGCTCATTTCCTCCTCGATAACACATGGGTTGTTGACATGCCCAGATACACAGAAAAGCTTGGTGCCCTGGTTCCGCTCCCTGCCGAAAGAAGCAAACCATTCTCCACCTCGTCTACAGATGGTAGGAGCTACCGCAACAGTCTCAACATTGGCCACAGTGGTCGGACACCCGAAGAGACCGACGTCAGCTGGAAACGGTGGCTTCAGACGAGGTTTCCCCTGCTTCCCTTCCAGGCTTTCGATAAGTGCGGTCTCCTCGCCGCAGATGTACGCGCCAGCGCCACGATGAAGGTAAACATCGAACGCCATGCCACTCCCGCAAGCATTTTTGCCGATGAGGCCGGCTTTGTAGGCCTCATCTATGGCTTGTTGGACGTGACTGGCTTCCTGGTAGAACTCCCCACGAATGTAAATGTACGCAGCATTGGCATTCATACCACGCCCAGCAACGAGACACCCCTCGATGAGTTTATGAGGATCGCCTCGCATGATCTCACGGTCTTTGCAAGTACCCGGTTCGCCCTCGTCAGCATTGACGACCAAGTAGCGAGGACGTTTATCCGCCTGCCAATTAGGCTTATTCATGAAGGACCATTTCAGACCGGAGGGAAACCCAGCACCTCCACGCCCACGTAGACCAGACTTCTTTATCGTGTCGATGATCCATGTGTCGCCTTGAGAAGGATGTCTTTGGTGCGGTGCCAATCGCCTCGAGACAACGCGCCTTTAATGCCATGATCATGACGGGAATATAGATTGGTAAATATCCGATCCTGGTCCTTCAAACCACCGTAATGACGAACGGGGGTGTCTTGTACAGTGGCGAATGACCGAGAGAGAGATTTGGCAGCCACCAATGACCTTCGCACTGTAAAACAACTTCAATAATTGACGATAAACATAGAAGAACCAAAGAGGCAAGATAGCACCTACCAGACATTGTCACCGACGAGCTGGCTCTAGTCCTCAACATCCCGAATTAGTCGTCACTTCACTGACGTTTGGAATCTGGGAAAGGATGGGTCTACTAGCTGGAAGCGAAATTTGCTTCCGAGAACCTCACTCGACGATCTCTCACAGGCGCTTGCGGCTCCGAGTGCTCCTCTCCGGAGACGCTCCGCATCCCAGCAAGGGATGGCAATAGAGCTCAAACCACAGGGCTCCCCGGTGAACTTGCCTCCCTTTAGCTTTAACGACATTGACGAAGAAGTAGATTCATCATCTGAATCATCCCCCGGTGATTTGCTCAATGTCATCTCGCTATACCGTACACGCTAACATTCAGAATCCTCGAAAACTTGTGTTCATTTAATTCTGGGCCTGTTGGCTTGTAACAGAAATCCCTATCGTCGACCTTCCTTCGCCTCCGACGACATGGCTCCCCTCCACAGACATGAACACTTATGGGGCCCGACCGCTAATTCCTGAAGTGCCCACCATAAAATGTCCCGACTGTGGGAAACCGATCTTGGGAAGCTCCCTGGCTGAGCACGCTGGTAACTGTGAAAGGATACGCAATGGAGAATGCAGGAAACCCCCACCAAAGCCAAACAAGGATGACGATGGTGAGGGGAATGCATCCCATGTTTCATTCGTAACATTGTTCAAACTAGGCAAAGCCGCAGGTAACGATGTCGCTGCGGGGAACGTTAGTGGGAAGAAACGGAAAGCCGATGAGACGGAGCCTGCGGCGGCACCCGATGCGAAGAAAAAGAAGAAAACGGGAGCTGCATCTAAAAACCCTACAGGCAAGAATGCCAAAGTCCCAAAGATGAAAGGTAGGTCTTTGTCCCACTTTATTCCTGCTGCACGCTGCATCATATAGCTGCTTCCTCTGGCCACAGGGCCCCTTGATCTCGATACTCGATGTGGTGTATATGATGAAAAGAAGGGCGCCGTCTGCCAACGACGCATCACTTGCAAAGTTCATTCTATGCATGCCAAACGACAACTTCCTGGTCGGTCGAAGAACTTTGACGAACTCCTTCTCGAATATCGTCGCATTCACGACCCCAAATTCGTTGAACCTGTCCCGAAAAAGCCGAAGGAAAAGAAGGAGCCGGGTGTGCCAGGTGTTGGTAAGGACGGGCTCACGAAGAAGGAACGGAAGGAGTTACGGGAAAAGGAGCGAATGGAAAAAAGGGAGGCTGACATTCGAGCTGGGCTGATCGATCCCAACGATCCCGCACATGCACTACCTCAGCCGAAGAAGAAGAAGAAAAAGCCGGCCGCTCCTTCCGCACCCGGGGCGACAGGCGGGAAGAAAGGTTCGGGCACCTCTGGGTCTGGCGGAGCAGGAGGTACAGCTGGCGCAGGTAGCGGCGCCAATGGATCTGCGCCAGGCGAGTGGGACTCGATGAACGAAGATGAAATTGCGGAACTTGATTCAGACGTCGAAATTGACAAGCTCGTCAGCGCGGTATCGAGATCGAAACGGACTGGACAGCAAACTTCCGCCCCTCCCGGTTACTCCCTCTTCCCACATTCTGTACTTCCCTCCGGTACCTCGGCAAGCGGGGGCATTTTGGTTGGCCAAAAGGGCGGAAGCGCCGCATCGAACACTGCTGCATCTCAGAACTTGGCAGGTGGGCCAACCCCACTCGCTCGTCCGACGAACACAACGCACTACTTTGTTGCCCGAAACGAAGTTCTTCGATGTTGCGCCGATATCCTTTTGAAAGCGCTCCCTCGACCTGCTAACTCTGCCACCGCCACCGCCGCCACCAGTGTTGGAAATTCAAATGGTCCTGCTGCGGTATCTGCTAGTACCAACAGCAGCGCTATCACTGGTGTCGTTACTGTTACTGCTTCGGCCTCTGCTGCGTAGCTTCTCGTTGCATTTTTGTTTATTTTTTTTCTCGATTTCGTTACCGGGCTGTCAGTATACCCCGTCTTCGACCTGTTCGATGATGTATCATGTTTAAGCGTACGTGTACATTTGTAATCGGACTCGTGTATTTGTTTTGTGAGGTAGACGGCCTCATGCATATTTCGTTCTTTTTTGCTAATCAGTTGATCGATCGTCAATGGACTGCTCAGTTCTCTGTTTATAGTGTCGGTATTGAGCAGGAATGTGGCCCAGGGTGATGTGATGGTTCGTTAGCAATATCTATCAGACAGTATGATCGATCGAACGTGGGCGCCGCATGCACGGGAAGTGATACAATTTCAGACATTTTCGTGACATCAGGTTGAGGTGTGCGGCGAGTCAGAGTGCGCATGCACGCACACTCATGCCAGCACACTCTGATTCCACCATAGCGGACGTGGAGCCAAAGATTCAACGCACTGGTTGCAACATCGACTTTTGTGGTTGACTGGCAGGAACCGGCCCAATCGTGGAGCTGGTGAATTGGTAGTGGATGCTTTGCAGCTCCCATTACTTGTTACGCAGTGCTCCTTCTGAGCGAGTACATGCAGTCAATGGTAGGATGACTCCGTAATAAGTCACTGGTGGGTCCTGTTCTAGTGTTGATGACACAATCTGACCACCCCTCGGATCGTTTGTGGTCGTGATTCTGACTCAAAGGTCCGAAGTACGGAGGCAAGACGGTCATCGGGTTTAATAACGAAGAAAATTGCTTTCTGCCGTCCCTGTCACAATTTACAGGCACCGATTCTATAAGATCTGGATAAGTCGTTCGCGGGGCGGGGACGGGAGTTCCTTTCCGGAGCTTCCCATACCCATGCAGGGTACGTCCGGTTGTTTCATTCAGGCGGACCGGCAAAAGCCGTCGGGGAGGTCGGAATCGGAAGTTGTTGGACCGAGCAAATGAATTGAAATTCAGTTTGCACCATGGGAATTTCGGCATACATATATTTAACCAGATTCGCCTCAGCCGGGTACATCAGACTCTGCGAGACAGCAATCCTCCTTTACTGGACTCCCTTACTGCCTGCCCTCCTATATACCTAACCTCCCGCCCGATCAAAACATAATGTCGTCCATCTATCGAGCATTTTCCATCCTCTCTCGTACCCCTCTCATACCAAGCGAGACCAAATCCGAAAAACAATCCATCGCAGCTGGTACGGTCGGCGTTCAAATGAAGACGTTTAGGACGTACAGCTCGGGGGGCGCAGCGAGGTCGCGCTCTTCCTCTGTCACCAGTCGCTCGGACTCCGACAGCTCCAACTTGCCCAGTTCGCCGACAAGTGCCAACTTTGAGGTCAGCAATCATCATCTTTTGTCTTACATACGATGACACCGAAACCGATTCTCTCTCTCTCTCTCTCTCTTTTATTTCGGCTTATAGGAGATCGTCGACTTGCAACAGGATGTGTATCACGACGCGAGCGGCAAACAAATGCCAAGACACAAACGAACCAGTTCTCAAGTACATTTCCCTTTTCTCCTTCAAGATAAACGTTGTTTGAATTCTAATCGAAACTGTTGCAATCATCCACAGTATTCGTCATGGTGAAGGTGAAGGCGGCAGCAACATTCCGTTGCTTTTACATTACGTTTTGGAAACTTGGCACATGTCACAAGGCGGGTCAACATTGTAATTCCATCCGACTGGTTGATGTCCCCCCCACCCCCCCTTTTCCTGAGCACGATATATAATGGACACAACGAAGCCCTGCGTTCTCGTCATTCCACTTAGTGGTTGAGACGCCGTACTGGATGACGAATTTTTTTATAACTGCTGGCGATGACCTAATCGTATCCTACGCTTCCCCTCCCCTAAACAATCAAGTCACTCGTAATTCCACTCCCCTTTGTGGTTGAGCGACGATTTATTTATTTATTTTTCCCTCTTTTTCATCAACACACTATCGCCAGTCAAGTTCTTGTAATTCCAGCCATACACTACATAGTTTGAATGCTGGTTGAGACCCGGCAATATTATCGGCGTTCATCTTATTTTTTTTTTTCCACATTGATCGTTTCATAATCGACCACACATATACTATATCTTGCTTGTGGTTGGGCTAAACCGTGCGACTAAACCCAGAGGGGGGTCTGAGTTACATAGACACGCCCGGATTTCGGAGCGTTCACTGTTGAAGGGGTCTAAACTGGCTCCCGTTAAAGCCTTGCATTCAGTCCATTCTAACAAGTCAGGCATGTCAAGGCCCTGAGGACCGTGTGTGTGTGTGGGGGGGGGGGATATCTGAACTCTACCCTTGAACAATACTGTGAGAGCAAAGATTAGCATGGAACTTACGGTTCCACACATGCTGAAGCAAAATGGAGTGGCAGAGTGCAGGCGAACCAGAAGATCTCGGACAAGGAGTCGACGTACCTTGATGAAAGACGTCGCTAATGCCTTGGCAGATGCGCTGGCTACAGCCATTTATGCATCAATCCAATGTTACAGTTTAGGTGTAAACCCCAACTGGACATAACAGACATGCATGTCGCTTATCTCACTTTCACCAGATCAGACTATCATCACAACCCTCAGCAAAGTGTTATATTATTATCGTAATCAGTGGTAATTATAGATTATGATTATCAAAACAATCGTCAGAGGAAACACAGCGGAAGAAATGCTCGACAACAGAACGACCTTTGTACAGGTTGTTAAGTGACATTCGTTCATCTTTCAGATGTGCTCGGTCCTGATCAACATGTTAGGGAGACAGATCTGACTGCGCAGAGCTCGATGGAACTTACAGAGCTTTGACCCATAGGGAGATGAAGAGCGTGACATTTGAATTCTTTTTCAAGATAGGGGACAGATGGAATAGACTAGTGATGAGAATATAAGAGCCTGACTGGGTTCATTGAGGTGGGTTGTGAGAACTCACTCCACCTTCTCGTATCCGCAGGGGGCGGACGCCCCATTCATCTTGGACAGCTTTCTCCAAGGCTCGGAACCATCTATCATCCAACCTCCCGAGCCACCAGTCTGCAGTCCGCTCGATCTCAATCTGCGCACAGGTAGTTAGCAATAAACAAAGTTCAGAACGTGCGCTTACCTTGATAGAATTTGGCGAGCGCAGCCTCTCAAAGTTTGATCGGAGGTAGAGCTCAAGCCCAGCAATGATATCCGCAAGACTCTGATCTGGAACGATACGAAGGGAGACTTGCGCCCTCACACTAGACGGAATGACAGTGGAGTCTGCAAGAAAGGGGGTGAGGTCCAAATGTTAGAAAGTGACAAGGTAAACGAACGACTGGACCCAGAGGTTGTGACACTGTGGATGGTCAGAGAAGGCTCACGCCATTTGGACGAAATGGAATGTGGTGAACTCCCAGTGAGCTTTGCTAGATGGACGTACGATGCCTCTTCGTCTACCATTGCTGGTCTTACGCAGTCATCTGGTTAGTTAATTATGAGTAACGCACCCTAACGCACATGAACCCAGACGCACAGAAGGAGGGAAGCAATATTGTTCCATTGGCGTCCATGAGCGTCCCCAGAAGCTTCACCCTGAAAAACTGGACGTTAGCTCTGACTCAGTAAGGGCGCTGGAAGACTCACATATCCATCATAGGTTCTGGCCGCGCACCGCCGTCGACCCCAGAATGCCGATCTTCACCTTGGTTGGATATCTAGAGAATGTCCGATGGAGGTCATAAGGCCGCATCCCAAAAGTAAACATACCTCAATGGATGCATGAATAACACCTCGCAAGCCGTAAGTTATGCAAGGTGTTTCATCGTCAATCCAGTAGGAATTGCTGGGAAGATCTCAGCAACATAACAATCTCGAGAAACGATGGCGCGCACCTAACGAGAATGGCGTCAATCGGTCCGATGACATCCTGAAAGGGCGTGCTGAGTAATGTGCATCATCTCACAACGTTCAAGTCTAGCGTGCCTTATAGCCTCCCACACTTTCTGCGAAGCCCCCGCTCCCCGCTTCTTCCTCACCTTCAACAAGAAAAACAACATCCATGTCAAGCTCGCCGTTGCTCTGCAGCCCTGCCACCGCCCATGCTGAAGCTAGCAGAGGGCCCTTATTATCAGATGCCCCCCGTCCGTACAGATATCCATTTAGACCTGTAAGCTCGAAGGGCGGATTTAACCAGGAGGATTGCGAAGAAGCAGCGACGACATCGTAATGACTGCATGATACCAAGAATAGATGTTTCAAAATTTACAAAATTGAACGCTCGATGCAGCTTACCCATAAACTAAAACTCGATATCTTTTATTCACATTTGGTGCCGTTTTTGTTCCATTAGCACTGAACGTCCCCAGCACTAGCGGATTCCTCCCTGGGACCGCAGACGGTACCTATGATATTATTTTGACGTCACGAGAGCCAATAACCCAGCAACCCAGCTGTAGTTGCTTACCAGAACAGCATCGGCTCCCAACTCCGCGAATGTTTTCTGCAACCATCTTGCCGCTTGACGGCAAAATTCACGGTGAGGCTCGCTGTTTGTTACACTTGGTATGGCCACAAAATCCGTCAGTGAAAAAACGAGGGATTCTAGTGGTCCCCAAGGCATAGTTAGACACCATCACGCTTAGTAGACATTGAGGTTTCACCGTTGCTCAGTTTCGAGCTTCCAGGCTGTGTAATGGAACCCAACGAAGTGGGATATGAATCCGTAGGTGGTAATGGAAAGTGTCTAGCTTGCACCTGCGGCCGGACAACGTGTGCCTTGCTTGCTTGGCGCGGACCACTTATCGTCCATAACTATTTGTCGAAATCCATTACTCACATTGCTCTACTCAATACAACACCAGCCACACACCTTTATATGGTTATCGCTTGCGCCCGTTATCAAGCTATACTGCTGACCAGTTTGTGGAGGGCTCTCCGGGTCTGAGCTATCGGTCTGTGATATCCGTGCAACGATGGACGACAGGACTATTCCATCGTGAGCCTTCCAGATCGCAGAGCAGGCAAATGAACGAGACCACCGCTTCAACAAGCCAGTTCAATCGCGATCAGCTTTGGCGAAGTTCACAAACTGACCTTGATTTCCCATTAGACAAGCAAGTGTAGAGATCGTCATCAAGCATTGACAACGATAGGACGTCGATGCTCTACACGATAGTGTAAAATTCATGCCATTCAGAGACCATATTTGCGTACCTCTGCAGCAACTGGGATCGACCTCACGAGGGACTTCATTTCAAAGTCCCAAATATGGACAAGACCATCTTGACAGCCAGCGAATAGACAACCGTTACGAATCAGGATAGATAAGACGGCACCACCACTACCGCCGCAAGGAGTGGTAAATGTATGCTGAAGTTTAGGCGGGCCGAGCGACGTAACTTGGCCGCCGCAGTTTGAAGTCCTCGTCATGCTCCACACCTGGTAATCAGGATTATATCCCCAAGCCGTGACTCGGGAAGTCTACTTCACGTACCTTAACATCGGCATTACCACTACCAGTGACTAGGCATTGAGAAATCGAATGGGAGTCAATCTCGCTTTCGCTTCCTCCATTCCTAGATGAAGATGAACATCCCCCTAGGCGGGAAGGGCGGGGCGTCGAGAATCCTGAGGAACAAGGGACGAGGGCCATGCAGTAAACATAGCTTTATTACCAAACACATCAAATTCAGGGAATTGTGCCCAGCGAAACCTGCCCATACCCGAAATGTGCGGATTCAATGACGTTTTGTGGCGGAACCTGAAGGGCTTTCGGAAAAGAGGTAGCAGCTAACCGGCTAGACTGCTGTACGCGAATGCTTTGGACACCTGATAGTGATGATGCGGACGAATTTGAACGACGAACGCTGGATCTAGTTACATCACTACTCGATTGAGAGGCAATGGGACTAAAATTCTCCGCAGATGAAGGCAGTTGTGAGATAGCCGAACTAGGGGTACGAACTGATCCCAGAGCGGAGTTGCTTGCTCCCCTTGGTTGACTGTCAAAAAATTTGTGCAATTTGCGCAATCCGGAGGGAGAAGCAACAGAAATTCCTAGACCCATAGGAATAACCTCTGGAGTAACAGCCCCACTTCCGTCCCCTACCATGCTCAGATCCGATGCGTCCATGTCCTCTAAGGCGAGGCAGTCGTTCGGCCGTGAAAGGTCCAGCCATTGAAGCGAAGTATTCTGACATCCGAAAAAGAGTGTATTCAACCCAGGCGCATCGTCAGAGTCCATCGAGGAATGAGGCGGAGAATAAGCGAGGGAAAAGATATCACCAGCTTCCGTCTCTCCATGAGGGTGAATGGTGTATATCAGAGATAATGCCGAAGTATCCCAAACCTAACGAATTCTGTTGAGTGAGGGAGAAGGAAGGAGTGGGAAAGGAGCGTACACGTATTGTGCTATCGCCTTGAGACGGATTATCACATTACATATCAGGCATGGACAAACGTCCGACATATGCAACGCGACGGTGCTTACTCGAAGAACTGAATAACCAGCCTTTCTCCTCTGAGACTTCCAGCATAAGCACACTCCCCTCATGTCCCTTCAGAGTGGTCTTGATCTGAAATGTCTGTCGATCCCATACCTTGTACGCATCAAGTCGGTGGTTTGGGAAAGGTCCACATCGTTCTCCGTCAGCGCCATACTAGTCGATGGGTCAAAAGACTTACATAGATGTCCTTTCCTTGGCTACCACTGAAAATATGGTGGACATCAGCAGCTAGGCTTAGCACGGAACTCTCTTCCTGGCGGAGTGTATGCGCCAGGATCGGGTTTGGGGTCGTGATGCTGAGTTCTTTGGGGGCCTCTGTAGGGTCAGAAACACCGCTGCCAACAGAATACATCAAGACGTCTGCGCCGCTATCCAGAAGATTTGTGCCTGGAAGTTGTTCGCTCGGCGCCTCGCCGCCAGATTCGCCGCCGGAGATGAAAATCCTACACCCACTGAAGCTTGCCCAGTCTCGGTTAGTGATCGCACAGTGCATGGCAGCAAGGACGGAGAGGGAAGTTCCAGAGTGACACACCTTTTAAATGCCGCGGGACTCTTAAGCGCAATGCCCGCCAAATGGATGGAAAACGCGGAAATGTCGCCTTCTCAATTCCCACGATCGAGTTGACACCACTCACGTGATATATTAAGCATCGTGTCGGAAAACACGGAATTTCGTTTTAACGCGTTAAGAGCTCTCAACGCGTTTCAACGCCTTATTGATCCGTTCCAACGCTTTATTAATTTGTTCCAACACTTTGCTAGTCCGTTCCAACGCTCAATGCAAAAATCAAATTGTAAATACTCAGCCCCGCTGTAAACATCCCTGTTCACAAACGCATGGACGCACTTCCCCTTCACTGCCAACCACGGCTGCAGCAACTGTACACTCACATTTCCATACCCTGTACTTCCAAGCCACATGGGAGTCCCCCATACTCAGGCAAACACACGTTCCATGATCCATTGCCACAAATTACCTTCACTTGCTTCACATCGATGACGTCTACCTACTTGACGGTCAAGCCACTCTCACAGCGAACGACCACTTCAGCAAGTGACAAATCCCCAACAACCCCACCGTTCTCTTCCTGTGTCATTTTAACCAGTGGGGTTCCATATGGGAGGCCGGGCGCTGAGTCGTAACATGTCATTCAGGGACAGCATGGACAACGATTCCGACCACACACAGAGTGCACCCCCCATCAACTGTCAGTGTCCAGCATAGGAATCTTCCTTTATCGCTCCATGTTCCACCACCCTCAATGTCCACCGCACATTCTTATTTAAGCCACTTCGTTCACTGAGTTCTGATTTGTGTTTGCACTCATGTTCTCCTCAATACCACTGCTAAAATGAACAACAATCACGTTCAACTTCGTTCGAATTCTAACTCCACATAGCACCACCATTGAGAGCCACAATGAGTTAGACCTCAATCCCACAGCGGGTGTACACATATTGAGAATACTAAGTAACTTAGCCCATATACACTCAAAAGGCCTATGATTGATACAACTTTATGTCAACATATCAGCGCGGAGCTGAGAGTGCATGGTAGTGTAGCGGTTATGAATGTACTTACTATAATGATCACAGTGTTCCTCGGTTCAATTCCCACCTGTACCAACCATTTAATGATATTTAGTTCTGGTCCTATTCCGCAATGTGAGTCACCAAAATCGAGGATAATGTGTGGGGATGTAATGAAGTGAAGGTATGCTTCAATCCTGGCTTGCAAGGGGTTGTCTCTTTTTGTTGACCCTACCTTGTTGCCGTTGCAACGCGTTGAAACGGAGGCAAAGCGTTACAACGCCTCGAAGCGTTGGAACGATCGAGTTCAGTGTTGAGAGCGTTAGAACGGCACGTGCCGTTGAAAGGCGTTACAACGCCTTGTAACGGGTTACAACGCTTCCGCAGTGTTTTCCGACACGAAACTGGAAGCGAGTATGCCGACAGGAAAAATGAGGAAGGGGAATGGTTCAACCTGTAGGCTATTCGGTTGTCCCCCTTTTCTCCGAATTCGGTGGATTTCTCGTCCCTTTCCTGTGGCCCCAATAAATGAGACGGGCCCCAGTGAGCAGAAAGCGCGCAAGTGGAATCAAAACCCATCCATCAGTGAAGTGGGCCTGGCCAGGCAAGAACAGAAGCGGGAAAAACATATCCATCGTTCCCGTTTTCATGCATACATTGTTAGGCTCTACCGGGAAATATGGTATATCCCATCCCCAGTGCTGACGGCGCAGAGGGACTATGCAAATACTCATCTTGCAGAAATCATCGCAACCAGCTATTGCCTCCGAGAGCATCTCCAGTCTCTGTATGAGTAACTTAAGTCCGGGGAAGAATGTATGTATGATGTATTGGTCGACAAAGACCAATGTGCTGTTGCATTGCATAGTATCCCCTTAGTCACGGGAAGAAGAAGCTTTCAGTGAGGCTCAGGTGTCCCATAACCTGTACAGCATGTCTCCAGTGAACACAGTTCCCTCCTAACATCAAACACAATGAGAATATCAACCCAATTTCCTTGGCCTCAAATAGCCCCGATCGTTGTTCCACCTGGCTATCGACATATTAGGTTGGAACTACTGGATACGACCCACTCCTAGTATGCTTGCTAAAGGATAATACATATATATCCCTGCTTCACGTTTCAGTACTGTTATGGTTCAAATTACGCCCTGCTCTGTGTCCTTGCAGCTTGTGCTATGGTAATCTGGTCAGGCTGCCGCGGTAGAGTGCAGCGGTATCTGGGCATCCCTGCCACAGCAAAAACTCCTCACGTACAAAGTGACCCTTACCAATGGATTCAGAAAAATAGGATTGCGTCAATGACTCATCTAGATTGAATGACAAGGCTCAGGACATTGATGGATGCTTCGCCGAACTGTATGCGTACATGAATCTTCCGTTCAAGTTCATCTCTCCTCGTTTGGATTTTCCCAAGCTCTCGAAAAGACCTGCAGAATTGATGCTTCCCCGACCCAGTACATAATGGATGTTACTCTGCACACAGAGTCACTAACCACTCCCGATATTACGCAATTGGCGACGCTGAAAATTTGTCATCATCTTCCCTTTTGGGTTGTTTCCTTCTCCCTACATGCTTACTTTTACGCCTGTCCCTTCTCTCCCTTTACTTTCCTTCCACCATTTCCGCTCCCACTCGGCTCTTGTCCTTAAAGTCTTGGCTTAATCATATGGTTTTTTCCCTCTTGCACGCAACAATGTCATGCATGCATTAAAAGGTGTCAACATGCTTGGTGATGTTCCTATGTCTGACCACAGGTATTCCATGACATCGTCTGTCCTTGTGCATGGTAGTCCGTGAAGGCATATGCTGGTTCCACTGTGATTTGTTGCCATACCACCTTCTTTTTTGCTTTGCCTTTATATAATTCCAGACTCCGAATGACTGGAAAAATTGGATTGTGTTTGTCAGATGTCTGCATTCCAATTAAACACATATTTTTATAGCCTAAGTATATTCGCGAAATGAACTGAAAAAAATAGAAATAGATTCATGCTGGGACAGGTGAAAGGAAACATGTGCAGAGTCAAGCAAAGCGCGAAGCGCAAGCACTCTAGTCTGATATATTGGCGGAGAACTATTTATTAAAATAGGATCTATTACGCGCAAACTATAACATGAAAGTACAATGAGTTATACGCAAACTTAGAAAGAACGGAATGGTATCACCTCAGTCTCGATACGGAGAACTGAGGGAGGGGAAAAATTACGGCGTCCAACGTAACTTATACAACTGGCGCCAATATCGCTTGAAGTGATCGCCAGTGACAACTGGCGATGTAAGACAAAAGAAAGATTGAGAGCGCGTGGTACCGCGACTCTGAAACAAAAAAGGTATAATCGTTGTCAGTCACGATGATATTAAATAAAAAGAAATCTCATCACTCCCCAATCCTCGCTGCAGCTCGGCTGTTGTCGATGAGCGTTGATATTCCAACACTATTCATGGGGCATGAATGTGCACCTACGAAAATTATAGCATTGTTGAATTCAGAGCTTGCTTTCGTGGACAAAGAATCGTTGCGCTCAACACCAATGGAAAAGAGCGACTTTCAACGAGTTTCCCAAATCTAAGAAACGACGGCGGGAAAAAGTTGCCACGGCAGTTTTGCCACCCGTGGGAGCGGCGCACCATTTTTGAGATCTTACTTCCCCCTGGCCAGTGGCAATATTCTTTCGAGCAATTGGCACCACGATGCCCGCTGGTTCGCCTGCGGACGACTCTGGTGACCAGAGAGGCTCTACGTCCAATCCCAATCCCCTGTCTGAGGGATCGCAAGCACCAGCCCATGAGGGGGTTCAAGCGCTTTGGCTAAACAAACTGGACCCCTCCAAGACACTCGAAAATTCGGGAAGCGTAGGTCAGTAGACGGTACCCAAGACGCATCTATGTCCCAAGGCTAAAAGAATGAGCTTATCTTAGCGCGCGATCACTTGGCAAATGAGAGAACTTGGTTAGCGTATCTTCGAACAAGCTTAGCCCTGGCTTCTGCAGGGGTTGGTAAGATTGTCAAATACATCGTTCTCGCGACTATTACAGTGACCGATGGCCTGCAGCTCTGGTGCAACTTTTTACGATATCAGCCAAAACATCCAATGACAACAATTCACAAGACGGGTCACACCTACAACGTTTCGCGAGACCTCTTGGCGCAGCCACTGTGTGTATTGGAATCATTGTCTTAGGCATCGGTGAGCCTCGTGCATCACTTGCGGCTCACGAACTCTTCACTCACTCTTTCTCTTTCCATCAAGGCGCACAACGATACTTTAGAGTCCAGCATGCCCTCACCAAGGGACGGTTTCCTCCTGCGCGAATCTCAATGGGTATAATAAGCTCCCTGCTCGTTACAACTGTTGCAGTAACGTTCGGCGTGCTTCTGGGCGTGCGCCGATGAAATTCTTTTACTTTAGGATATCTGTACTTTATTTACGTTCTGTCGATGAACTCGATGGTGGATCGGCCTGCATGAGTTCTTATCCCACCACCGACTTGCCCCATGTGTACTATCACCTGCATACCTAATTTCAGCTGGTTGTCCGCCACAAGCCTGAATAAATGAACTAAATGGCAAGCTGTGTAGTACACAGAGCATCTCGCCTCATACATGCTCGATGCTTTCAAGCCAGCCAGGATACTGTAGGGCCGAAGATACACCCAATTCGGAAGAGTGCCTCTTCCTACAGGCGGATTCTTCCCACGATAGTTTTGGTTTCCTTTCGATTCTCAGTTCGTACTCGGGGTTCGTTCAGTACGACTCAATATCATTTCGTATTGACTGACATTGTGATCCTGGCCAGTAATAATAGCGTTTGTTCCCAACTGACCTGTGCTGTCATCACTGACTCCCGAACGGTTCTGGCCCCGTTAGTCCAATCACTCCGAAACCAACAACGGCCCTAGACCAATGCCCCAGATTTTGCATCAGCCATAATCAATTACCTTCGCCACCCCCCGGCCCATCCCATTTGCATACCTGCTACAGCCCACGTCTTCGCTTTCGACTCCGGCTTCCACACAACCATGATTCTGCCCATCTAGGGCCCAGTATTGTGGCAATCTCAAAGGAAAATCAAGTGGGACTTGAATGCAACAGAGAAGTGCAAGCCGCCATCGGGTGCAAGAGCTTCCGCATACAACAGTTAAGCCACCATTAGTTCGGCGTTTTCACAATGTTCGCCCCTTTTCTCGACACCGGATCTGGAGACACTTGGACCATTGGACCATTGGACCACCTCGTGCCAGAAGACCAAGGTTATGAATGAATGAACTGGACGGGCAGGTGGGTTGAAACCAAGTTTGTTTTTATTCGCCTGCCCCTGGCAATTTTTTGGACAGCCTGCGATTCATAGGCCCATCCCTGAGTCGATACGGGTTCCCGTGCAACGGAGTCCAAGATAGATGGGCCGTGGATCCTAACCTTCCATTGATTTATGCGTTGTCAGCCATGTCGCTGGTTGGTATCCCCTGGGGGTGACGTGGTCATTCTATTCCAGTAGAAGCTGACCATCTGCCTTCGTGGCCATCCCGATTCTCGCAGCCATCGATACTCCCCCTCCCCTCAAGTCTGCCGCCAGTAGCGCACTCTTTACTACCTTTGGGGGTCAGCGCGTGCAGAAGTTCAAGAATAATGATGGGAAGCTAAACGAGCAAGCAGCACTACTCGTTCTGTGTGACTCCCGGCTATCGTACGACATGGACGCTTCAAACTAGGGTGTTGCGGGGCATTCAAATCAAAGACCGGACGGCTACATGGAAAGCGGGGAAGACGGCTTGTATGGACCCTAGCAACTCGCAACCCTACCTGGCCACCTTCACATTCGGGAAGACCCAACCTCACACAGCGTCCCCGTTTACAACGCAATTGATGGCGGAGTTACTCCTGAAGCTGCTATCTTCCGATCGTCCCACTGCAGTCGTGATTGATGCATTTGACGAATGCGACAAGGACGCATTCCCACGTCTTGCCAATATACGGAAAGAAATGCCTGGATTATCGCGCAACATCAATTTCCTTGTCACCTCACAGCAATGTGATCTCGTCGATTGTTTTATCTTACCTGAACTATCTATTGTCAGCCTCGGACGATGCTAACGGGGGAAGGGCTGTGCTATCTACATCTGTGCACAACTACGCGAACCGAAGGATGCGCATCCCAGTTATAGGAACTGGTTGATACTGGTACGAACTGATCGAACCCTTCCGCTGGGAAGATGACGGACACCTTGTGTACGACTCGAGCGTTTTGGAAGGGTGGGGTCCAGGTTTTATCCACCACTACCCAATCGTGGTGGGAGCAATCTTAACCGCACGACAGTCATTATCTGTGGCCCCCTGGGCGGCCATTCTGTTATCACACCTGGAGTCTTCTGTTCAACATACACAAAACATACATTAGCCAAACCTCGTCTCTCAGGGCTTGGGAACCCTTACCCGCCGGTTTGTATCCTGCGTCAGTCCTTCCGTGACTTCCTCATCGATCGAATCGGCTGGCGACTACCATGATTACTCAGTTTTGTAGTGAACGCCAGGAGGGAGAATGCCAGGTTGGCAATGTGCCGTATCGAAATCCTGAAAACATTCTCTGTGGAAGGTCCAAGCTGTGTCAGGCGTCGCTGTCTAAGTAATTCCGTTACGGGCGTCGATATATCGTGTATCACCTGAATCAAGCTCCGGAGCTACTGGACGGGCTCAATATGGCGATTCGCACCTTTCTCGATAACAATTAACTTGCTGGGTGATTGTCTGAGAACGGAAGGGTACGGTACACTACCACATCAGGGCACCTTGAGTGGGCCAAGTCATGCGTCGTCAATACCATTATTTACCCATTCTCATGCTCTTCTTAATATCCGTTCATAGGAAGACATTCACGAGTTGGTCACAATGTGAGAATCTTCTGTTCTTCTCAAGGCACCAGGTGGTATATGAATCAGCAAGGAAATAATTCCGTTGTACGCTGTTGTTGCTTCGTATGTGTGGATGCAGACTACACCCTGGATCCAGCTGAATCTTCAGTCGTCACTCAACAAACTTGGATGGAACTCCTAACCCTGGTGCCAACTATATAGTTGCTCTTCACCCGACATCATACGCCCCGAATCCGGCTCGATCACTTGGGGGTTTCATTCTGCAATCTCAGACAGTATTCTGAGGCAATTTAAATGGTCAAGGAAAGCGTTGGAGCCTGGAGCCAGCTTATCACCAATCATTCCATCCTACAGACCAGATTTGGCTCAGCCGTTCCGGTGCCTTTCTGGGCCGTACCACACGCTTGGGCACTATTGTGAAGGGCTCCCAGTGAGCGTCAAGCTCTGTCGCCAGCTGGACCTCACATCATATACTCCAAATTTAACTCTCATCGCTGAGTGGGTCTTCACTCTCTGCTTCAGTCCCGACGGTATTCTGAAGAGATCACAGTGATGTGTCGAACTTTCCCAGTAAATTTTCCGTCATTCATACACAAGATATTTGACTGGAACGCTCATGAATCACGGCACACGACTTCGCCAACTCAGACAGCACTCTGAGACGCTCCTGGTGCGTGAAGAAGGTTGGCACCAACCCCTCTCCGTTCATCCGGCATCATGCACCTGGGAATTGGGTGGATCACTCGAAGCTGTTCTCCGATCTTGGACGACTCCCGATGCACTCTGCGTGACTTAACGTGTCATACGCCAGTCTCGGGAGGCATCCCGCCGCGCTCTCCCGGTTACAGAAATCGATCACAGAAAGTGTCGAACTCGCCGGCTGGCTGCCCCTCGACCGACATCATACACCTCGGATTTGGCGTTATCGCTCCGTCATCTCGCTGACAATCTCGGACTCTATTCCGAAGCTCTCTTGGTGACTCCGATTAGGCTGCCAGCCGGTTGCTGTTCATCCGATGCCATATACCCACATTCGGCTGAATTGCTTGAGAATCTTGATGAGTCCCTCCACGAAGTCACGACATTTTGAGGCACTCTCGGTGGGTGGGGGGTGTAGGCCCTGTCGCCAACTGGTTGTCGTTCATACACCCTAAGCTTGGTTCGATCACTCAAGAATTTCGCCAAGTCACTTGATCGACTCAGACGGCACTGCCGGTGATAGATGAAAATGTCCAACTCCGATGTTGGCTAGCTGCCATTCTTCCAGCGTCACTTTGACACGATCCCTCCAGAGTCTTGGTGTTATTATGCTACTGATGCCTTCACCACATGCCAACGCGCGTCAGCTTCAGCTCTCATTGATGGAAGATTTGTGAGGACGCCGGCCATTGCTCCTGAATGGCTCAAAGGCACGAAAGGAAATGAAGAGGCAGAAGGCAGCCAATCCCAACCACCAGAGCGCCGACGATTCCTTGTGGCTTTGAGTGGAGCAGTGAGCTCCGGGTTCCCGACAAACGGGCATCAGGGGGGAGGCGATTTACCAGCGCATGCATACACGTGGTGTTGCATGTTCCTTCTTGAGCAATTGTAGTCCTAGTATGTTCTGTTCCAATGTATCAAGGTGCATGAGCCTTCGTCCCTTCCGGTAGCCTGACCCCTCGAGTCCCTTGACCAATCATAGCTAAACACTGAATGAACCTCTCGGGTTCGCATGCAGTCGTTACTAACAGTTGCGGAAACAAGACTCAAGCCGTGGGAAATTGGGCCTTGAGAACGGCCTCTGTCTGCTTCGTATTTTCGAAATTGTTCCATCTGGGATATATGCTCTTTAAATATTGGTTTTTTTTTAACATACATACATGGATACCATCACGGAGATTGGTTAAGAATTGGATGGGCAACGACAACTTTTCTCTTAGTCTATGTTCGATGATTTCATGTTGCCCATATGCAACTGCACTGCGCTCGATCTATCATTCAGTGCTCCACCCTCATGAGAAAACCGAAAGGCATCTTGAGACTACGTTTGGGATGGTAGATCGCCGCACCTCAACAAGACGTGTGTAAACATCCTCCCAAATTAAAATTCTGCTTTGAAATAAAACATATTTCTGGGAAGTTTCAGAAAAATGGGGGGTGGCCAGCGTTTTTGAAAAAAAAAAAAGAGCGACGTGGGAGATGATGGCAGAGATCAGGTACAGTAGAACATATTTTTTGTAACTAAGAATCATTTTGTGTGACTGGTATTTCCGCACAGCATATCCTGCTTGTCCGCCGCTCAACCCGTTTAGTAAACAAGATAAAATTTCCAGAATGTGAATGTCGCTGACGTGGCGGAGTCTAAGGTAGGCTATATACCGCTGTCCGTCGTGCTCAATGACTGCCAAATAGTATAATTCTCCTCGAGGCAGGCACGAGCCCCTTCTGACTCAACTTTATAGGAATAGGATTAAAAAAACGGAGGGCAAAAAATCTAAAACAACCCCAAGAGCAATAACGACATGCAAGTTGGACAGGCAACAACGATGCGCTTCAGCCGACTAGCAAGAAAGCCAAGTATGCTGCATACCACCGACGACCTGCGTGGCATCCAGGGAAAGAGAGATTCATAAGTGAATATCTCCTTCGAACGAAGAGCGTGGAAAGAAAGGTATATCATAGACGAAGAAATAACAAGCCTCGTCAACGTAAGGGACTGAGGCATGAACGGTGATATCCTTAATCAAAGGAAAAGAAAAAGAAAAGAAGAAAGAAACAAAGAAACATGATATTGAAGAAGAATAAATATTTATCAACCTAAACCGGTCAGAGTTTCACAAGGTCGTACGTACGAAGAACAGGTACTCTCCCGTATTAAAACAATGGACGGATAAGAGAAAAAGAAAAATGGTAATGCAAGGAGTGACGTTGGGAAGGCAAGAAAGCAGTGATGATAACAAAAGGGAGAGGGGCGGGGACGGCGGTGAAATTGCAGGGATTGCCAAAAAAAATGCTAATGGGGGGAGTTTGCCAGGAAAAAGGGAGAGCAGCAGCAGCAGCGGGGAGGCGACGATCAATTAGGGTTGAGTGGTTAGAATGAAAACTGGAAAGTGGATTCGTATGCAGGGCGAGAGAAAAGGGGCATGAGGGGGAGATACGCGGAGTAAACAGATGGCGAGCATGATCAATCGTATCAGGTAGCGAACAGCAGGCTTAGGGAATAGGAGAAAGAAACGGGGTCAGGGGGGTTCAACTACCAATTCAAGCTGCTCTCGCGCAGAATGGGCGCCGAGATAGCAGCAGGGGTAATCGGTACCCTCCTCCCCGAACTGGGTTGTCGATGAACATAAACCATATCCTCATCCCTGGAGCCATCATCAAACCCTCTCAGCTCATCCTCTGCATAGAAGAAACTCCTTCTCCTGCCATCTTCCCCACCCACAGGTGCCGCCACGGGCCTCTCGATACCATTCGGGCTGAGTTGCAGCATCGAGGGCGAACTATGCGATCGAGCCGCTGTCGTGGCTCGCGGGCTCGTCCCTCCAGCAGAAACGACATGCAAGTCATCCTCACCCTGAGTAGAGCCATCGAGCTGTATATGTCCATGTTCACGCGATCTACGATACGCTCGAGCGCACCACCAGACGAGAATGAGTAGCGCGAGACCACCAAATGCTGCACACACGCCAATAATGGCATTTCGACGTCCATTCCCACCACCGGAACCCGCACCTCCTGAGCCGTCACGCCCGGGACTTGGCGGGGGTACAGACAACAGGGGGTACGATGGTATGATGAGGTTCGCGAGTTGACCAGGAATACCAATTGACCCTTTGTACCACGGGGAGTTCAACTGTTTGATATATGACTAAATGAAAGTTTAAACAGGAACATAAATGAGCATGACTGAGCCTAAGAATCTTGTCTGAAAAAGGACTCACAGCCAGTGTGGAAACGTCTTCAGTAGGTAGAAACACCAAATACAGTGTCAGCAACTGTGATGGATCACCAGTGAAGCCAGCAGGAGCATAGGCCTCTAGTGCGTAAGTCTTAATTCTGTCAGCTATTGGCCCACGAACAATCATCAGTGGTCTCACGTTACGCCCTTAAACAATACGCACCAGTAATTCCTAGCGCGTTCTGGATGACAGTCGGCATATAGGCAAATATTTGCCCCTGGGTCACAGTATTCTCCCAAACAAATACCCAGTTCAAAGCGTCCTGGAACAACAAACTACAAAGTGTGTACTCCTTCGCCAATGTAGGGTCGGTAGTATCCAGGGTAGGAACGGGGAGGATCATCGTCGGAATGTTGTCCGGGAAAGTAGGTGTGCCCCCAAGCGTCGTGCTTGGTATGCTAATTGTCGTCGGCGCTTGATCCGGGTTTGTGATCGTATGGGAGATGGACGTCTTGGACACCGAAGTGACGAGGAGTGAGGGGTCCGTAACGTAGCTGTACTGAGATGGGATGGTGTACGAGGTTGTACTCGTAGTGAACCCTGTTGTGGTAGATGGTGAAGAATGAGCACTGGAGGTGCTCGTCGAAGGAATGGTGCTGGAGCGGCTCGGTGAAGCAACAGTAGTTGTTATACCGGTAGTCCTCGTAAGACTGGTCTGGCTGGGTGAGGATGAGCTACTGAACGGGGCGCCCGATGATTCACTGGGTGTCGACATTGGAGCACTGGCAGTAGAACTTCTACTAGGCATTGTACTGGCAGGGGTGTCCGAGGTTCTATGGGGTGTCGACGTAGGAGTGTTGGTAGTAGCGGGATCAGTGGAAGGAGTGGTGGTACTGGGATGGGGAAGCAAAACGCTCGTCAAACAAGGGATTGATCCTCCGCACTCGGAACTTGATGTGGATGTTGCATGTGTCGGCGGCAAATCTGAACCAGTGGTTGGAGAGGCAAGCCCACTAGAGGACGTAGTACTGGGATGGGGAAGCCAAACGCTCGTCAGGCAAGGGACTAATCCTCCGCACTCGGAACTTGATGTGGACGTTGCATGTGCAGGCGGCATATCTGAACGAGAGGCAGGTTCACTGGAGGACGTAGTACTGGGATGCGGAAGCAAAACGCTCGTCAAACAAGGTATTGATCCTCCACACCTTGGACTCGTTGTGGACGTCGGACTTGGAGGTGGTAAGTCCGAACTCGTGGTAGCAGGGGCACTTTCACTGGTGGGAGTAGTGGTACTGGGATGCGGAAGCAAAACGCTTGTCAAACAAGGTATTAATCCTCCACACTCGGAACTTGTTGTGGACGTTGCACGCGCAGGCGGCACATCTGAACTAGTGGTTGGAGAGGCAGGCTCACTAGAGGACGTAGTACTGAGATGGGGAAGCAAAACGCTCGTCAAACAAGGGATTAATCCTCCACACTCGGAACTTGTTGTGGACGTTGCACGTGCAGGCGGCACATCTGAACTAGTGGTTGGAGAGGCAGGCTCACTAGAGGACGTAGTATCGGGATGAGGAAGCAAAACGCTCGTCAAACAAGGGATTAATCCTCCACACCCGGAACTCGTTGTGGACGTCGCACTTGCAGGCGGTACATCTGAACTGGTAGTTGGAGAGGCAGGCTCACTAGAGAACGGGGTGGTAGAACTGGGATTGGGAAGCAAAATGCTCGTCAAACAAGGGATTAATCCCCCACACCCGGGACTCGACGTCGCACTTGCAAGTGGCACATCTAAGGTGGTAGTTGGAGAGGCAGGTTCACTAGAGGACGGGGTGGTAGTAGAACCGGGATTGGGAAGCAAAACGCTCGTCAAACAAGGGATTAATCCTCCGCACCCGGAATTCGTTGTGGACGTCAGACTTGGGGGTGGTAAGGCTGGACTCGTGGTGGGGACACTATTACTGAAGGAAGGGGTAGTGGTACTAGGACCGGGGAGCAACAGGCTCGTCAAACAAGGCACTAATCCTCCACACCCGGAACTTGGTGTGGATGTCGTACTTGCCGGCGGCACATCTGAACTGGTGGTTGGAGGGGCAGGCTCACTGGAGGACGTAGTGGTGCTGATACCGGGATTGGGAAGCAAAATGCTCGTCAAACAAGGCACTAATCCTCCACATCCGGAACTCGTTGTACTCGCAGGCGGTGCACCTGAGCTGGTGGGCGGAGAGGCAGGCTCACTAGAGGACGTAGTGGTGGGATGGGGAAGTAAAACGCTTGTCAAACACGGGATCAGCCCTCCACAATCAGAACTTTCCGACGAGGTCGTGCTAGTTGTCGGTGTCGTTGAACTGGTCGTGGTAGTCGGAGTTGTAGAGACGGCCTCATGGGAGGTTGTACTGGTGGTGGTTGTATCACCATGACCAGGGAGCAAAGCACTCGTCAAACAGGATATGAGTCCCCCACATTCAGTGTGTGAGGTCGTGCTAGCGGGCGAACTCGAAGGTGTAGTAGTGGTAGGACTGGGGGTAGATGTAGAAGACTGTCCGTGACCCAACAAAGACGAGGTCAAATCCCCTATTGCGCGCCGGTCAAGGAATGCGTCAGTAAACCGTGGAACAACTTGGATCAAAGCGAATCGGCGGTCAAAATGCGACCGGAAATACAGAGGGACGGCGATGCGACTGAACAGAAGGAACAGGCTACGCACCCACGCCACCGAGCAAATCTCTCTTACGCAGTAAGGCTTCCTTAACAGCATCACCGTTATTCCGTCTGGATCGATCCGCTCGACTAGATGCTTCACGGTGTTGACGGTGCGAACGACGCACGGAAGAGTTGGCCATGTTATCATGTCCAAGCGCAGCAACGAGAAGAGACGCAGAGAGAAGGAAGAAGAACAAATATCTAGTCATTGTTGAGAGCATAGTTTCCGTTGTTACTCTGGACCGATGGGAGGAGTGAATTAATTTTTGCCGATACCAAAATAAAATGACTGCGCAGAGGAATGACCCCAACGGGTCTTGTGCGGCAGTGGGTCAGTTATTTTTTTGCAAACGTTAAAAGGAGGGACAAGTGGGCGTAAAAGAGGACCAGCAGACCCTAAGACGACCTTAAGAACAGTGGCGATGGAGACCTCCAGGCTTTGTCCAGCGTTGCTCCCACAGTCGTTATGACGGGTATGGAAGAAAAACAACTTCTAGGCGAGCAGCCGGAACCTGCGCTTGACTCCCTCTTTCGAGAATGAGAGGAAGACGTTCCAAGCGCTAGTTCGTATAAAGGGAACGTCGAAGAAGAGAACGATTCAGAAACGAATGTAGAGGGACTGTTGAGTTGCAGTTGAAAGGAATGGCGACCAGCTCATCACCCCCGGAACTCTCCGATTGAATCCCATTGAAAGGGTAGACACGTGAATGCATCATTCATCAAATTAATTGGTCACAACGCGCGTACGTTCATCATTTGATGGAGACAGCCTCCAAACATTAATGCTACATATTACCGTTGACATAGCTCCTTCAGATAGATATCATCAACAAGCAGCAGACACATTTGGGGTGATCAGGTTGGTCGAGCTTGCAAGGTACTTGTTAATCTGAATTTTTTCATTGGCACGCAGTGCAGAGAAGCGAGGGAAATGGAATAGGCAACATAATGCGTAATGACAATAATGCATACTATGACAAAGCATTGCAGAGGTAGCAGAGAGGGTAAGCGAATGGAAAGATTGTTGCGATGGAGACACGATAAAGGGAGTATATGACGAGTACGTTGCGCCTGTCGGTTTAGATGAACCCAATCTAAAGATAGGCGATATAGCAGTGAAAAAACTCGAGAAGAGGGTGGGACACACCTTGTTCGCAACCTCCAATGCATCGTAATCTTGTGTCAGGCGAACGTAAGCCTTCTTCTTGCCGTCAGGACTAGCAACCACAACTTTCAAGTCAGCATATGTGGAACACATACGCGCTGCAAACCATCCAACTGACCGAATCAAAGTGTTTACTTTCAGTGGTTGAACACCATACAACTTCTTGATCGCCTTCCCAATCTGCGGCTTTGTCGCCTTCAGATCAACGATAAAGACCAACGTGTTATGGTCCTCAATCTGCTTCATAGCACTCTCAGTGTTAAGAGGGTAACGGAGAGTGCTATACTCCAGCATCTTGGGGAAGGAGGGAATAGCCTTGCGAGGGTACCGAGGCTCACGAGGCAAGCGGAGTGTCTTTGGACGACGGAATCTCGGCGTGGTGTAGATCTTGCGCCACCCATGCGAGTTGACTCCTTTGAGGGCGGCTTTCCTGGTAAGAAGAGCTTTTGTTGTCTCATCGCCCCCACTAGTATCCTTGGGAGCGGCGTCCGCTATGTGGAAGGAATCAGGAAGGGCCATTATTCAAGTGACACAGTAGAAAAACATGATGTTGAATGTCGAGGTAAAAAGTATCCAGGAAAGGTGACGAAAGAATTAGATGATATAACTCGCACATTGAAAGGACCTACGTTTTGAGTCAACCTTCTCCGTAGCCTTTGGTGGCATTTTGAAGTACAGCGAGCCTAAGAATAATGCCAAGTTTGAGCACTCAAATTCCAAATCATGAAAAAGCAGCCACAATGAGTCCAGAATAAACGGAGGGACAACGACAGTCGAGGAACACGAAGTTCTGGCTGATTCGAGTTCAGCGATGCACAATTACATCCAAACTTTCAACCACGCATCCAGCATTTTCCCATCGATTCAAGCCGTTCAAATGGCTCAAACAGCATACCAACATGGGCCCAGACGTATCCAGTGGCATTTCAAGCCCACAAAGACATGATTCTCACCTTGAAAGAAGGGATGAAAGTAGATGGGGGAACCGGCAAATTCGGGCCTACACGTCACATGACCCTCCAATTCAGTTCCATCTCTCGCGCACAGACCCAGGAATCCGTTTGCATGCCCATCAATAGCTCTTTCAATTTCGCAGGCCATAACGTGCAAAAATATTATTACGCCCCTAGATACTAGCTTGGTCGGTGGGCGAGGTTGACCGAGCGATGAGTGATGATAAAACATGCAAAATAAAAGAGGAAAACAGAACAGTTCCTGGAACAACAAATCAAGGTCCCTGTTATAACAAGCGTCCATATATGATTCCATCCTGAGCATAAACCTTCATACGTTTCATACGACAACAAGCGTAGGCCGTGAGATAGTGACAAAAGGTGCTTCTCGCATATTCCTAATCTTCGTGACATCCCATGGGTTATCTTCGGATCTGTAGAATAGGTTAGTGTTCGCCTTGAGCAATGGAGGCGGCCAAGCATTGACGATCCTCACTCTTCTTTTGGCACACCTGATGGGTCCGGAACGATGGTGAAAGGGGCGTCCTTCGCTGTTGATGATCCACTTCGTGATGCAGGGTCGAGAGTATCGGAGTCACTGGAATCGGCGCTTAGCTGATTTGCCAGCCCGGCAGCGAGAATCTCCTCGCTTATCATAACTCACTTTTCGTCTGACGATTTCTCAGCCTTCACCTTACCCAATTTCGCCGCTTCCTCCGCCTTCTTCGCCTTTTTCCGTCCCGGGATTTTCGACCTAATTGAGAAACAAAGCCCAAAAACCGTCACCACAATCGTCACCATCCTCAACGACCCATCACGATAAAAAATAATGCAAGCCAAAACCCTTACCTCCCACAAGTATCCTTAACATGCCTATTCAATGCATCCACTCGTGTAAACTTGGCCTGACACCCCTCGCACGTGTGTCTCGGCCCACCATGAACCATCCGATGTCTCGCCAGGTCTCTCTTCCAAATGAACTTCTTCGGACAACCAGGTGCATCACACAACCACATCCCCTTCTTGTCCTGACAGAACTTCTGCATGTCAACCGTGTCCCTCCCAAAGCGCGCTTGTGTTGTAATATTCGCTTCACGGTGAACTTTGGCGGATGAGCCAGGGGGCATTCGGGATCCAGCAGGTGTGGAACGAGACCCATGAGCGCGTCGGTAATGCCGATCTAGCTGGTCAGGTGTGCTGTACTGACGCTCACAGCCTATCACATCGCACTTCATGGGTGTACTCCTGTGAAAGTGACGGTAAACGGTCCCAATCACAAATTTAAATATTGCGAGGGCCAGAGTGGCGAGAGGCGGGTTGCGGCCAAAGGATGGCAGTAGGGGGTGTGGAACTCACCCAGAGGCGGGCGCTTCTATCCATGGATGAGAGACCGGTACAACGTCCGCCATGCCTCCTCCCTGATGCTATCTTTCAGTGAATGCACTCGTTCTGCCTAGTTGGAGGGTCGAGTTAACGGTCGAAGCTTTCCGTGGATTGATCCAGGTCATGTGATCACTGATTTTTAAGCCAGAGACTCAACCTGTCGATCTTCGGGCGTTGATGCCGTTGCTTCTTGTCCGTCTGACGGTTTACATCTCATAACCTGTAGAGACCTGGTCTGAGAGGCTCCGAGGTCCTTTAAGTTGGTTGATAAGATCGCGCCGCTGTGGACTCGTTACCGTATCGAGGCAACTTTGATCACGATCTCTAACCCATGCCACCAATGAGCCGTACCATATCCATATCGTAAATTCAAAGGGCCATTTAGTACAGATATAGGCATGCTGCAACTCTGGGGAAGCAGTTCACGCTGTTCTCAGGGGTTTGGGTTCGGCGGGATCCAGTACAAATCCATAGGATCCACGTACCCATATTCAATCCTCTGCACAGAGCACCTCAACTACGACCCTCGATGAGTACCCTGTCCAATACACACTTAATGTCTACTGTAATTCTCCCAACTTTTGGCTGAAAAATTGATTCTCACGCCACACCTCAACTACAACGGGCGATCCTCGGAGGCCAATGGTTCGAAATGAGATCCAACGTGGGGATACGGTTACAACAAAAAAGGTGGAAAGAAAACGCAAATAATATGCATGGATCTTCACGCGACGTACTAGACGGACCAGCGAAGATGAGCGGCGTGGAGCCGGAGACCCTGATGTAGTCGAGGACGCTGAGACGCTGGTGGAGGTTTCGTCCATTGTATTCTCAGCTTTTCCCGAGTGTACCAGGTCAGAGCTCTTAACACGACAACTACAGAGAAAACACAAAGCTGGTCTATAACTCTCGAGCCGCATGGGAGTACGGGTATCATTTAAGGAGCATCTACGACCGGTAAATGAGCAAGTTGGAAAACCGAGTTCCAAATTGTCGCCGTTTGCTCTAGCTCTATTTGCCACTCGTAATTGCCACTTCGCTCAAAGTAGTGACGTTACGTTTCTCGTTTTTGCACTACGTTCGCATTGCATAAAGCTTAAATAATCAGTGCCCTTCCTGCCTCCTCATTCGCACCTCCCTGTCCTCCTGCCCTCTGTGTTACGAATAGTGTGAGTTGCGCCCGAACACGATTGGTTATCTGGGGCTGTTCTCCCGCTGACCACGACTCAATGCGTGCGACAACGGAGGCCCTGGGCCCGGAGAACGTGCCAGCGAGAATGGCCAAAATCCAAAAGCCAGAAAGGAAGGTGCTTCCCCACGGGAAAACCACCATGTGTGATGCGCGCGACAAAAAATCAGAATAAGGTCCGCGGCTAATTAACTATAGGGAACATCGAGAAATGATTCTATGCGTGTTATGAAATGTATAGACCTAAATCGAAAATATGCGTGATACTTAATTGTGTCTTTTTGGATAATGGACATGACCCTTTCGCTTTGGACACTACGCTTTGAACTACCGGCAGGACGTAACACGAGGAGCTTTTATTAATCATTTTAATTGTGTAGATATTTTAACCTGATAGCACTCCTCGTTGATTCAAATAACAACATCAGTCCTCTTGTCTCATCCTCTCCCTCTTCCACTCCACACCCCGAAGATGCTGACAATATGAATAGCTTTCCTGCCTCCTCGTCTTCTGCATTGGGCGCTTATATTCTCCACATCGGGTCGACTCATACGGATCTCGCAAGTCACATAAGACGGAAGCTTCATTGGAATCCTCTAGGAAACACGTCACTGGGCATCGCCGAGGCATTTCTGTTAGTAATGTAACCCCGATCAATTCCCCAATCCATTGTAGGGAACCTCTTGAATAAAAGCTAATAATCATTGAGTGCTTCGTAGACGTCCAAACTGAGGGTTTTGAAAGTTAGCCATAGCGTGAAGGGTGTACCCCGTCATCACGGAGCTCCTTAGCTGATGGACACCGCCATGCGCCAGGCTTGAGCCGTCCATGCGCTGGTGTCAATCATGTCTAGATGTGAAGATGGCGCAAATTGGAGTTTGCTGCTGTTTGAGCAGGCCAGCGGGAGAAATGAGTAGTCCTGACGCCTTAGCCACTGCCGAGGGATGGTGTGCTTTAATCTCTACAGATCCGTTTGCGCACACGCCAGTAAGCCGCCACGAATCCAGCCCGCCGCTGAAAGCGGCATCTTTGCGGCCCTAACTTGATGAAAGCATTGACCTGCACAAGCTTATCTCGAATTTAGGTCATTCAGTTTTCCTACTGGTGGATGTGTACAGTGATTCTCAACCCATTCGATGATTTACTTCAGGGCGAATATTATCCTCGGTGATATTGAAGATATGAACTAGTCGCGAATTAGCGCTAGGAATATATACACGTTAGACAATATTCCAAGTGATGAAAGGAAGTCTCACCTCAGTTCCAAAGATGTGAACTGAGGAGAGAGGAAAGAGAAAATCGCGCGAGGTGGCTTTTAAGCCATCCTCGACTGCGTTCATCAACATGGATGCAAAAGTAGAAGCATCGGCAATCCTTCATGGAAATGCCGTGCGCAAGATGTATAGTCCGACGGACTCAATGGAAGGTCCACAGCGTACAAGAAAACAAGGATTCAACAGGTGAGTAGGGGAGCTTGTTGCGTCTGACCAGTGATGTGCATGTGGGATCTCCTGCCAGATTCGCAGGGCCATAACCAGTAGCGGAAGAATTCATTTCTCTAGTTTCTCCGGGAATAAGTAGTGTTCAATTCAGCCCTAGCGGCCTCAAGCGCTGGATTAAATGCTTGCAGATTCCAGCGACCGTGACCTGCAGAAGCAACCGTAGGCCTGGCGCATGAGGCATGATGCAAGCGCGACAAGCTCTTCCCGCTAGAGAGAGGCTCTATATATTGTTACGAAGTCATAGAGGCTGTCATCTGGAATAAAACAATCATCAATTCGGCCAACTCCAGAACTTATACACAGAAGGGAGCAATGGGGGGAAATTTTCCTCTTATTGTGTGATAGATTTCCAGACTTTCTTCAAGTACTGCATACGCGAGTACTCCTGGCACTGCACTCGTTGCCTAGCCCAGTTTAACCACACAACATCTCAGGCATTTTCAATGTCCATTGAGCAAGGCTGCCCCAAGCGGCCATTGTTCATGTTCGTTCCGATATCCCAGAATGGGAAAAGTCCCTCCAGCTCTAGTTTCCTCAGTAATCGACGAACTTGTATCGTGGAGCTAAGATTGCATTGCCCGACTCGTTACAGCCATGGGGCGGCCAAGCGCCTCTAGATCAATATGATGACGAGCCAACCGTTCAAACAATGGCAGGACTCTGCCTCGTGCCGCGTCAGGAAAACCCGACAAGTGCTCTTGAGTGCTCTCAAGCGCTATAGCATCCAGGAGCGCTCCAGAGCAGGGGACCTTGCTCCTGAAGCTGTCGGATTTTTGTGATCAGTGACTGAGTCATGTCGCACCTACGTATTAGTTCAAATCATGATGCATCTACGCACTCCTATAGTAACATCATTTCGTATGCAGATGTTGCATAGTGCAAGGCTTAAGTGCTTTTTGCGGTTCCAGGTGCGGCCGCGAGCGCAGTGTGGGGGCGTGCTCACAACCCAGCACTGGCTCAGCATGAAACTTCTGGCTGGCCTGTTATAGGGATAGCTCGGCGGTTGTGTTCGCAAGGGACTAAAGATAACGCCTCAAAGGAACATTCCAAATGATCAGGGATGTTATTACTATGACGGGGCTGTGCTAAGGACAAAGCGCGCACGGACATGTCAGGGAGGCGGTGTCGGAATAGCTAGGTGTGTATGGCGCTCATGCAACTTGACCTGGAATCGGAGCCATCAAGGTGACCAGTTTGCCGCTTGCCCTTGGGTCTGCTCGCCGTGATCCAGACCCGCGCTCTGGGTGGCCCAGACGCCACTGAGTCACGCATGGGAAGGAAAGAAGGAAACGGGTTACAAGCTATAAATACAAAATCATTGGGCTGAGCGTCCAGAATAGTCCGCCATTGCACTGAATGTAAAGTGCGGGTGGGCTGATAGTCTAGTCCTCCCAAAAAGTCCATGTCATGACGAGCCTCCGTCTCCCGCTTGCAGACCTAAGCTCATCGGCGCGACTTTGAAAACGCGACGCCTCGTAGAAGAGATCTAAATCGTCTGCAAGAAACTTCGCAATCATTTCTAAACATTCAAGAACGAGCTCCGTCCGCCTCCAAGATTTGGTTCCGGGGCAACCCGGCCCACGATAGCTGAGCCGTAGAACTTCATCACAGTGTGTCATTCCCCGCTCACGCTCACCAGCCGCCATCAGGTTAATCCCCAAACTGGCATGGCCATAACCGAGCAGGAAATCGAGGATGGGATGAGATTCGTCTACCATGCCACCCGATAGCACCAACGCCTCCTCGAGAAAGGATATGCTCTCTCCTCGTTTGTCCGGGTCACCTTGACACATCCCGAGGAAAGTCAATGTGGCGGAAATGCAGCCGTCCGGATCTTTCGTGTACAATGATCGCCCCGTCTCGAGTATTTCTTGGCCTAATGTGAGCGCTTTGTCCAATGTTTCTTGCCGGTAGAGGCTCTCCAACGCCGCTAGCATACACTTGACGATTAAGAGTTCCTCGGAGGCGGTAGGTGAGCGGTCGATGGGCCGGACCACGGACACGGCCTCCTCGTACACTGTCGTCGCCTCCTCTCGCCTGTCCAGGACGGTCAAGTATCCAGCGGTGTCGCATAGTGATCGCCCAAGAGCTTCGCGATTCCGGCACGTGTCATGGGCTTTGAATAAAGAGCGAGCGAGATCTAGGGCCTTGACGCTTGCGTCGTGTGCTTGCAGTTCCTGGGACAACTGATGGTTATACCACGCATCGTTGCGGTGACAATCCAAAATCTTGTATGTTTCCTCTGGGTATAGCTTGTGGATACTAATGAAGTGCTCACAGGCCTCGTGGTTGATTGAGATCGCTTGAGAGTATTGTTCAAGCTTTCCAAGTATACGCTGGTAGCAGTACAGCGCACGAGCGAGAGCCAACAAGGATCCAAGGTCGGATTCGTGAAATTGTGACCGGGTGAAAGCTACCCACTCCTCACATAACATCCGGGCTTTCTCGTAACCTCGTACGTCACTGAAAGCTTTCACACTGGATTCAAGCTTTTTCTGGTAGTCCAATCCGTGTTCTTTGGGCGACTGCGCGGCGCGGATGCGGCAATATTCGAGAGAGCCGGGAGGATATGAGACATCGGTGCATGCTTGGAGCAAAAATGCTACCATCGATCCATACTTTGAACGCGTTTCTGTGTGTCCCGATTGAACATCCTGAAGCTTCGCAAGGTCGGCACAAAGCGTGGCAAAAGTCCCCCTGGTCATCGCTTGCGCTTCTGGTGCAGAGATTAGCGTAATGTTCTTAGAATCGGTGATATCTGCAAGTATGGGTAAGTTGAGCTGCTCGGCCCCAGCTCCTTGCAGCACTTCCAGGGACATCTCTTCCGCCAGAATCGCTTTTCGATAATCTCTTAGATGGATGGAGGAGTCAGCCAGAGTCGAGTAGCACAGAGCAAGTTCCACACGGGCCTGCTGCTGGCCAGAGCTCCGCTTGAGCAAACCGTGCGCCACTTGGATGCCTCGTTCAGCAAGCATCACCGCATCACTAGGGCGCCTTGCCGCGCACAAAGCTTCGGAAAGTTGGCGCAGCTCTTGAAGATACTGTGTATCATATACGGCGACACCTTCCTTCTCCATCTGTTCACATAGGTCGAAAGATGCTTGTTCTGTGCGGACACACTCATCCCACTTGGAAAAATGAGAGAAGCACAATGCATGAGCTCTGAGTGCCCTAGCATGCAAACTCTGGTGGTGATACGACTCGGACCGCGCGTCGGCTTCATCCTCTGAGCAAACTCTGGCCCAATCGGCGCAAATCTCACCGAGCCGGACCGCCCTGGAGTCGTGGTAATCTTGGAGACAACGAACAACTTGCATGAGACTAGGAAGGAAATCTGCATGGAGGCGCCTACAATACTCCGATGGTATTGGGGTTTCGAACGACAGTAACTCATCGGAGAGTTCTACTGCCGTAGCCCATCGGCCACTGGCAGCGAGGTAGACAATGCAATCCGATAGGACGAGAGCAAGATTCCATTCTCCGCCTTGGGCCCATTTCCGTCGTCGTGACAGTCTCTCATGCTTGAGGGCGTCCATGGCGACTGCGGAAGCCTTGCGAAGCCACTTTGATCCTCCTGCATATAGGCGCTGGGCAAAAACACGGCTGGCATCAAGATACACATCCTCGTCTCCTGCCCTAAGGAATTTCGTAGGTGTCGCCGAATAAGCCAAAGATTTATACTGAGCACAAGAGAGACGCGACGCTTCGATGCTCAACTCCCATTGCTTTTGACAGGCGGCATCCTCCGAAGCATCACGATAAATTTCGGCAAGTAATGCTCTGGAATTAGGAAGAATGGAGGAAATTGAGGGGAAGCGTGGCTGCTGGCCGAATGCCCCATTCAGCTTGACGATCTCGCTTATCATCCCCGACGTCCCCATCAAACTGTCGTAGGAAACGCCATACATCTTAGCACACCTTGCAACTCTCGACACTTCCATCTTGGCAAGAACAAGGTAGGCCAGAGTTGCTACGTATCCGCTCCGAAGTCTGTATGTGAGCTCCAACGATTTCTCTAAGGTCTCAACGCCAAGCTGAGCTATCTTCAAGGTCTCCTCCATGTCAGAAGGGCCGATATGTGCCTTTCGTCGATAGCTAGCTTTCCGAACATGCGCATTGCCAAGTTGTTGGAGGAAGAAGTATGAATCACGATTCTGCTCATGCAACCAGATTAAATGGTCGATCGATTTGTCTATGTAGCGGATGGCATCATCCCAATGTGATAATTCCGCACACATGCGCGAGTGATCGAGTAGTAGGTCAGGTAAGGAGATGTGAACGCCATTCAAGGCGACAGGGTCCTTGAATTGATCATCGGAGATCAAAGTCATGAGTTTTTTGGATTGTTCGAATGCCTCGTCAAGCATCCCTGAATGCCATTTGTATCGGGATTGCACGTGTAAAGAAAACACAAGTTCCTTAGGACTTGGGGGGGAGTTCGCGTTTTCAAGGTGTGCATAAGTCAGCACCGGGCCTTCATTCGTCACCACACCATACGGTGATGTGACGAAGCCATCCACTTTCAACCCCCCCTCCAGGTGTGCCAAACATAGGGTAAAGAAACCCCGAGATGTGAGACCAAGTCGCCCGCTCTCCTCCCGCCGCACGTTGTCGCAGAGGGTGAGGGCTAAGCGAGCGTGTAAAACGGCTTCAAACGAGCGCGGAAGCTTCGCCGCAGAAAGTGAGGTGGTGATGTGAAGGAGGATCATCTGGCATCGTAAAGACTCTGTACGAAAGGAATGAGTGGCAACATTTTCAAGGTCTCAATGCAACATACCAGAATGTTGCTCGTTCTTGGTCCATTCACTCTCCAACACCCCCGAACCGATCTCGTGCGCCTTACTGTAGATCCCGAGGTGATAAAGAGCATAACATTCGAGCTGGCGAGCCCTTAAGTAGGTGATGGTCCTATTCGTTGAAGGGGTGGCGGATTGGCGAGCTTGCACAGCTTCCGAAGCGGATCGAGCGCATTCAACCGCTAATGCGTAATTCCCCTTCTCAAGGAATTCATTTGTTTCTTTGAGCAGACTTTCGGCCAGGTAATCGTTCCAATCATCGACCTCTGCAGGAGGGTTGGTCCGTCGCCGGGGGAAAAGGCTGGAGAGGAACCGAAAGGACACGCGGTTCTTGCCTTTCGATGATGAGCTAGGACCTGCGGATTGTGTGCCCGCCGAAAGGTCGAAAGTTGACTGAGAACATACGTGAGTTGAATTATCATATTGCCACAGTGGCGTTATCAGCTCACCTGACAAGATGTCAACCAACGTTTTCCTGAGGATTCGAACTCTATAAGGGCATCGCACGCTTGGTAGTCCTTCAGAGAGCGATTCAGATCTTCTTGGGTCCGATTCACCAATCTACCCGCATAACATGTGAGCTCTAAGATACCCTCAGTAACACCAACAATCATACGAACGAAACAATTTCGTCGAGCATTGTAGATGCACTCGTTCCATGGTGGAGGTTCGAATTCGAGACAATCTGGAGTATCTGGCGTGCATGAGTATCAAGCTCTCCGCAAAGGGCGACGCAGGCATCATGGATAGCAGAGAACCCGGGTTGGAGTGTTGCATCTTGAGAATTCTTGAGAATTGTCTGTCTGAGTGTAGCGAGGGAGGACTGGAAATCGAGAAATTTCCCCTTGACTCCAAGTGTCGAAGTCCCCTTATCGGTGGAAGAGATAACTTCGGGCGGAGATGATGATGAATGCTCGTAGGGTGGCGGCGCTTCCTCAGAATATTTCTCGTCCGACATTCTGCAGGGAAAAGTCAATGAGCGGTTGATTGTACGGAGGGTGATTTCGCAGCGTTTGAGCCCTCAGTCGGTCAATTATAGACAATTATAGGGGTAATAGCGGTAATGCCGTCAAAGCAAGCTGATTCCCGTACACGTATATTGTTACGTACGAAGCAGTGATGGCGGGGTTTGACATATGCTTGATAGCAAATTCATCTGCGTTTCACCTGTCAAGGCGTGGACAATATGAAAACTGGGAACTGTTCCGCTGCGGGACTGCAGGAGCCCACTGTGTACGCTGATGCCCTAGATTGGTACACAAGCGCTCACTACTGTCAGTCACCGTCACAAGTCACAGGTCCACAGGTCACATAGATCACATAGCATACACTTCATGCATACAGCTAAAACGCCCACAATTTACGCACATTCGCCACCAACAACAAGGAAACAAGATTTGTCCGAATAAGGATTAGATGAGGATGTTCTAATAACCTCTCAGAAGAAAGAAATGATTCTAAACGCAGCAAGAAGAAAGGAAGGCCACATAGTCACAAAATAAAATACCATCTACTCCCACATTTTTTCCGTTGTCCACTCGTCGCTCCCAGGGTTGAAGCCGCGATCACTGACAGATGACCGCCTCGACCTATTTGAACTCCGATCATCTTCCCTTCGGCCACTTCCGTGTCCGTTCAAATGTGTCGGCGTACGGGAGTGGAGTGGGGGCCCGGACGGTCCGGAAGAGTAACCTACTTGGGCATGAGGCATTTGCGGCGAAGGGTTAGCGGTGTAGAGTGGAACGTCAGGGGCCATCGGATAAGGATAAGGTTGGATGACCGAATGATGGGGATGAACTTGATTCCTGTGAGCGGGGGAGTATTGGTATGTCCCACGACCAGGCGGAGGAGGAAGGTGTAAATATGCCCGAGATGTAGGGTCGTGTGTGGAAGGGTATACATGATGGGTATAATGGGATGCGAGTGGTTGATACGCATCCTCAGATCTATACAAGAGTAAGAGATAGGCAATCGACCTGACCCAAAAGAGGCACTGACCGTGATTCGTATGGGCCTCGTTCGCCGTCCACGTCTTCGCCATCTTGTTCATCCATTCCTGATGCCCTGGTCGAACTAAGTTTGGATCGGCTATGTGTCCCGTCGTAGATATACGCCTCATAATTGCTACTCAGCCGTGGATCTATATCTTGATCAATGGGGCGACGGAAAGGTGCAGGTCGAGCGCTGGACCCATAGAATGCCTCGCTGACTGGGGACGGGTTGGGACGCATATTGGCGACTGGGATGCTGGACTCTGAGCCGCTCCTGCTCCTTTAGATCATAACTGAATAAGCTGTGCTGCAGCGGGGGCAAGCAAATTGCACTCACTCCTCAGAGCCATCAACATCTTCATATCTTTCCTCAGTACGCTCAGCACCATCAGTGCCTGAATCTTCGTGAGCAGTTTTCGTGCATTTCGATGAAGATATAGACGTGGCTTTCCGTTTTGGCTTGGTCGTACTTCCGTTACTCCGTCCGTTCCTAGCCTTTTTAGTCTCGACAACAGGCACATCTGCGTTCAATCCCCGGCCTCTCCCATTATCCCAATCATTTGATCCGGTGGCGCTGATCGTTGATGGGATTCGGACCAAAGACGAAGCTACATTGCGAGCATCCGCAGACACATCCGCCTCTCTCGCTCTTTTACTAATACCCATATCTGAGCTTCGAAATCAATGGCTCCATTGCGTAGACAAGACTCACCATACAGGTTTCCGTTCGAAATGCCTCACAAATACATCATAACGATGCCACTCTCTTCCACAATATTTACACCTGAACTGAGGCGGTTCGTGGTTCAACTGATGTCGTTGGAGCTCTTTCATCCCAAGGTACGATCTCCCACAGTCTTCATGAGGACATACAAACCGCTTAGAACGCAGCTGATTAACTGTCAATCCCATGACCACGCCATCTCTTGCCGCTGCCGCATTCGCCGCCTGACGAGAAACGGATGTTGACGGTCCGGATGTTGAATTTGAATCAGTCTGCTTTGATGAACCAGCGGCTGTGTGGATCGTCGTGCGACGAGGGCGAAGAGACCGTGTGGTAGAACTGCTTGCCATTTCAGAGTACACCCGCTTTCGGGGCCTGAGCGTATCTCTGGAAGCTCGTTTTGGTCCTCAGATGCCTCCAATGGAGAAGTTGTATCTGAGGGCAAGGGTCCAGGAACTGTCAATGGGGAAGCTACAGAAGCGACGGCAGCTATCGAATCCAATGCCGAAGACGATGAAGTCGGGAATATGTGAGAAGCAGCGTCAGCGGTGGGTTGCGAAATCTCAGGGGACACAGGCAACGACGGTTGGACAGGAGACGAGAGTCTCTGTTGGTTTGACTCTTCATCGCTGTAGAAACGTGAGCACCGGTACGTCACGTTAATCATCTAACACACTCACTCTGCAGACATCACCGTGCCCGGAGAGGAGGCAGAGTTGACGGTAGTGCTTTGCAAACTTTCGCCTCTCGCATCCGGGTCAACACTACGACCGTTTAAGCGTCAGAGACCAAGCGAACGAAGCCCAAGCCAAACAACGCACCCATTCTCACCGTACCTCTTATCAAGTCGATGATTCTCTCTCTGATGTCGAATGAGCCTGCTTTCACTCGAGTAATCCCTGAAGCAGTGATCGATATTACAGATCCATGGCCTGGGTGCCGCCGGTTGCAATTCATGTTTGATGGTTTGTACTTTTGGCAACGTGGGACTGAGAAGGTCCGTCGCAAGGATTGCATCGATTGGAGTTTCAACATAATCACGTGGGGGCAAGTGAGATGATGATGATGATGAGGTTTCGATGCTGTTGGACTGTGGATGGTCCCCTGTCAGAAAATGAATGTTCAGAGCCGGTGTGGGGCAAGGGGAGGATTCGGCTTTGAGACGTGCGTTAGGGGAAATCGAGTGGCTGGAATGTAACATCGCCGTTCACCTTCAAACGAGCCGAGGAGCACAACAAAACCACTCACGTCTCTGGGAGGTTGTTCGCATAATTATTAGTATGCGTTGGACGTCCATCGACAAATATATTCTCTAAATATGAACACCAAGCAACCCACAATCTACGTCATCTTTTCTTTTTCTTTTTTTGTTTTCCAAAATAGAAAAACAACTCACCATCGCCATGACTCTCCTCGAGGTGTACTTTCAGCTGCTCCATGCTAGGGAAACTCTTGGCACAACCAGAAACATCACATATCCACGCCCCAAGCGCAAAATGTCCTCGAATTTTCCTCGTAGTTCTTGCCTCAATATCATTCGAAGCCTGCAACAAAGCCTCTAGAGCAAGAGAAGCGGATTCGTTGACATGTGCCTCATGACCATTGATGCCATCCGAAAGAGCTGAACTGGTAGCATGAACGCCAGAAGCATCGAGACCACCCAAGTCCGAACGCTCCTCCGCCTCGAACCCATTGGACTCCATATTCACGGGTTGCACGACGATACGACGGTAGATACGTCACGAAATAGGATCGGAAGCAACGTCGGAACGTTGAGTGTCGCTTGATTTGTCCAGTCAAGGTGCGTCAGAGTTAGGCCACAATGTCGATGAACTTGTGGCCCATCTTTTTTCGGAATTGAAGTTTTGATTTTGAAGTTGGGGAGTTCGGAAGCAAAAAAAAAAAAGGTCGAGTTGCCCAGTCACGGGATTCAATTCCAACATGGGGGCGTAAAAATGACCCACAGGCCTTCTGGGGCACCAGTTCGACTTGATGGCGACTGCTTGCCTTCTCACCCTCTCATCCACTCGGCAAACGCAGCAATTTCCTGCGTCTCAAAATGCACTTGAAACCCAATACTTTTCAAGGCTGTGCCAGTTCTTCGATTATACATCAAATTGATTCAAGTACATGAGGTAGTGCTTCCCAATCATTGGCAAACGTGTAGCATATCCCCTTCTCAGTCCGTTTTAGCTTTCTCGGGTACCGGATCAGCAGAGGCAGCAGGCCCCGATGAAGATGCGGGCTGAGGAGGTTGAGATTGTTTGTGCGCGTCGGCAATGCGCCTCGCCTCTTCATGAATGTCAAAGATCTAGATGAATGGGCCTACATTAGTGCACCCTCTTTTCCGTCATCCCAACAGGTCCTCACCTGCTTCGACGTGCTGGAGTAGAAAGCCAGCACGCGTTGACCGAAGGGCGAGCTTATTGCTTTTTCGTAATACTGTAGAAGTGAAAATGAATCCAGCCCATTCACCTGATATGCATGGAGAAACCCACATCGTTGGCAATTTGGCTAAATTTCTTCTTCTCATCGAGCTCCTTCACGGTCGACGTCACTTTCCCGCTAACCGTCTGATCTGGCCCAAGAGTACGGTGACCAACACCATGGTCAAGCTGCTTGATGTAATTTTGGAACTTGGCAGAGATGCCTTGCTTCTTGTCGATCTCGATCGCCCCTATCATCGGCGCATGATGACCGAAGAGTCCAGACACGCGGTGAGACACGGGCACCCTGAAAATTGTGCGAAAAGGGTGAATACTTACGATGGAGAATATGATCACCAAGAACATATCCCTTTGCAAGGTATTCAGCAGCGATACCTGCGCGAGGCTTGTCGGTTTGCTCGATAGGGTGGGCTGGAGCCGTTGGTGACGGTGCACGATCCTCATGTTCGATATCGGAGGTGATACGAAGCTCAGACCCATCGAGTGTGCCGTCTGGGGATAGAGATCGGATAGGGTCGATGACGCAACAAAGGGGGTATCAAGCTGTAAGAACGACCCCAAAGAGCGTTTGGGAGCATTTGAAGGTATTGCTCACCATTTAGCATCAAAGCTGTCTTCGCAGCACTTGGTTTCTCGAACGAAACCGTGGCCGTCTTCTCTTTCAGTTCGATATCGGTGATCGTGCCGCAAAATGAGAAGAATTCATGCAGCGTCTCCTTGGTCGTGGCGGCTGAGAGGTTTGAAACCTGGGCATGTTAACCATGCAGTCAGGCGGAGCCGAAACGTGGAAGTTAATCGGAAGCCAGTTGTACGAGTTTCATGATAATCAGGGTCATGCCTCCCACGCCTGAGCATTCTAGCACTCACGTTAACTGTGTAGGACGACATAGTGTTAGGTTGTTCTCAGTACTGGTTACTTGTCGCTTTGGTTGTCGTTCTTATGGGTTGCGTGAGTGGATGAGAGTACTTATGTAAGTAACTAGGTTCCATGGCACGTCATCGATTGGGCAGGACTCCAAGCCTCTATGACTTGGTGATATTGTCATCGATGTGGTACTGAATTGACACAGCCATCGCTCTTCAGCGAACACTGCCTCACGCAGCGATCACTTGAGCTCTACGGAATGAGCGCAGTTGTGCATGGCGATGTACATGCTGCGGGGCCAGGTACTGCGAATTTACGTGACTTGCGCGTCTACACAGATGCCATGCTTACGAGGGTACATCTCGGTCAATAACATGACCCCTCTGAGCTGAGGCAAGTTACCACCAACCTGGAACAGCGAATATTGAGGTGACGTCAGCGAAAAAGGTGTCAAGTTATGAATTGCAAAAGGGAATTTTGTTGAGCCAGAAACTCTGTGAGATAGCGTGGTGTGCGTGAACTTCTTTTCTCCTGGCGCATGTCCGTACAACCCGAACAATGATGTGCCTGGCCTCAGGAGGCAAAACATTAGTTCCCTCACACATGCAAGCTGGTGCCGAACAGGCTTACAGAAATTTTGAAATTGTGAAATTAGATGGCAAGTCGCCCGAAGAAAGCCATCTTCTGCAACCGAATGCCTTGTAGATGGGCCTAGATGTTGACGGACAATAGAAAATACCAGGGCGCCGGTCTTGGCGGACTCACGTTTAGCCAGAGGAAACGCCTCATGGGAAAATTAGCAATTACTGTGCAAATCGGCTCACCATCGCTCATCAGCCAAATGCGAATGGAGTGAAGGAGAATCGTAACAGTGTCAACACGGAATTATGTGATGGGAGACATCACACTGCCAATGTAGCTCCTGGAAGCGAGTTTGAAGCAAAGCGGTCCGGTTTGGGGGGTCGTAAACCATGTCAGATAATGATTTCAAGGGACAAGCTAATCCATGTCGCCAATCAAAAGTCGTGCCACGGCTCATCGGTGGCGATAAGTCGCGCAGTTCCATGTCATAATCACAGCCCAACAAGCTCAACCACAAACGAAGGATTTTCTCTCATATGAACCTCTCCATAGCATGTCCACGTAGGATCAGCCATAGAGGCTGGGAACTTACGTAGATGCGAGCCCCGGAGAAGAGTAATCAGCTGAACTGCCATCAGCTGAGAAAGGAAAAGGATAGTGCTTCACACGGGAAACGCAACCCAAGCAACTCGGTATAGATCACGTAATGAAACTTGGCTCATCGGGATCTGCGATTTTGAATATCCAACTAAATGAACAACGCATCATTGCATTTGCTTCGTTCGTCAATTCAGATGCGACCTCTAATATCGCAAGTCATCTGTTAGAAGGCTGAACGCTTTTCTCCTCGCCCATCCTGGCGTTATCTTTGCTGAGTAGTATATGTCAAGCAGCCTTCGCGTTTCTCCTAATGTCGCGGAGACTCAAGTCGACACTCATGATAGCGGCGGAGAACTGGTAACGTGCGGCGCTCCGCAAAAGGAGACGGTTGGGTCGTGCAGTCCTTCTTGCTCGCCTCGCCAGGATGATTTCCACTCGGATGAACCTCTTTCGGACTCGGCGAAAAAAGATGACCACACCAAGGAGGTGTCCTGCGGGGGTCCTATTCCATCTGATAGCTGTTCTCAACCATGCCTGCTCACTATCGGGACTCTTATCTCACCAGAATGTCACCGACGAAAGTTCAGTGCCTCTCACTCGAAATCTTTATCCTCCTTTCCTACCCGTGCGTTCTCCTCCTCCTCACTCTCCAGCGAAGCCTCTACCGTGGGCCCATCGCCATCAAACATGCCCAAAAAAGCGATGGATGCACGGTCCCTGCTTGCTCCCCCAGCTCTCATGAGCCCAGCCACAAACTCAATCTGGCCATGGGATGCACGCCCAACACCATCCCTTGCTTTTCCACCTTCACCCTGCGTTACCCCAACCAGAGAATTCGGCATTTTGCATGTTATTCCACAGACCCCTGCACCTGGAGAGCCCAAACAGGAACCGTTCGACTATTTTACTGGTTACTTCCTTGATTCCGGCGGTTCGTCGTCTTCGCCGTTAGGTCTGTCTGCGACTGAATTCTCCTCGACATCGCCGGAGTTCATCACTCGTGCGTCCCGCAATTTGCTTTTTTTTTTTTTTCACTGACCCGTGTTGCCCGCTCCGGTCGTTGGTTCTCCTTCCTGCAATGAATGTTGTCATGCAAATTCTGGGTGTACTGATCCTCAAGGGGCGAATGGGTCAGGGTCACAATTGAATTCGCTTCCAAAATCCCCAACTGTGTCCCTCCAAGATGAACCAAGTCTTTCACGAGGACCTAATTTGGCGGCATCACCACCTCCCACCCTGACTCCACCCACAAACGTTGCGGCCAAGGAATCGAAGCCGCTGGCAAGTCCCATGGAGGGTGCCGAGGAGAAGGCGGCAGAACCGACAAGTCCGCCTTCTGTCACAAACTTTGTCAATTCGGATTCGGACAAAGTTGAGGGTTCGAAGTTACGCCGTCCACCATCATCTAGTCAGACCCACAGTTCGGCACCCCCAGTGAAGGTTTCAGGTTCCTCTCTGTCCAAGGTCTCCCGTCCACCAAAGCGCTTCGCAACTTTCCGCCCATCCGCAAGGGAGCAGAGCGCCTGGGCGGCCGTCGCGAGGGGCCACTCGCTTCTGGGCAATCCCTTCTCTGTAGGTTCATTCCATTCACTGGATCCTGCTGACGAAGAGAGCCGAAGGAAGCGTGGCTCGCGAGCAATTGGTCCAGAACCTGACAGTAACATCGTAAACACTTCTGGACGATCTCTGAGGCCGGGATCGGTTCTGAGGCCGGGCGCTTCTGTGCCTATCGATTCTGTCCTTTCATCGCTTGGGAGCTTCCACCAACCTTTGTCCGTGACGCTTACTTATGATCCTACTCATCTGGAAAAGGAGGCTCAACTGGTGAAGTCCGTGAAGCATGGAGGAGCCCTATCACCTGGAAAGCTGAAGAGCAGCGAGGTAGGCAAAGCAATGTCAGGGTTGGATGCTTCGCCAAATTTGGCTGAGAACGACCAGCTTAATAAGTCGCACGATTGCAGTGACTCCCATCTCACTCTGTCCTGTGCGTGTGCGTGTGACGTGGCTCAGGCCCTAAAAAAGCAGCGATGAATCGAGGTTAGATAGCCTTCGGAGCGTGTCCCGGGGAGGCCGGTGCCTCACCTACAGGGCCAGGGTGTTCCTTGAAAGAATGCACTTCTTCCCATTTGGAGACAGCATCTGAAGGAGTGTCATTTATGGCGGTGTCGCCACCATTCCTCCGCTCCTCCTTCAATGCCTTTCTCATCCATGCCTCAGCATCCTTCGTCCGAAGTCGCTTCCGACGCCACAGGTGACTTGTTACTGATCCTTTGTTGTTGCCCAGTCTCATCAAGTCCCATCTCTCTCACACACACTTCTGCATTCGGATCCTCCCGTCTTTCCCTCATCATCCATTTCAGCCGGCTCGTCAGCCTCACACGCCATCGTATTCATCTCAGTTGGTAATGCAAATGCTTCTTTTGCTTCCGAAATCGAATGAGCGATAGAAGACGTCTTTTCGCATTGCCGGCATAGCCCGGGATGCAAGGTGGTTGCCAGCACTTGGAAGTGGCGTCGTGAAGTCAGAGGTGAAGGGATCGAGATTTGTCTAGGATAAGGGCGTTAGGACCAGCATTTCTTGCAAGTTGGCTGCGGAGGTCCGAGAGAGGATTGTGACGTGTTTCTTTTTGGAGTGTTCAAGGTTTTCGGCTTCAAGGCAGACAGCGAGTCGGGTGCATGAAAGACAAGTGTTATTCGCATATTTGCATGTAGACAGTAGCCGTCCCAGGTCCTCGTCTGACACTTGATTCGACTCTTCGCCACCCATTTCATAGCACGACCACACTATTTACAGCGGATCATTTGTTTGGTCTATAACTCATCTACATCTTCACTGTGCTCAATCCTCTCTTTTTTTTTGGTTTATCGGGTTTAACATGAGGCACGACTGTCCCCTCTGTTTTCTCCTTTCTCCTGCCCTTCAACTCCATTTCGCATTGTATCATATCATCACTCATGCATGCGCTCATATACCAGCATTGCCTGTCGGAATCAAAGGAGTTCTGCTTCAGTTCAACATGTTCTGTCTATCATATAGGTACCATCATATAGCGAATGGGAGATACGTAGGATGGGCTATCTGATTTTGCGATCAAGTGCTTCGCTCCGTTGACCTTGAGATCCACGCCAAATTCCACGGTACATGCAGTTCTCCCTCATCGCAGCTGCACATGGAGCCACTATTAGATATTGACTCGAAACGATTTATGCTTTCTCCATTATGTAAGTACATTCTTTATCTACACTTTCTAAGTTCTACTTATGGCCTTGCTCTACATCATGAGACTAATGCCCAAGCTCCTCTTCTTCTGCTAGGAGCTTTTCCGCCTCGAGAGCGGCCATACATCCCGTCCCGGCACTAGTGATAGCCTGCCGGTAACGTTTGTCCTGAACATCGCCAGCAGCAAAAACTCCTTTGACATTTGTGAGTGTTGTACCCGGTACGGTGATGACATAACCCTCAGCGTCCGTCTCTAGTTGACCTTTGACAAGTTCAGTCGCAGGAGTATGTCCTGAGGACGAACGATTTTTATGAGCCTATCTCAATGCACCATACAGTTAAAGTGGGACGAACCGATGGCATAAAAAAGACCGTTGGCTGGCAGGTCACGCTCCTCTCCCGTCTTTGTGTCCTTCAAGCGAATGTTACTGAGAAGCCCATTCTTTCCTTGAGCCTCGATAGGAACGGTGTTCCAGAGAACAGTCTGCGTGACGGATGGTGAATGGATCAAGGGAAGATAGCATGTGTGCATGCTCACAATTTTGGGATTGGACAACAGCCGCTTCGCCATAATGTCACTAGCTCGAAGTTTGTCGCGTCTCACGAGGACATAAACGTGCGATCCATATTTGGTCAGGACTTCGTTGGTTGTTGCTATCAATCGTGGTGTGAATTAGGAACCAATGCGTGACTCACAGGTCGCTTCTTCAGCAGCACTGTCCCCACCACCAACAACAGCAAGAGGTTTGTTGCTGCGATACCAGTCGGTGAGTCTAAGTGTCAAAAGGTAAACAAAAAGCAACACAGACCGGAATATCGGGACAGCCCCATCACAAACGGCACAAGCACTGATCCCATTGTTCCAGTATGTATCTTCCCCTGGTAGGTTCAAGCGCTTAGCACTGGCACCGGTCGCCAAGATTATTGCATCAGCCGTCTCGAATGCGTTAGGGTCGCCTTCCGCCCCTTCACGCCAGTATTTGAAAGGGCGAACAGAGAGATCGAGTTTAGAAATGGTCTCGGTGATGACGATTGTGCCAAAGCGAATGGATTGTTGACGGAATTTTTCAGTAAGTTCTCCACCGAGGACTCCGTCAGGGAAGCCTGGATAGTTCTCAACTAGCGGAGAAGGATCAGATGCGAGCACCTCCCTGATGTGTTTCTCTGGCTCACCATCAGTTGTTGTTGTTAGCTGTCCCCCAGCCGCGAAACCATTAGCAAGGAAACCCTGATAAGTGTAGACCGTTAAAACCAAAGCCGATGAACGGACGTCAGACCGGAACGCTCGCCTCGAAGAGAACAGGGTTAAGGTTTGCACGAGATAGGTAAACGGCCGCAGTGTGGCCAGCCGGGCCGGAACCAATGATGACCTGAGGATGCAGACAAGAGGTTGTCAACGATAACCTGCAAACGATTCCTGATCGAGCCGAAGGAACAGAGATTTTGCGATCAGCTAGAAGACTTACCACTTTCGAGTGAAGCTTAGTGCTCTTAACTCCCTTAGAGGGAGTGATAGGCGCCATCTTTTCACTGGTCAGACTAGAGGTATTGTGCGTCGATCGAGCCGATTTGTGCGAAAATATGCCACTGAGGGCGACAGTGCTGTTACGCAGAGCAAATTACTAATTTGAACCAGTCACTTGTTCCAGGAGCGGAAAGCGTACCCTCTGAGAATCCTACTAGAGGAGCAGAGAGGCAGGAGAGCGCGAAAGCGTGATATGGTGGAAGAAAGCGTGCAGGTAATATTTTAATCTGCGCAATTGGGGTCACGGGAATTTGTGAATTACTGCCGTTTTCAGTTGATTTGTCGCGTGACGGATTTCTTGCTTCCGTATGAATCCTGGCGCTTGAACAGCGCCAAACTTCATCCCCCATTTACTCCACAACAACACCGCTTTTTTCCAAACGGATTGTTGGATCATGTTCATGGAGCTGATATCTAGCGACGTTTTTTTTCCGATTGTGCGTAGCGTCGATATTTAAAATTCCCGGCAGCTGAACTTCATCCCCACTTTTCACCTCAACGGCTGCATGGAATTGGCTGAAAATTTGGCAGCAGAGTGTTGGGGAAAAAACACAGGAGCGTTTTTTTTGACGGAACGATTTGCTGAATTTTTGAGAATTTGGATAATGGGGCAGCTACGGCGGCGGACTAGTGTCTAGGGTGCAGCAGCAGCTAACTCCTCTTATACTTTATTTGGTGTAGATTTAATATACAAGCAGTGAATCCCATTGGCTTTTTATATGCATGTGTTTTGAAGTCGCTGCGAGTGTCTCTTCTGGTGCATACGGAATTCCCCGATGTGGTACTCGTTCTGGAATTTTGATTTTTAACTTTCCTTCCAACCAACAGTATCGCATGGCTCGCAAAACCAAAACCTCTCAGAAGCAACAATCTCGCCTTAATAGTCTTGACCCCCCTCGAGGATCAAGGGAGGAGCAATCTGAAGATGTGGAAAGGCCCTCATCTCCAGACACCGCAATTCAACATCAGACTCAATCCCGCCGACGGCCTCCTCCCTTGCCCATCCCTCAGCACACCTCTGAGCACAACCATATCTCAGAGGACGCTTCCAATCATTTTCACCCCACTATTCCTGATTCCGTGTCTGCACAAACACCGAATGGGCTCGATTTTTTGCTGGCAGCTCTTGAGTCTCAGAATACAACCCACCCCGGGCCCGTGCAGCAACCAGTGATCAGTAGGGCCCAGCCAATTACTGCCGGAACTCCTGAAACCGTCTATGATAATAGTTACTCCATTGAGAAAATACAAGGTGTGTGTGTGTATTTCATTTTCGAGTGTCTCTTTTCTCAGGAGCAACAGCCCCTAAAGCAGCCCAGCCTAGCGCCAGAGCAAGCAGAGTAGCCCGAAACAAGGCTCCCACTAAAACAAAGCAAGTGGAAACTGATTCCGCGACAGCAGAAGCCCGGCCATTGCCTGGACTTATCACATACAAAGTAAATGTGGGAGGGAAAGCGAAGCCCCGGCTGCTTTCACTTGATCTAGAATACGAAGATTGGAAGAGTGCCATTTCTGCGACACCTGGATTACCGGAGAACAAACGCTTCAGGCCAGAGATCACTTGGAAGCTGGGCACAGCTCCGAAGATGCAAGACCCGCAGACAGTTGACGATAATCAAGAATACCAGCTGATGGTGCATGAAATAGTCACGCAGCATGAGAAGGATGGGAAGCAGCCAGAGGTTGTCATCATCATTCGAAATTTGGTCTGTTGCGCTTTCATACTATCAAAAAATCTGCTTGTTTGTTGAAGCTAAATGCGGCTTCCAGCCAGAAAAAGATCGAAGAAAGACTGGCCAGAAAAGTACAAAGAAGAAGCAAGGATCACGGAAAGCCAGGAAGAAAAGATCAAAGACTGGCCGGGATGACTCCAGCTCCTCTGACAGTGAGACTGACTCTGGCTCCGTGGACTCAACCACGGATGAATCCGATTCTGATCATTCACATCGTGCGCGGCGCAAGAAGCCAGCAAAGCTGGCGCTTTGGCAAATTGAAGACTTACTCCATGAGAAGCACCATTTCTGTGAGCAGCACCTCAAGAACTGCTATGTCATGCCAAGTGGAAAGCACCTTTCCCTCACAAAGGCAGTTGCCAAGCGATGGGCTGGAGCAATTGTAAGATTTTCACTAATACAAATATATGTTCGGTACTGAATGACACTAGGAAAGTGGAATTGCTACACTCAAAAAGCCGCCCGCATCAGTCCTTTCTACTGCTGATGGAATTATTCCCCCACCGCTAGGTCATCGCTCCAATGCAAAATCAGTTTCTGCTCCTCCGCCACAGCCACCTCCGCCAGCCTCATCTATGCCGCAAATGGTTGTACTACAACCCCCCCCTCCATACCATGGTCTGTACCCTAGTCATGCATTCCAGAATGCATATGGACATCAGTGTACCACCTGTGAGCATGCTGCCGGATATCATGGACGCCATGACTATCATCGACCACACCTGCACTTGGAACAAAATTTCGGCTCTCAGGCTGTGCATTCCCAATGCGGCGCCCCAGATCTTGCACCAGACAGTGATGATTTTTCCCCTCCATCAGCAATATTCCCATCAATCACGGAATGGTTCGAGAGACTTGAATGTGATAGGAATATTTTCCCTGATCCTGTCCCCCTTGCTGTATTTTCGGAGCCATTGGCCGTACTGGGCTATTTCCGTCTTGATGATCTTGATCGCACATGCAGAAATCCAGGAGGCTTGGAGTCATTAAATGTTGGATTTGCCCGTGGCATTGCTGAAAAGCTTGGAAAGCTTGTCCGGCGTGAAGTCAAGCACATTATTAATAAGTATAATGCACCTAGCCACCACTAGCTTTCGTAGTCGTTTAATAGTGCAACTCTAGATAGCGTACAATGTCTATAGTGTTTAAAAATAACTAGTCTTCCTCTTCTACATCATAGCCAGCATTAAAGAACCAGCCAAATGCATCCTCGGCTGTAATAGAATAGAATAAATCACATAGATGTGTTTTAACTGCCTGTTCATTTTGCTGTCTTTGCATAAGATGTCGCAGAGATGGTCCACTACGCCGAATTCTTGCTTTGAATGCAGCAAAAGCCTCCTCAATTGGGTTCAAGTCGGGTGAGTATGGTGGGAGAAATATGAGCCAGCATCCACTGCCAAAATGAGGAAATTAAAAAGTGTTAATCATAACATAAACTCATACATACTTGCGTTCAACCAGACGACGGATAGAAGGATGCTTATGGATTGAGCAGTTATCAAGGACAATAGTGGAATTTGGCTGGGGGAAAGGGTTCATCTCACGTAACAGCCTTCGAATGAAATGGCGAAATGTAATTGTTGTATATGCACCTATGCGTGCCTCGGCATATAGTGGTCCTTCAAGAGAAAGTGCTGGAAGCAGTGAATATCTAACAGAATCAGTGACAACACACTCTAAATCAGAGCTGAGGCAGCATACCGTTTTCCACGGATCCGACTTGCACGAACCTGAGGTCGGTGGCCTTTCCGAGCCCATCCTCGCAACCGGTTAGTATTGCGACTGTCCACTGCAGTTTCATCCACAAAAACAAGCTGATCAGGCAAGTAATTATCCTGAATTAAGCGACGATATCTATCCCGGTCTCTCTCATTTCTTTCAGCAGCCACTTGGTGGATCTAGATGTCGGTGATGGATTGGGTTATCAAGCTTAGGGTTGCCACTGTTGACTCACCGATTTCATACAGAAACCATTACGTCGAAGTGTTCTCCATATACACGATTGGGATACAAGCCTTCCCCGTTGCATTTTGAGCTTGCCTTGAATTTCATCCAAATACAAATCTGGTCGCGCGGCAAGCAAACCTTTGATAAACTATGATATAGTCAGAACCCAGGGCAAATGTGCAAGGGAATATAATTACATGCTCATCTGCATCACTTAGGGCCCTCTGACCGCTGGCTGCCCTCGTATTTGGTGCATCAAAGCCACCATGTTGTGCATATTGCTCTCTCTAGCGTTGAATTGAGTGCGTACTCACACCAGTCAAGAATTGAACCACATGTGGTTCCAAATATGCATTCATGCGAACTATGAGGGCTTTGAGATCACTACTAAAGTGGCAAGGGGCCATTGTTCACTTTGAGTTGGAGCACGGGAGTTGGAGTGCAACATCAGGAAATTCCGTAGGCGCCGTCAAAGTGATGCCTGCGACATCCTCAAAACATACACAGATAACTTCCATTGTTCATATGTTAAATTTACGACAATATAGGACTATAAAATACAGCAACCGTTGACCAACACTGAACCCTAGACACTAGTCTGCCGCCGTAGCTGCCCCATTATCCAAATTCTCAAAAATTCATCAAATCGTTCCGTCAAAAAAAACGCTCCTGTGTTTTTTCCCCAACACTCTGCTGCCAAATTTTCAGCCAATTCCATGCAGCCGTTGAGGTGAAAAGTGGGGATGAAGTTCAGCTGCCGGGAATTTTAAATATCGATGCTACGCACAATCGGAAAAAAACTTCGCTAGATATCAGCTCCATGAACATGATCCAACAATCCGTTTGGAAAAAAGTGATGTTGTTGTGGAGTAAATGGGGGATGAAGTTTGGCGCTGTTCAAGCGCCAGGATTCATACGGAAGCAAGAAATCCGTCACGCGACAAATCAACTGAAAACGGCAGTATTCAGCCATGTCACCTCTATTTTACCCACCAGATTAGGTACCAGAGCTGGTGTATATAATACAGGCCTAGTAGGCCCAGAAACCTGTTGAACGTTATACAACGTTCAAGAGTGGAACTGTTCCAACGATTAGAACGTTCTAACACTATGAGTGAACGTTCTAAAACGTTCTAAACTATTCATTTTGCCATCCCCTGTTGCCACGGATGTCCCGGCCAGCTCCGTCAATAGTTCTGAACACAGTGACGGCAATCACCCTAAACTCAATGCAACGGCAGCAAGCGCGAGATCAGGTGATTCGAATTCGCAACTGCCCAGTTTCTTTACTCCAGCCAGCTTGTGTCGTCACCGCTGCCCAACGCTTATTCTTTTTCTATGATGGGGATGGATTACTGAATCCCTCAACCAACCTAGCACGCTCGTTATTTGCACTCATGTGTCCGTTGGTATGAACGAAACCGCGTTGCGCGAATGCTGATTGCATCACTGTTCACAGAATCAACATGCACTGTTACCGTTCTTTCTTTTCACTGTGAGTGTTCCCCACTAAAACCGCTCGTTTGCAGTGGCTAGACACCCACCATTCGATAGGGTAGTTAGGTTCACCCACTAATCGTGCCTGCCAACACGCACTGGTTTCTGCGCGGGGCATGGTCTCGCTCATGTTGGCATGAGCTTCACATTCTGGTGAGTGACCTCTCCATGGATTGTTGTCCACTTTGCATTGCTCCTCCATCATAGGCTGCATCCAATGGGCATAACATTGTGGATAAAGTAGTGCTTCCGGCAAACAGGCCTTACTTGTCAGACCTGTATCCCCATTGCCATTGCGCAGTGCCCCATTCCTGTAGCCTCTTAGTTTGCCCCCTGCGAACCGTGAAGCTGCGAGTGTGTCCCATGGAACAGTGGAGTGGATGCTTGTGAGTCTTGTCCTTTGCCAACATGTCTTTCTGTGTTCTCATTGTAGGGGCAACGGATATCTTCCTCCATGCTGTGTTAGGTATTTTGAGTTGATGCTGCAAGTTGTTGGTACCCGGTCAGTTTGCCATCGGTTGAAGGGTAGATCATTTGTCCATCTCGTTTCCGATATTAGGATTTCACTGGTAAGTATTGATCGAATCTGGGCACTTGTTTGTGATGGACCTTCGGGGAATCCGGTTGGGTAATCCACCCTCGCTATTTCAACCCTTTGTTGCTCATTCTCCAGTTTTCCTGCCTTGGGTCTCATTCACCAGTGCGTAGATCCCACTTAGGCTGTGTCAACTGTATTGCCTCTTTTCACATACTTACCCCCAGATTCTTGATGTGCAGGCATCTCTCATGTGTAGGTTCTCCAACATTGACATCTATCCTACGGTAACATTTTCACTGTTTGCATATCTTTTGATTATGGTCACATCATGCGACGGTGATGTGTCAATTTAATGTCACAGTATCAAATGCCGGTTGCTGTCCAACGGTAATATTTTTATTCTTTTGATCATGGTCAATGTTGTTGATGGTGACGTGTCAGTTCAACGTGGTGGCATCAATTGCCGGTCACTGTCCTGCGGTAATTTTTATTATTATGGTCACGTTGTGTGATGGTGATGTGTCAATTCCATGTCACGGCGTCAAATGCCGGTCACTGTGGAAGCATGACATGTGCCAGCATGATTGAATCAGGACCCCATTGTCAAAGTCTCCAGCACTCACGTCGATACTTTCTTCCATTCATTCATTGGTTCTGTCATTGTGCCTGCCGACCATCTGCCCCCCTTAGTGTGTTTTGGAGAATTGATTCTCATGTCCGTGCTGTACAACTCATTGCCTGAATTTGCGTTTGTTTTGTCTTTGATGGTAATGTCTGCCTGCCTCTGGTATCTTGCTTGCAAGAACCACGACCTCTATTCTTTTTTGTTGCCTGTGCCCTTAGTGCAGTCAGTAGGCTGATGTTTTGGTGGCTGACTTAAAGGTTTTGGGAGTATAGATTATGTAAGTTTGGGCCGCTACTTTGCGACATGAACATTGAAAGGCTATGGCTGTGCGAGATGTCCTGGGCAATTATTATGTAACTTTGTAACTTCTGTGTTATGTCATGTTCTATCTTCCTAGAATTATGTAGTTTCCCATGATTTATTACATAATGGAGCTTTGCATTGTCTTAGAAACTTTCCAGATTCTCCAAATCAACATGAGCCTCTCCTGTCACATCTAGCGCAGCCATAGCAGCAGCCAGCACCCCATTTTCCTCCATCTCATCGGGCTCTATCTCACCATCCTCATCATCATCTTGACTTGCCTCATTGCCACTATCACTGCCACCATTTGCCTCCGAACCATCAGCATCAGGGTACCAAATGCCTGTGTGTTGGACATCTTGATGGTGGCGACAAAAATCCTCCTTTGACATTGGGGGGTGGTGTCCAGCCACATTAGTGCATTGAGTGGACAAGGGACATTTTGAGTGTGATTCTGCCATGGAATTGAGAGGTCATGAAGTTCATGCAGCCAGTTGAGAGCAAGAAAAGCAATGTCAACACTACCCTTTTCTTGGCAGGACTGAAAAAGTGAGGAATAAGCAGCATACTCCTCGGCCAACCACTGCCGGAGGTTAGCATGCTCTGCTGTGAGTCTACAAATCTCAGACTGACAATTGTCCATTTCCTGGGCATAGGGAATGTTCCCACGAACACCGGAATCTGTCATCCATTTCGGAAGCTCACCCTCCCCAGGATCATGGTCAAAGAACTCTTGCCAAAGATCTTGATCTACATCCAGCTGAAGGACAGTGTCACAGGTGAGCAAAGGTGGGATGTGTTTATTGTGATGGGCAGGAGAAGTATGCTGTAGCCTCCGTAAAAGCTCCAGCTTTTCATTATATTTTTGCAGTGTAATATCGATGGCAGACAATCGACTCTTTGCTGCCTTCTCAACATGAGCCTTGACATTTTGGTCAATGGTGCAAGCCTTCGAGTGATCGAGCACACTAAGTTCAAACCGTCTTGAGCGCAATTTCCGAATAAGTTGATCCCTGAGAACCCGAAAATTGATGAGTTCATTGGTCCACTCATCCTTCTTCAGCCTCTCCAACTCTTCCAAGGTAGCATCACCCTGTGCTCCAAGCTTATGCATGTTTGTGGCCAGTAAACCCTTCAACCTTAGAATTTCTTTGGCCACCCTCTCCATGAATTGCTGCAACTCAAGCTGATGAACAAGATCGTCATCTCCAGGCCGTGTATGGATAAGTTCTTCATAGAGAGTCTCTTGGGTCCTTAGTTCTGCCTTCAATGACATAACCCAATCCACTAGCTTCTGGGCCGCTGTTTTTGATTGGCACTCCAAAGGTTTGCTGTAATAACATCGCTGGTCCTCAAACTGTGCCAGCAGATCAGGGGCAGAAATGCCATTGTTCTCCAAACGAGCAATAGCCACATCAAGTCGCTCCCTGGCCCTCCTCAGGTGATCTCTAAGCCATTTGCCAATGTCAGGTAGTTTCATAGACTCGATGTGCTCAACCTGCAGATCAATTAGAAAGAGGCGGCGATAATGACCAGTAACTCGAAGACCCGGTATCAACTGTTGTAGTTGGCTCCATACCCTCTTGCAACCTTCACCATCCGTGAGCCCCCGGGGCTTTGATTTACGTGGATGGTACCAAAGTTGACAGGCATATTGATGACCATATGCGTGAAAAATGGAGACACCCCACGCAATTTGGGATTGCCACTCAGGTGCAATGTTGTATTTCCTCAGGGTACGGTCTCCCTGACACCCTATGTCATACAATATTCCAACCTGCCACCAGTCTGGGACATGTTCAAAGAACTTTGCAATGAGTGCAAATAGGTAGTGTTGTTTCTCACCCGCTGTCTGGATGTTCACAAGGAATAGAGGTATATCATGACGACAGAGAATCCCCATGACTCCGGTGTTTGCAAAGTAATCTGTCGATGCCTTGATGCGCTCGCCATCAGCAGCAATGAAAGACTCGGAACAAGCATCATATGTGGAGTTTGGAACAGGCAAGTTCAACTCTCTCCTGTCATCCACATCATTTGGAGCATGTTCAATATCCACCATCTCCCCTGCCTGCTCCTTGCGTTTCTTAGAGGTCCTTTTAGGAGGGCGAATGGTCTCTACACGGTTTTTCCATGACTGAACAAAGTCATCAGAGAGAAATACAGTCCTCGGTGAAGTAAACATAGGATCCTTCGAACCAATGTTCCCCTCCATTCCGTGCCAACGATCCTGGTCTTTGATCCGCTTTAGTTGAAAATTTGCATCACAGCAGACGATGACCTGTACATCCTCTGCTTTTGTGTGAGACCCACCAAAACAGAGGGGACACCGAGAATGAAGGAAGGAACTAGGCTGATCATCAGCTTTGGGAGTGCCTTGACTTGGAATATGATGAGCATTCTCATACATGCGATGGTTGATCGGTGTCTTAGCGTTGAAATTAGTCCCATTTTGGGTATTGCCTGGGTGTGGTGAGTTGAGAGATGAGACAGATGGGCCAGCATCGGTGTCTAGATCGTTCTCCTGCAATTGCAGTATCATGGACAGACGTTGAGATGGAGGCATATGTGTTTGTGCCAAATGGATGAGCTCCGCTTGGACTAAGGATTTGAGGCTCTGGTAATATTTAAGGGCATTCGTAAAACGTCTGCGTAGAGAATCCTTAGCATCGAAATGGAAACTGTGCCTTTGAAGTACGATTTGCATGGTAGCTGCCCATGCGCAGTTGTTCAGGGCAGTAAAGGTGGACAAAAGTGAGACCCATTCTAATACATCGATGCTTACAGCCAGTGAAGGATGACATGGTGCACATGGGAACATCCCTAGTTTGACGAGCTGGATGCACATCAGCAAAAGTCCGTTATGCTCCGGAGCATCAGGAGTGGCTGGAGCATGTGGGAGACAAAACAGCAGATTGGGCACTCCTGGAGCCAATAGTGTTCTCCTGGGAGGGGGTTCAGGAGTGGCTGGGAGTGGTGAGGAGTATGCAATGTGCCAGGAGCAGTGGGAGGAAAATTTTGGTCTCTAAAAAGTTGAAAAAAAAAATTTAGGGAAAAAAATCAAAAAAATTCAGGAACTATAGTGCCTTTAAAGTGCTTTCAGGACATATAATTATTTGCGAAATTGAGGAAGAAATGATGGAGAAAAATGGAAAATACTTTCGGAGACCTGAGAAGTAATGAGAACTGAATTGATGGGAAAGTCTGAAAATTGAATAGGAAAGTGAGGGGAAGCCTTGCAGCATTGTTACTTTCTGCTGTTGTGATTTTTCCTGATTGATCTTGGTCTCACTCCCAGCTGCTCCTGGACCCTCCCAGGAGCTTTCAGGAGCTTCTAGGAGTATTGAGGAGCAGCTGGGAATGAGACCAAGAAGAATCAGGAAAAATCACAACAGCAGAAAATAACAATGCTACAAGGCTTCCCCTCACTTTCCTATTCAATTTTCAGACTTTCCCATCAATTCAGTTCTCATTATTTCTTGGGTCCCTGAAAGTATTTTCCATTAGCTGCTCCTGGACCCTGGAGCTTCCAGGAGTATCCAGGAGTATCCAGGAGCAGCTGGGAGTGAGACCAAGAAGAATCAGGAAAAATTAGAACAGCAGAAAATAACAATGCTACAAGGCTTCCCCTCACTTTCCTATTCAATTTTCAGACTTTCCCATCAATTCAGTTCTCATTATTTCTCAGGTCTCCGAAAGTATTTTCCATTTTTCTCCATCATTTCTTCCTCAATTTCGCAAATAATTATATATCCTGAAAGCACTTCAAAGGCACTACAGTTCCTGAATTTTTTTTGATTTTTTCCCTAATTATTTTTTCAACTTTTTAGAAGTCCCTATTTTTCAAATTTTCCTCATTTCCCTCTATATTCCCCCCTCATTCTCCCCCTCATTCTCCCCCTCATTTCCCCCTCATTTCCCCCCTCATTTCCCCCCTCATTCTCCCCCATTTCCCCCTCCTCCATATTCTGCAAGTCCAAAAGTGATTAAGTTGCCAGATTGATCATATATCAGGCCATAAATTTTGACTGTGTATTGGTGAGTCTCAGTGTCCTTGATGTATAGTATAGTGTTTGATCTAAATGTTAAGTAGTGTCTTGTTGTGTTAGTCTTGTGGTAGGAGGTATTCATGGGGAGTCTTCCCTCTTTTTTTTTCCTTTTCATTTTCAAATGCTCCAGGAGCTCCCAGAAGCTTCTCACCCCTATACATTTTGAAGCATTAAATTGTATTTACTGGATATGTTTGTGCACAAAGCAATGCTCCATGCCCTCCTGGGAGTGCCCTGGAGTACCTGACCAACTCCGGAGGAAATGAGCTGTTCCTGGACCGGCCAATCTCCTCCTGATTCTCCCAGTGCTCCCCATACTCCGGAGCACTCAGGAGCATAACAATTTTTTGCTGATGCCAAGTGGGGCGGGCATTGCAAACCATGAGGTCAACCTCATCTTTGCGGTCAAACTGCATGCAAACGACTTTGAGTGCTTGGTGGCTGCCTTCACAGTTGCAAGGATCCGCTCTAGGTGTCGCCTTCATGCCAGAATAATGCAAACGCTCCCACCGAGTGTACACAGGTATGAGCTGTGGAAGGACAATATTGTCCCAACACACATGCTGTCTTTTGCGCTTTAAAGCATGCTTAGACCAGCGTGCATCCAGAGGCGTGCAGATGACTCGTTCGACCGTAGTGTCCAGGCCAATGGGGATGGTTCCCAAATATGGTGAGGGTGGGTCAGGGAAAGACGATCCGAACTCTTCGAGTGGATTGAACGATGATGTGTACTCATTGGGATCATTGGCAGAGTGATGGATAGGAGCCGTTGTTTTTTCGGTTCCTGGCTGTTGTGATCGACGAATGGATGGTGCAATCCTGGGGATGCTCCTCAGCTCCTTCAGGAAATCGGCATCTGGCCTGTCCTTTGATGACGTCCCACCAGCAGCTTCCTTTGCTGCATAATACCTTTCTGATGCCTTTAGTGACTTCTTAAGAGCACGTAGACCTGCCATGATGTTATGACGATGTGGAGATCAAGACGAATAAGGTGTAACTTTGGAGGGATATTGCGATTGGATAGAAGTTATATAAACGACGGTGGCTATGTGATGATCGATGAGCTGAACACGGCTACTCGGAGGTGCTATACTGACCGACAAATACAGAGACAATGACGACAGGCGCGAAGCAAATGTCGCAATGCAAAGATATGGACGAGTGTGAAACCGAAGGAGCACTTGAGGGGCTGTCTTCAAAGAAAAAACCTTTGAAGAGGACACCAACAAATCCAAGGGGAGCACAATAGCCACAGCGTGAGGATGGGCCTTGATGAAGGTGGAAATGAAGGAATGCAATCGTGAGCTGTCTCCAAAGTAAAAGCTTTGAAGAGGACTCGACGAAAGACACAACTGTTTAGCCGAGATGATAGAACGATGGAAGAGTCACAACGTGCAAAAATATTGAACGTATAGCGCTGGAGAAGAGCCAGAGAACTGCGATCGTGGGCTGTCTCCAAAGCAAGAGCTTTGAAGAGGACACCTGTCATATCCATACAATCCTGACCTCTGCTCCGGGCTCCCAGAACTCTGAACCTGACTTCCAGAGTCCTACTTCCCTTCTGCCACCTCCTCCTTGCCGACTTCCAAGAGGTTATCCCACCTCCGGCTCCAACACCACCTTCGGTCCGACTCCGGAACATTCCGGGTCCGACCTCATCCTCGACACCTTCCAGACGAGCACGCAACACCTATGCTCCCGACTCCGGACCTCCGCTCTGGAATCCCGTTTGCATCTCCGTCTCCGGAACCTCCGGTCTTAGCTCCAACCTCGGACTTTGACCCCACCTCCGCTTATACTCATTGTATTGGTTAGCTCATTCCATTTAATCATGTTTGCTAATATTCCGGAGTTTAACTTCCGAGTTCGGACTTTCCGGACTTACCTCGGACCTTGCAACTATTGCATTGTCTATTTCAATTCCGCTATTCTCCCTCATTCCTATTTGGGCTGCTGCTTCCTTCTATTCAGTCAGCTAGCCATTCCCGACTCCCATCCTCCTTCCTTCCTCCTTGGGCCTTGGCCCTTCATTCCTCCTTTGGGAAACACCATTGAGTCAAACACTTGACCCTCGGTGTTGTTCCTCTTTCCATCTCCCTTTGTCTCCTTTCGTCCTACCCTTGTTCCTTTTGATTCCGGACCCCTCCTTATATACAATGTACCCAGTAACTTGTAACCTCAGTCCGAAATCGACCTGAATTCCCCCCAAGAGACTTTCCCTCTGCTAGATCCGAAATTAGGGACCCCTAGGACAACCAGCAATGGCACAGCGCTCTGCCTGAGTCGCTGAGGCCGAGGTCCTTCCATGCTAAGTCTCCGATTCCACTCTGGAGTCGTCCGAATCTGCCTGTTTCTAACAACACCGACGAAAAACACAGCAGTTTTAGGGAGAAGAGTCGCAACATACAACCAGGATGGGCCCCGAAGAGTATTTCCCTGAAGAAGTGCAATAGTGGGCTGTCTCTAGACTTTAAAGAGGGCACCGATGCAAAAGCACAATTGTTGGTGGCGACAACGTGCTACTTGGATTAAAATTGGGTCAGAACAAACAAGTGGCAACAAGTTACATGTCAGATGTCTCAATGATGCTGCGTAAAGCAGCGAGGATACAATTTATTTCTCTTTGAAGTCCTTCATTCCCTATGCGTAACTCCTGGTTCTGCGCATGCAACGCCTCCAGCTCAGCTTCAAGGACTTCCATGTTGATAGAGGAGCTTTGAATAGTAATCTCATGGTCGCGGACTTGAGTCTCCAATTGTATGATACGAGAAATCATGGCATTCCTCAATGAGGTATCTACCCGATCGGATAGAGAAGAGGAGGACCCAGCAGTCCTTTGAACCGGCGGCAACAAGTGCTGATTCCTGGAAGATGGTGAATAATGGTGCCAAAATAAACCAAATTCCACGTACACTGTGGCTTGTGCGGCTGGCTGGTTGGCACCTCCAACAACCACTCTTGGACTCAATGGTGGTTGGCTTATGAACAGCAAATGAGAAACAGCACCATCGATCGTGAACCGAATGGCATTACCCTCTCGCGCACGGGATCGATTGACTCGCCATTGATTGACTGGTTGTATTGTTGGGTTGCACTGATGTAGAGGAGTGGGCACCCCCGTTTCCAGCAGGTTCAGTGGGAAGATCAGGTCCTTCAAGACTGTGATACATCAGCATCAATGGTCCGTTTATTGGTCAAACACTTACCCGGGACACAGTGCTCCCGAAATTCTACGCTGACGGAAGTCCAGTTTTGATATTTGATTTCCTCGCACTGTGAATAAGTATTGTATGAGTCAATCAAAGCTTTCAGAATGTATGAACTATACCAACAGAAAATGGTACACCTTTTGTTATCATTCACACGGTGACATTTCCAAAACCAGAACCCATTCAGCCTTTGACTGCCGCAATATTTAAGCACTAAAGATGAATCCAATGCGGCATTAATAAATAGAGACAGCCTTGAAAATTGACAAAACTTCATACTCGTTAAACCGCAATTGCACCTAAAATCATAGGAATCTGAGACATCGGGAGGAACAACAATGACCTCCTCCCCCTGAGACAATTGCAGAAAAGCCATTGATTGTCGATCAGTGGTGTTACTGTGAGACGAAGTGGTGAGATATTTCTGGCACAGGGTCTCGATTTATCACCTGATCATCGGCGCAAGCACTTGCAATAATTTATGAATAATTGATATTTAAATGGCACTGACTAATTGCAGAATGCAGCACTGCCTGAGCGCTCTTGCGAAGTTGGGATGCTCCTCTTTGTCTCACCCTGTCATCGCTGCCCTCGCTGCTGGCCATCTGCTGGAGCTGCCAGCTGCTATTCCGCTACCCATACTGCATTCTCCGCTGCCACTTTGGCACCTCACTCCACTCCCTGAGACTCTACCCTCATTTTTTGATGTTAGGGCTAGGTTAAAAAAGTGGAATGTCAGAGTCAATGCTGCTGGTACATTTTATCACCAAATTCTTAAAGTTACACTTGCCCACAACCGTGTGAAACACATCCACCATTGTCCCTTACCATTTGGGATTTAATGGAGGAACGAGATTATATTAGAATGGTAGACTAGTTATGTTCGTGCTCAGTATATTGGAGTAATTACCTAGCGATGTTCTCGCTGGTATACATAAAAGGGTACATGATAATAAAAAGTCTGACTCACCTCGGTCCGCTATGCATGAACTGAGGAGAAGTCGAGGAGACCAAAAATCGGTGTTTTATAGTCAAGCACTGTGAATGCGCACTGATTTTGGTAGTGAGTATTCCAAGAAAGGAAACAAGAGTAGATTATGAGCGCCGCAAGACTCAACATCAACAAACGTGAGTCATGTTGGCCTCAGCGTACGCTATGATCTCAAGAATTATAATAGATAAAAAACAACTGCATTGGCACGACGTAGCGGAAGCTGCAGGATTGGACTGAAAACGTGACCCTCAGGTTGTGACAAACAACTAGCTTGTACATAGCAGGGAACTCAGAACCAATCAAATCATGGGAACATCTGAAGAACTCCTATTACAAATAAACGGGATCCCACTTGCTGAAGGGGATAAAAAAAACCCCTCACACCGAATATTCACAATGCAGATCCAGGCAGAGGGTGGACCAAGTAAAGCGGCTCAAGCGGTGTCTAGACTAAGCCCGAATGCATAAAAATCACGAGCACCAGATTAAGAAGGTAGCAAAAAACAAAAAGTATGTGAGCTGCACCAGCGGAATACAAGTTTTATTTAATCTATTAGAATTCTTGAAATTACAGCATACGCTGAGGTCAACTTGCATTTGTTGATATTGAGTCTTGCGGCGCTTTTTGTACTTATTAGGCACTGTCCTCAATTCAAACAACCAGGCAGCGATGTATAGATGTTTGAATAGCGGAGTTGGCTGAATTTATTCATCTATTCATCTATATTGCAGTTTTCATATTAATTATCGGCCAAGCGCAAACATCCCACACTGATGAGTGCACAGACATGCTCCCAATTATGTACATAAATCCACTTCATCGAACCGCTCCTCGGAGTGTGCCATGCCTCCCCCCCCTTTCCCCTCCCCTTTATGATGTGCGTGGTTGCTGTGCAATCATCCGCCCGCCAGTAAGTTGACCGTCGCCTGCACGCTGATTATTGCGATCACTCACTGATTCACTGATGTCTTATCATTTTTGGTTCAGATTATGCGCAAGTCACCACTCAACCTGCTGCAGCAACTTAGGAGTCCCTCACCCTTTTTTTCTTTCTTGGTTTCATCATTGACTCATCACCTGCATGTTGGTCATAGCCTACCATTCATTTCCGTTGCCTCACCCAGTTGCCTCCGTCTTACACCTTAGATGATATCTATTTCGCCATCGACTGCTGCCTCCTGTTCCCCATTAATTTCTAATTCCCAGCCAACCCAGCCAAGCCCAGCACTGTGTTGCAGTAAACCAGTGAGTTCGCCATCCCCTTTCTTTAATCTTCCCATAGGTTTCCTCAGTCACCATTCATCGACCCTATTTCATGATGAACTGGTGGACTGGGATCTGGACTCTGGGTCAGGGTGTGTTCTCATACATTTGCCAACCGTGCTACATTCGTTCATTGCTGTTATCATTATTATGTCTGCATTATCTTACGTCTTTGAGGTTGCCAAGGATATAGACGGTGGTCGGGACATATATATATATATGGCTCGAGGGTGAGTGCAGTGGGGGAATAACACAGGAGAGGCTGTGATGCTATCTGCTCGTAGTGGGTATAAACCAGAGCAGAGGAAATTGCATCCGTCATAATGAAGCTACCGTTGTGAGGTGAGTCGCCAAAAAAAAATATGTACAGTATATAAGGTGTGGATGGGGGGGCAGCCCCATCTTCCCGATGTCGGAAGTGAGAGTGAGAGCATTCCATGGCTTGCAATGGAAGGATGTCTGAAGAAAAGCTCTTGGGGGGGGGGTGCG